AACAATGTAAAATGAAGCAAAGTCTTTATCCGTCATAATATTGATGTTATTTGCTTTTGTTCCGCTTCTGTTTGTCGATTTCCACACAATACATTAAAAGCGATACTAGCGCTTCTATAAGCAAAATAAAGGTGGTCTTTTGTATAGTAAGCATATTGATGTTTTGGCTATGATGCGAATTATTAGGGCATAAATGGGTTAGATAATAATAATACTGTCTTTGGTTTACGCGATTATAAAATATGTATTTATATCATTTAAAGAAGTTTTTAATAATATTTAGGCTTGTCGTAAATAAGGAGATTCAGAAACGACACTTGATTCAGAGCGCGAAATACGACTCCCGGTTGTCAAAAACCATAACATAGACCGAGAGGATACACTCGTAATTAATCCGACGAGTTCGACTAACGCCCACGCGATTGGGACCCCGCCGGTACCAGCGCTAAGACCATCATTTTTCTTTTTTTCATTGCGAATTAAGACCCCTGAAGAACCGCCATACTGGTACCCAATATTTTGTGTCACTATCTCCCGGTCTAACACATTTGATGTATGTACTGGAGTCTGGCTCAACGCTGTCTCGTTTCTGAATCTTATAGTCTGTATGCTATAGGAACGACACTGTTCTTTGATTGTCTTTAGGGTTTGTTTTTAATTGCAATTTAAATACAAAAGCAATGTTAACAATTTATTAATTATTTAAAAATTAATTGTTCTCAATTTATGTATTTTAATTATGTATGCAGTATGATGCGACCTACCTGCACTTTTGCAAAAAATATTGTAAGTACATATTACTAGAAACTAATATTTTTATTTTATATATGTAGTTTAGTTTCAAATAATTTCAAAACACAACTAACTTACTCTAAATTTTCTTGCTTTGTCATTCTTTGAGATATAAAATATCTTTGAACCGAATTATACGGACATCAGGAAATTTTTATTATTTTAAAAACGTATAACCAGTTGATTTTTCGAAAAGTCTAAAGTGCTTTGAGGAAGTAAAATAGTTTGGAGCTTTTAAACGAATTTGGTTACGCAATTGCTGACCCTTTTAACCGGCACAGACTAATAATAGGTCATGGACACAGAAACGTCCGTACAGGGTGACCGAGTAGTACCGCAAAGCTACCAATTATTGAGCAGGACAAATGCAAAGAAACAGGTCATAAAAGTTATGGAATATTGGTCTGGATGTTTCATGTAAAATTGAATACCAGACCAGAATATAACAGAAATATATTTTGACGGATTACGTTGAGGTTAGTTTTAATTATTATCATATCGATTATCTTGACTGATAATGAAATTATTCATTTAAAAATTAAGTCTAACATAAATACCTGGCTAAATAAAAGAATTATAATTGTTTATAAAAGAAAGATAAAAGTAAATAAAGAATTTGCTCTGCGTACTTAGTTTTTTTTGTTCTCAATTTATTCCTTAATGTTTAAATTATGAAATATATATAAACAATTTATTGATGGTTGATTAATCTTTAAAACAGATGCATAAGTCGGCTACTTCTCCTTTATGCTTAGATTTTTACGATAAAACACCTTTATTTAAAACATACGTTTTGAAATGGTTTGTCGAAGCTGCGAGCTTAAGCCTTTAATGGTGTAGGGAATGTGAGGAAATCCTGATTTACTTCTCACATTCATACGTCACACGTTATGACACAGGTATAGCTACGATAGCGTGAAATTTTTTTCGTATTTAAGGCATTCGTTTAAAGATTTACTCGACTCGACGCGAATCTAGTCCTAAAAAAAATCTCACCCAAAAATCACCCAAATGTGAATAAGTGGACGGCTTGACAACTATACGTAATATATAATACTGCAGAACTAAACATATTCAGTTAAGGACATACCTACTTGCCCACGCTCTTTTGCTTGATACTCAGTAGCTATTAATAATACAACTAATTACACAATTAAAGTATTTCATTAGGTTCACAACAGGTCTTATCCTGTCAGGCCTGATCTTTCCGCGAAGAAATGCTATTATATTGTCATTCCCACACTGCACTACTTGACTACTTTCAAATCCAATAGAACACGTCTTACAAAGACATATTAATCACGATTTACCTATAAATTATTTTATTGCCATCATTGTGTTAGGTCGCGTATAGTTAATTTTTTTACCGGAACTCCATTTAATGTGGCCAGAAAACGTCTAACGATATTAAGTATAACATTTATAGAATGCATAATATAATTAAACTAATTGATATGTTATAACTATATCACTGATCATTGATTGATAATAGTGGTTCCAGGCAAACTATCACGCATATTATACCTACTTAAAGTGACCTAACGATGCAATTGAATATATTGTAAGATAAATTACAGTTCAGACTATATTGGATGGAAATCATCGGAAAGAATATTGGATACAATGTTCCTGAAAAATCTAAGGAAGCCGTTAAAGAGGTTGGCAATGACCAGTAGACGATACACTGAAGGTCGTAACATTAAAATCGATACTAATAACCCCTGCAGCTTAGTTCTATCTCATAAAGATTTGAAAAGGCCGTTATTATCTAATTCCTAAACGTACTATTAACCTAAATGTTTCGTAACGTTCATTTACTTTAAATGTTACAGGACAAAATATTCAAAATTAAATGATGATCTTTCTTGTATATTAGCCAAACATTTTGAGTTCTATATTTATACTTACCTAGTTCGAGGATCGAGAACTTGGACGTGGTCTCGATTTGTGACATGATAGCTTTTATTGTGGATCTGTATGTATATATTATATAGATAAAAACCATTCAAACCGACACTTAACTACACTATAAACATACAAACTTGTGAATTTAAAAAAAAACTGTGCGACATCACGCTTACGCGAATTCTAGCGTGTTTTTTTTATTTAAGTACCAATCATAATTCGACTACTACAAACTATTATTGACTGTATGAAAATATTGTTTTTTTGCAGGATGCATCTACGATCGATTAATTTATTGATACGAGTTCGCGGAAGAACACTATTTTAATGCTTCATCGGGAATCATCACTGTAGACTTCTAACTATACAAGGTAATAAATTACTTGCACTCAGCGGTTATATCGAGCTAGCATTTAATTCAAAAAACAGATAGTCTAGTAAATAGAAAGGTTGAAAGTTTTAAATTGCTAAGATGTGATTAAAAATGTATGTTCACAATCAACTTGTAACTATATTTCTACTGGTTACTTGGTGCTCCCCAACCGTATTCCTACAAAGTACTTTTTTCATGCACGGGTAAAAGAGGCTTGTTGTATTCTAAAACTTTGTCTTTATAAACAAAACTAACTGTCATACCTCTGTCGTGTGTAATTTACTTCATCAAAAAAAGTTCAAGTACATGATTTTATTTCGGTTACTGCCCAATCTTGACACTTCCTTTAGGTACCTGTCAGAAATATTTTGTTTAAAAGCTTAACGAAGTTTCTAAATGGGCTTCTGAAAGTACCTAATTCTCGTGTCTTATTAGATAGACGACAATATTATGTAATAACTAACCTTGAAGTACAGTGGAGCGTATAATAGATGGGTAATTACTAGTATGCACCAGGGTGTAATCTCTTGAATTCAGTGGCAATTGAACCTAAATACTCACACAGCATATTAATTAACAGAAGACTTTGTAATCAATGGCAGACTTTAATTATTTTGAGTGTACCGCGTACTTTCAATACATATTCCGATTAAAATTATGTCCTGGTTCGTTTACACCACTTACGCTGTCAAAAACGTAAAAAATCTATCAAATTTGGGTTTCGTCCTTAGATGACGTCAATTGGGTTAGGGCGTGCCCATGTCAGACAATTATTTTAAAAAATTTTGCTATCCAAAAGCTTGCTGTGAAGAACTAGTACTTTTGGTTTTTAAGTGAGAAGAGATGACGTAAAGTTATATAATAAATGTTAACTAAAAATTAAAACTAATCACGTGTACAGTCAATATGTTAAGAGTAATTGGGTCACAGATCAATGTATAGGAAGGTACGTGGGCGGCGTCTGTAATCATTATAAGACATTAATTAGAGCAATGAAGCTATAGAATCGTATTTTTATAATAAAGCCTCGCCCAAAGCAATGAGATATATCAATCAGTAGGTAAGTATGATAACAAGGAAGCAGGATTAAACTAGTATTGTCTTTGATTAACATAACTTTTATTCATTTAATAAAACACTATTTTGACCGGATTGAAGTTATGTATTATTATAAATTTACAACTATTTAACATAATTTTAAATTTATCCGACGTTTCGCGTGCTTTACAGCGTGCGTGGTCACGGTGACTATATAATAATACATAACTTCAATCCGGTCAAAATAGTGTTTTATTAAAAGGATTAAACTAATTAAAAAAGATTAAACTTAAGAAATTTATATTTATCGCTTTGTTTTTTTGCAATCTACGACCCACGTTCCTTGTTTTATAATTAATAATAATAATTTATCACCATAAACGGATTAAGTACATAAAAAAATGTGTCCCAGGCACCTAATGTAGTTTGAGCTGTATTCTGTTGTGATGTTCAGCTAATGTCCATTAAACTTGTGCCACTCTACGGAGGTTAAGTAATAAAACCTCTTTATCGAAATATATTTAAAAGTATCTCACACTTCACTTAGTACGGTACAATCTGTTCACAAAATATAGTTTACTAAATTTAGTCCGTATTGTTTGGTACGATTAAATAAAATTAAGATATTAAACGCGTGACGAGACGGCAACATATTTCCATATTTACATGAACTTAACATTCTAATGCCACGAACTTGTGAACTCTGACCTAAGCCAATGTTTATCAAGTTCAGAGATACAGATAGGACTTGCAAAAATTCTATAAGCGATAAATAAATTGACTATCTTTCAGGTCCGAAACCACCTCCAACTGACCATAATAAAGTGCAAGTTATGGACGATATGGGAGAATATTTTGTCAATAGAGAGACATAGATTTGTAGGGCCTAAGTATGTTGTCATATATGGTGCCTGTGGATGAGAAACCTCCGCCAGTGCCTGGTAAGGGCCGAATGGCGTTGGAGTTGGCTGGGAGCCCCGGAAGCCCAGAGTCTACAGCAAAAAAGCGAACAAACATTTCGAAGGAATCGTCTTCGAGCTCGTTCACGAGTGACCTCACAGTTTCCTCGTCTACTCCGTCGGGAGTACTGGACAAACCGAAACATAAACTACTCAATAATGGCAGTAAACACACATCCTTAAAGAGGTAAGTTGTGCCTATGTTATTTAAAGAACACATTGATGACTCCATTATAGCAATTAGTAGGAGCAGTGTGTGCCTTCAGCGTGCGACTATCATCCCTGAGGGCCGTTCCCTGCTGTGCACCAACAGAGTTTCTAAATGCGTATTTAACACTCGCTCGTAAGGCGAAACAGGCATGCCTTAGACCCACAGTCATCGTGTCACAGAAAAATTATCACCTTGTATATTGAAAAAAATATCATCACGGGCCACTGGGGTTTTTTTTAAAGTAAAATTTTGTTCAAAAACAAAGCGTGGAATAATACAATAATTGTGAATTTATCTTTTATATTTTTGTAAAATTGATTTAAGAGCAAAAGAATTGATCCAAATTATTTGTTACATTTTCCGAAATATATTTATACAGGTTACCCCAGGTAATTCTTGTCGTCCCATGTGTCGGGTAACCGTACTGGGATCTTAGTAAGCCAGGATGTATAAATTTCTAATTGACAATCCGGTCTGTAAAAACAACAATAAAATGCCTAATACGCAGTATTAAATAATTAGCTTAGTTAGAGCTACCTATACGCTTGAACAAGGAAAAAAAGGTAGATCATCGTTCAAAGCACAACCTAAGCGATTAAGGACAGACGAGAACATATTGTCGTACTTTAAAAATCTCGAGATCAACAAGCAACAATTGGAAACACAAGAAAAAGATATTGAAACTTTTTACGACAACTTAGTATTCAATAATAAGGAATAAATAATAATAATAGGCATTCACTTATTAGATAATAAGGGAATGCCTTTATAATAATGGCAATAATACTAAACTAAAGAATGTAAATTTAAATCAGAGCGATATTTGATCATGCAAAAAAGTGATTACAAACTTGGCAGCCAGCCAGCCGATAACACCAGTTGATGTGATTGGTACCGGTTTTAATGACTTTGTAGTTTCAGCTTTGGTTACCGCATGTGGTAAAGCATCAGAAACCTCCTGGCGAATGGCTTCCGACTCCTGTAATGTTTGTCTGAAAATACAAATATGATGCATGTACGAATCTATCTACAAACAAAGGAATTGTTTCGATTGCCGTTTCGTTTGTAATGAGATAATTAGAATTTTACAGCTATGAATAAAATCTCTCAACAGCCTTGAGCTGAACGATAGATATTGTTAAAAGTGACATAGTATCGTATATTATTAATTAATAATGATATTATATTTCACGTTATAAAGGTTAAATTGTGTATGGACAAAAATCATTACGTTTCGTTATACTAAATAAACAAAGTAATAATGAGCGTTAGTTCTACATAATATTTTATTTCAGCGACACCACGCACACACATGCAATTTTCACGGCACCACCACATATTTAAGAAATCATTTTTACTCTTTTAATAGAATCAAGGCCATGCTAATTGTGGAGACATATAAATTTAAAAGCAAGCCTATTCTATCATTTGAACGGCCTACTTCTAAGTAGTAATACATCCAGTTATTTAAAATAACCACACATTTTAATGGGAAATAGACCATTGCTTTGCCAAGTTCATGGTCAAATGAACCGTTAATAATAATTGCATTTGCATTCGTTACACGCTAAATGCCAAATGCCCGTGAAAATGTTTTTCCTTTCGTGTATTTTACGGCATGTTTGCTATAAACCTGCACAGAACAATAAGACTTTTTTAATAACTAGTAATGAAATTTACTCGGATAATGGTTTTACAATGTAAAATTGTTGGTAAGGCTACCTATAAATTCAGCCTTAGTATTGAGGTAACGTATTTAAATATTCTATATAATATAAATACTACAACAGACCAGAACTCATATCTTGAGAATGAAAAAACACTCTTCCGCGAAAGCCTACTCGAATTTCTCCTGGGTATTGAAACAGGCACTTGGTGACTGTGGTAGTAGATTTAATTAGCACATTAAAAAAAAAATGTTAATTCTTTTGCAGATTCAACGTCAAACAATTTACATTTAAACGCTTACGACAACTTATGGTTTTTTGGTTTGTTTGGGTTTGTTAAGATTCGGCTTTCCAATCATGGCATTTACTCTTATTTTACATTGATTTAAATGCTCTCTAATCAAAAAATGAAAGTCGAAGTCGAAGTTTTCTAAGGTCACGGTTAACCTACATTTTAAGTATTGATGATAAATCAATAGAGCGTTATAGATTACATGCACTGCCCCAGCATTGTGTGACGTCAATGAACTACATGGTCATGCATTATTAATTAAATGGCAGACGGCAGAGATGGACATTTTAAATAACCTACTTCATAAAATCCGTTTAAACTTCGAAAATAACAAAGACAACAATAATGTCTAAATATACTGCCTACGTGAATACATCAAAATTATATAACTAATGAAAGTTTATTTATTAATATCTGAAGTAAAATTATTATTAAATGCATTCGATATAAATTCACGTATTTATTGTCTAAATTTGAATCGTCGAAAATGTTACTTACTTGCGTTCATCTAGCAACCAACTCCACTGATCAAACCACTGCTTACGACATATATCCACCTTTTTCCATTGAGCTCGCATTTGAAATGCTTCTGTATTTGGATCATATTTTATGACACCGCCCTCTTTCGCCATTGCTTTAATAAAGTAGTTTATGACAAAATTATTATACAATTTACAAGGCATTATCAAAATGTGTGTATTTTGAATAGGTTATCAATCAACTAAAGAGATTTAAATATCCAACAAAAATATACCTTAAAATTGTCTCAATCACAAAAATAATCTTAAAAAACGACAATAGCTCTGATTTGCCAATTGTTCAAAGACTGACACCGAAAATGAAGTGTGCCAAGCTCGACAAAGAGTTGTGAATAGCGATCTTTAACGAATCGATTACAATAAGAACTCGAGCATGCTTTAAAAGCTACAAGTTAGGCTAGAAAGTCCATTCAACCTAATCGCAGTTCAGTTTTAGAAAAGTAGGTGTCTAACTGTCTGCTTAGATATCAATGGTTGTGATTAAATGGTTTTTGTAACAATTACTTCCCTGGTACGGTACTCAGTTATTACAGTTCATATTTCATTTGTATGAACATTTACAGAGGATTTCGTACGGTATGAAAACTGAACAGAGGATTACTAACCAATAAAGTAAAACAACGGTATCAAAAAAGGAAAGTTAATGCAAATACTAATAAATGATTGCAGTTGTCACAAATGACAAAATGTTTTTTTTTTACTTAAATATTTATCGTATCGATAGAAATATTTCGTAAAATAATTGGTAATTTTCTTTTCATAAAAATCTACGCAGGCTAACTAAAAAATCAATCGAGAAAAATACCACAACCGTAAGAGAAAATTAACGATATTTTATCCTCAGGAGTTCGGAAGTATTACGCTGTATTTGTACTGAGGTAATCGAATTAAACAATCCAAACTGTTACAGCCAGTATATTGCTTGCTTCTTTTTAACTAAAGAGCTCTTTCGTTCGTTTCTTTCAAATTATGTTGACGCTGTGATAAAGAGAGAGACTCTAGTTGCACGGTGACACATGATATATTTCTTTATGAATAATTGCGTTTACAAGATAGGCATACTTGGATCTAATGAGTCAATTTCTTCACAGGGTTTCCTTCGGAAGTTCAAAAGGATCGATGGTTGAGACTCTCATCTATGAAAGCCCTCTGCAAGAGGAACCAGAGAACTCCCCTCCACCAAATCTACAAGAGACCACGTTCCTATACACGCCCGTCGAAGACGAGTACGTTCACTTATTTTAATGATGGAGTATGTTTTATTCATTTGTTTGTCGCAAGCGCGATTGCATACACAAAATATCGAAAGAAGGTATTTCAATTTCCTTTTAAATAGATTACAATGTTGTTAGACCAACAACTCTTACATCTAGAAAGTCAACAATCAGTAAACAGACGAGGAAATATTTTTAAAGTAATTTATTGTAAATAATCTTATTTCTCCTGTTCACTATAACAGTACTGTGACCGAAGTAAAATGCCACCGCTTCCATAGCTAACGTGACGAATTTGTATTATCAAGCTACATTAGGCTATAAAACTAGCGGATTTCAAGAAACAAGTATTTCACAGAGTTATTTTTAAACTCACGTGATTACATTTCGGCAGCTATCAAGATCAAGCTCATGGCTATTACTAAGCATTATGTTACGCTCAGAACCATATAGTTTCTTTAACTAACATGTATTTTACGAAATATTGTTTCATAGCTAATTATTTGTCTATTTACACCATCTTTCGAAGCGGTATACATAATAATATGTACTTAATCCATTAACAGAAATCACTTTAGGTACAAAGTGTGAAAATGATCACAAGTAAAAGTATTTCTTATTAAAATTTTTATATTATACATATATTCATTGATATACTATATGCAAGGAAATATTACTAAATTATTTATAATTTTCGGATTGCATCGAATTTCGAAATAACATAATTGAAAATAGGCAAACGCGGAGCAACTTAACACGAGTAATAATTATTATGCCAATCAATATGTCAAAGTCAGGTATAGACCGATGCGAATGACAGCGACGGTCACGATCCGCGATCAACTTCGTAGCGTTCAGCGTTCGGCGTCCGTACTTTTTGCTTCATTCGACACGGCCCCGCGCGCGACCGACCGCTTCTATCATACGAGAGTTCGAGATCGATGTTATGAACAAAGTGCCGACGCGCCAAACTATTCCAGCTCTATGAGTCCGAAACTCGTAGTGCATTTCCGTCGATGTTATCATTTTTATGGGTTCTTGAATAAGTAAATTGGAAAAGTGTTACATGTTTGAAATTAAGTGATTGCCGGCCGTAAATCGTGATCGTGATTATTGGTATGTACTTTTCGTGAACTGTTCACGTCATTTCTATGCTGCGCAATGGGTTTTCAATAATAAGGCTTTTAAGTTTGGGCAAGGTAGAAAAAAATAAACTCTTAAGTAAAAAATTCATGCATACTATGAACCGGCTGCTTAACGTAGCCATAAAGAGTTGTAATTTTCATGTTAAGAACTCGAACATGACGTCATGATAACTGAATTTTAATCACATAACTACCTTCAGCTCTAGATAATTGTTAAAATTACAAGGTCAATAACTAAGACCTTCCATGTAAATGTACTGTTTATTGGCAAATGTTTTAAAACTCTATTTATAAAATAATTATCGTCGTAACCCTAAATTGAGGACCCGCCCTGCGCGTTAGGTTGGCTGCAAGGCCGCGCGGAGAAACGTCATTTCCATTTTTATTCCAAATCTGAATTCACATTTTGTCCTCAACTCTTGTTTAATTGATGTAAGTTGTTAATATAGGAAATTTAGCTCAGTATATTAGGTACTCAAGTTCATTGTTTATGTTTCTAGCAACAGTTCATACAATTTACTTGTTGTGTCTGCTAAATATTTCTTATTAAAAATTAAATTGTAATTGTTTTGTTCCAGTGTTAACTTTTAGGTATAAAGTCCAAAATATTTATGTATTTAATTCCCTTAATATTACATTATTATAATTTTGTTGTAGTTATGTACATATGTCGTACCCCATGGCTTAGCTTGCATCTAACCTTTAGAGGCTTTAATTCCTAGCAAAACAATAATTATATCAGGATGGAATTTCATTTGTATAAATGTTCCTGTGCTCCATGCCCCTAAGGAAGTATGGCAGATTGAATATCAAGGCCTAAGTCTGTGTGTAATAAAAAAATATCTAAAATATATATAATACTATGGATTCTATATTTAGACAATTTACACAAGGAAAATGAAGAAACAAACAAAAGTGGTGAACTTAATTTCTTTTGCTGTTGACATGTGTCTAATTTCTATCTAGACTGAAATTGGCTTTTATTTATGTCCAATTTGGTTTTTCACAAACAGCAAAATTGCTTGTCAAAAGTACATTAGGCTAAATGATGTTTTATATTGAAGTTAATAAACATGTGGGTGGCAAAGCGGTCATCAGCTAATAAAAGAACTGGGGCTGTCATTGAATTACCTTCAATTTTAATATTGTGTTTAGTAACTCTGGCTGTTGCTAATGTGCTATGATTGCTCAGCGATTGTTATGTAACTGTTGAATATGAATACTTGACTTTGACTACTGTCAGACAATCTATGAATAAAATAGGCTAATGTTATTTCCGCAATTATAAAGTAGCAGTTTATTAGTCATTTTGGCAAATTTCTTATAGTAGCAAACCTTCACTATTTATTTTTGCATAGTTAATATAGTCCTGTAGGATATGCTTGTTTTTATGCAAATTGTGATGTACAATTATTAAACTCAAATGAATTAATAAATATTTTAGATAGTAGTTTATATATGGATTTAACAAGAATACACAACTGATTACCAGTTGCTTAGTTAATAATTAGTATTTTACCAACTCTAATATCTTTATAGACATTTTTAGTGTAATATTGAGAGTTGTATATAGCCCTTTTATCAATATTACTAATTTAAATAGTAGTGTGTTAAACTTAAATAGTAATTTTTAGTCTATGTAAAGTTTGTGATTTATTGAATCAGGGAAAAATGTTATATAATTTATATAGAGGTCAGACTTGATGGCATTCAACAGTTTTAAGTGCCTTTGTAACAGAGCTTATTTTTTTATTTTAGATATAATTTGTAATGCCCATACATTCATTACAAGTTTCATATATTTTAAATATTAAATTTTTTATAATGCGCTTTGCTGCTAAGCGATACCTGAAAGTTATGTGATGCGATTTTTTATAAAATTTTGAGGAAATATCTCAAGTAATTCCATTTTTCAGTTCGGAGCGTTCGAAGGTTCGTGTGTCTTTCTATCAAGGAGCGAGGCCACAGTGTCTTTCTCCACCACCGGCGCAGGAGTCGCACGTACTCTACGCGACTTTACTTTCGGCCGCAGCCAACGCAGACATGGCAGAACACGTTATGTACAATAGGCAGATAAGGTAACACACACATTTAGTACTTGAGATTAATCGATTTCTAATCACCCAGGCGATAAATTTCGTTATTGATTAAATATTTGTGGTAACTTATTACAACTTTATAATTCCGAAGTTTAATACGATGCTAGTATTGAGCATTTAATGAGTTACTTGATTTAAATTGCTATTAATATTGTATATTTAGTTCAAAACTACTGACGACTCATTGGTCTAGTGGTTAGTACCCCTGACGTATTCAGTACCATGGGTCCCGGGTTCGATCCCCGGCTGAGACGAACATCGATGTGATGAGCATTTGGTGTTGTGCTTAGGTCTTGGGTGTTTAAATATATATTTATATGTCTATCTATCTATAATATGTATATCCGTTGCCTAGTACCCATAACACAAGCTTCACCAGCTTAGCATGGGACTAGGTCAATTGGTGTGAATTGTCTTTAAAAAAAAAAAAAAAAAAACGAATTATCTAAAATTCTTAGTTGTATATTAATCCCTTATTAAGATCAAGTTCTATACGGTAGTTGTTTTTTGCTCTGTTATTTCGTTATATAAAATCAAAAGGTTTTAGGGTTAAAACTTTAAATTATCGTAATGATTGTTCCTTTGATTGCGCGAGGAACTTTTGTATATAATATTACAAGTTCGTATAGATTTCTATAAATATGAAATTAAAAAAAAATACTATATTTATGTTATTTTTTAGTAACTTTTAGGCAAAGATTAATTTTAAATTGTAAAGGTTTAATACAAATAAAATACCTTAAAAAAATAGTACTTGAAAAATATAGGGTCCCCGTCAAAACGTTATAATCTTTTCTCGTAGATCACCTCAAAGCTTGAATTACTACTGTTATTAATATGCATATTATGTATTTTGAAACCAACATTGTGGTTTTGATAATGGAAAAGATAAATGAGGATGGAAGAGTTTACCGCAATCGTCCCGAAAGCATCCCTGATTAATAAATCATAATTCTTTATATATATTTAAAATATATGTGAAATCGAGTTTTAAACGAAGACAAGTTTAATACAAATTTGTTTATAAATATTGCTTATCCATGTACAACCCTCCATGGTTAAGACATCGCAACAACGCAGTCTCCTGTTGAATAAACAAGCCTTATTGTTTTAGATTTAGTCTGATGAGGTATAATAAATTACATGAAACAGTTTGTTGGCAGCTGGAATTTTTTATTTAATGTGTGTCCTTTGTTAAAGCCAGTGATGACGGCATCGCTTATTTTTGTTCTGCTTACAAATGCAATCATTTTATCGTATTCCCACCCAAATGCATTGATACTTTGTATTATCTATCGTTTTACATACAATTGGTATTGATCGGTAGATCACAATTGTGTCTAAATTTAGCTTTAATAAAGCTCTACATTGACTGTGCAATATTTATTAGTCACGTTTCTAGAATAACTAGCACAGAGTTAAATATACTAAACGACAATTGAGTGATATCAATTTTAATAATTCGAAAACGTTTTACAATACGAGTAAGTAAACGACGCACACAAGTATTGACTCTTTACAGTACATAAAAGTATTTTTAAATACTTAGGTATTTAGCAGAACATTTAATTCAACTTGAGCGATTATTATAATTATTTAATGTGTATTTGTTAGGTATACTAGGACATGGCTTGTCCGGGCGACGTTACTACCGGGTAGTTGTAAAGTTTAGTCTGGTCCGCACCGACTAATAAGCCTGATTTTCCTTATACTTATATATATATATATATCTCGCCATTTGTAAAGATGTTTAGTAGTAATTGCCACCATTTTTAAATTTCATGCCACATAACCAATATCAATTGTTTTAATTAAAAGGTCAAGACATCATCTGTTTGACCGTTTACGATTGAATCATAATATGTTCATGGACATCTAGAAAAGTATATTTGGGTTCATATAACTGTTCCGTCTGTTTACGTAACGTTCGTGGGATTCATTTAATAGATACTTATCTTAACACGAATGTTATGTTTCTCGAAATATGTAAGGAAAGATTTAATCTTAGGACGTAAAGCTCTTTCGCGATTTCTTAAAATCGTGCTAAAACAGTTAAGTTTAATGATTTCTCGAGAGCTATTCAAATTGTAACTGGAGTAAGCATTTATTAACTAACGTTATGACAATACGCTATGCTACAGATAGTCGTATAGTTTTCGGATTCGACACGAGCCAATTTTAATGTTTGAGCTTTTTAAAAGGTAAAAATATAGCGGAACACTAAAATGACTCATCAATGTAGCACCTTCACTGTTTTGTAAACATATTGGTGTGAATATGTGTGCTAAGATCACTTAATACTTATTTAATGGTCAAGGTCTACTAGTTAAAATCAAGTAGGAGTAAACAATGTCAATTTTATTTTTATTTTTTGTATAAATATTAATCATTTCTGACGTAAGGACCTATTTTAAGGTATAATGTTTATAATTTATTACTATATTGACTGCATAACTATTACAGCACGGAGAGTGGGTGGGATAACCCCTTCAGGCCCGACGGAGACCTGAGCCGGGAGGCAGATGAAATTGTCTCTCTGATCAAGGGCGGTAAACCTATAACTCCAACGCCAAACACTGGTTTCCCGCTGCTTTCTTCTGACGAAGAAGAGGAAGTAATAAGCTCTGATAATGTAATCGCAATGGTATGTATTGTGTAAGAAGTTACGAACATCAACACAAATAGTATTCAAACTAAATTCAACACAAACATGGTTCAGTTCAACACAATATGGCAAACGATATTTTTTAAAGTTTTTATACAAATACTTTTATTTTTACCACAAAGAAGCGTAATGCATTGTGTTAAAGCGTTTAAGTGTTAATGATATCTAGCTTCTAATGTAAATGATATCTAGGACGCAATTATTACAATAGTATTTTTATATTTAGTTACTTCATTATTTTTGGTAATCAAAGCACGTTACTAAAGAAATTAAATATACAAAACTGGGAACATGGAAAAAAATTTTAGCCACCTATTCGGGTGACGTAATATTAAATAGAATTATTCTAGTTGACTGCACATATGTTTAGTACCTCAATCTTTAAATGTAGTCTACCAAAACCGCCTTTTGACCACTGTAGGTTTTGAGTTTCACAAAATCCTAATATGTACATTAGGCGTTGATGAATCAGCCAGAACATATTATGTATATAAATTAGACCATTTGACAGAAAGTTTTTTTGCCATCATAGATACAAAGTTGCTATTGTGTCCCTAATTTCTTAATACAAAATGGTTCACTATTAATTCTAGCAATCGTTTGCCAATTGCGGTTATTGGCTTAATAGGCCAAATAAGAATTAGGCAAAAATAATTTACCAATTAGCAAATGACTATGGGATGTAATTGACTAGTTGGAACCATTTCTTAGATATAACAAATTCAGCGGCGGATAACCCATTATGGAAGGTAGACATTCTATTCGGGACTTCTCTATTTATGGTAGTGTGAAGGGCTCTTGCTTAGAATACTTAATAGTAACACATTGATATCGACGACTTAACATATCCGTTATATTAGAATTCAATCTGATTTAAAAGCAGTCATAAATTTTTGATACTTCTCAGTTACCATATATGTATTATACTAGCTGACCGGGCAAACGTCGTTTTGCCATATATATCATTTATAATAAAAAAATAGGGGTTGATCGTAGAGGGGTGAAAGTTAGAGGTTTGTATGTATTTTTTAATGCTGTATCATAAAAAAATAAAAACAGAAAAAAGTATCTAAAAATAAAAAATAAATATTTAGGGGTTACCCTTAACATTTAGGGGGATGAAAAATAGATGTTGTCCGATTCTCAGACATATCACAAAATTTCATGAGAATCGGTCGAGCCGTTTCGGAGGAGTATGGCAACGAAAACTGTGACACGAGAATTTTATATATTAGATTACATTTACAGGATTAAATAAAAACAATTACCTCTCGTACCTCTCAATTACGTCTACCTTTTTAGTAGCTTCTTACCAACAGAGTTCAGAGTAAATAAAGAAAAAAAATGCACGAATTGGTCCGATAGCCGTCGAGTTTTTAGCTTCGAAACAAATGCGATTCAATTTTATTTTTAAAGATGTTTCGAGTGTATGGAATGTATAGAACATAAAGAAATATCCGTGAAACGTATTACTATACGCCTCATTCATACTGCTGTATTTAATAAACTACTACCTTAGGTTTGAGGAATTATTCATTCCTGTGTGTATTTTAAAACAATATGGCAGTTATGCCAAAGACACTTCATAAATATTACCACTAAAAACTTTTAAACTATAAAACAATACAAAGCACACCGAAGTCAATAAAGATTACTAAATCTTGGCGCATATCGGAGCCTAGTTAGTTCAAACATCAAGACTTAGCAAACGAGTATATACACATTTCTGCATTTTCATGTAAATTTTACAATAAACTCGAATTTATGATCTTCGCCGTTCAATCTGCAGACCTCATTATGTTAATCCAAAATGTCAAGAGCAATAAATTAGTATATGAGTCATTCACATTGTGTCGTTCTATCGAATTAGTAATTAGGTACTGTAAAGATAGAATAAGGATATGGAATAAATAAATAAATAAATGTTTCTAGGCCAGCCTACCAACATCACCGGAAACGATACTTTCGAGTCCTCTCCAACAAAGCACTCCAAAAATAAACATGATTGGTATCAAAAACGGTACAGCCGTTACTGAGATTCGATCCGGCCAAGTGGAAGTCAAACGTGCTCCACCGCACGAGCCCATGCAACCCGAACACGTGACGATTAAGCCCAAGAGTAAAAAGTGTAAATGCTGTGTCATCCAATAAGCTTTCACCGATAAACAATGGTAAATTATCCTAATTTAACTTTGCTCTTATATTTATTTTTACGTACTTTGCATGTTATTGTACCAATTTATATCTAAAAATCTATTGGAATAAGCTTGTTTAGATTAGGATAGTAAAACCATTCACCGGTAACACTTCGCTTATGTCTACCGTTAATCCTCTGGTGTTTACTCGGTGCTCATTTTTCCTGTCTTCATAAAACCTTTGTTCGTTGCCCTTTTTATGTTTTCTTTGTACTCAGGTCGTCAATACACATTTTCCCTAATTTTTTATTGTGTATCTCTCTGTGTTTTTGTTTTCTTCTACTATATAGGACTTTTTAGCGTACAAAGTAATTATTATAACTAGTCTGGTTCAACATGATTTTTGCCTGAGATGCCTGCTATCCCAAGTTTCTAGAATATGTTAAGAGCTCTGCTTCGTTCAGAGTTGGTGGTAAGCATATGTTTATAGAAAATGTTTTTGGTGCATTTTAATATAAAATACCAGACATGTTAAATTTTTTGTTTGAGTTGTGATTATCATTTTGTAATTTAGATTATGGCTGTCTATTTATTACTAAATTATCGAAAATATTTTAGGAATTAAATTAATATTTGTACCTCTAATCTATATTAACGTTTGTGAAGGAATCTCAACAAAACTATATATTTTACAGTAAAATAAAGTGTTTAAAGGATGTCAGGGTGATTTAACCTGGGCACAGATGGCTAAATTTAAGATGTCGTCAAAACAATAATAATAACCAAAAAAAAGTTTCAATACAAATGCAAAATTTATAAAAATTATGATTAACCCAAAACAATCGACCAAATAATTTTATCCACCAATGCCCAGTTCAAAAACCATTATTAATCTACATTTAAAAAACTCTTCTATCATTTGGTATATTGTGAGACGTTTATCGTGATTTCAACATATTATTTTTAAACTGTTAATAAGTTCTGTGTTGAATAATGTCTACATAATTTAAATGTATATTTTTATATGTTTATTAAAATAAAGTATTAACAGTAAAATAGTATGATTACATAGTATTGGGATGATATCAGTGACTGTACTAGAATAATTAAATTTACCGTCATTCAGCTATTCCCTTCCACCGCTATAAGGATTGTAAAGTTAGGGATGGGATTGTGATGTGGTCTACACAGAAAGGCACAGGTGATGAAAGACTGTTTAAGCATATGAGGGGTTTATAGCGCGTGGAGTATGCTTATGATAGTATGTAACGCTATAGTCATAGACATCACAACATTTAGACCCGTTTATGTAATTCACGCTTGCGTCCAGTAGTACTATTATTCATCTTGATGTATAGACTAGTATTTATTTTATTTAAGCGGCAAAGTTACGGTATTGTTATTAACATCCACAGATAACAAGAAGTTAAGTCCAATTTTTATACTTTTTTATTTAATTTTAGGGTATTAAAATGTCACCATGTGTTTTATCATGCAATTAAGTATGGTACTAATTAAAAGTACTACAGAAAAATTAGTTGCATAAATAGCATCATATTACTCTTTCAAAGAGGATTCACATGCCTTGACCTTTAATCTAACGAAGTTTATCCTTGTATCAAAAAATTTAAGATAATACCGAAGCTTTGCTGCCAGTACTGTGACTTTTAATAAATATTTTTCAATTAAATCGAATAATTCAATAGTGCTATAGTAGTGTTACTTGACATCTAGAGGGCGTGATACGAAGATGTTTGCAATTTTTGAGATTAGTTTCCCTCGAACGGAATAGTTCCCTTAAGTAGATAGGTAAATAGAAAGCTAAATTAAGATAATTATTCAGGTTATTTGTTATTTAAAATAAATTATTTTTATTTTTACAATAGGTTTTGTTTTTAGATATAAGCGACATTAAACAGTTTAAGATTTTTTCGGTACTGATTAGATCATTTTAACAGCCATTTGATGAGTAATTGTGATGTGTGTATTTAGTTTGTGAGCATTGATTCAGTAATGATTGTTCGCAGTGTCGCTTGATAACAAGCACTAAGGCGATTACACTTTTCGCTAATAATTCAATGGTACTAGCTTAGCATTAAAAATCAACCTGTTCAAGCTCTGGTCATTGTAACATCGCTGTTAGATATAAGATAATATTTACCAATATTGGCTTCATATCGTTAAGCTTATCGCTATACAATAAAAAACCTAACTTTAAATCTCACGGCTTTTAAATGATTCGCCCATTATAAAATAATTCTTTCTTGACTTTTCTTTCGTAAGTTTCATGTAGTTGCATTCTTTCTTGCACAAATTTATTATAATAAAATTGGGCTATCTTTTAAATCAGATATTTTTTGTAAGGTTTTCCGACTGTCTGATAAGGACCTCTCTGTATCAATGGCTGGAGTACAAGACAAGAGTTTTGTTGTTAACTTGAACCCAATATGTTCCTTAATAAAGTTTTTTATTTGCATGTAAAATACTGTCATTAAGGTTCTATATTTTTTTAATAATTTGCTTCCAGTAGGTCTCTTTGGATGTTAAGTGTCTCATTTTAGTGATAAGAATATTATTGTTTCCAATATTTAACAATAGCCATAGCAATGTATGAAAATATATTTCTATAAAATATTATTTCTATTGTCTATCGATAAATATGTACAAATTGGTTTTAATTTTTATTTATATTAAATCTTTAAAGTCGTTTTCTTGTTTTATTGCAATGAAACCATTTTTTATTTTAAAATTTATTCCAAAATTTTTAATTATATAAATGTACTGAATAGTTAAAAATACACATGCAATGAAAATAAAACACCAGCACACTAAAGTAATTTTTAAAGATAATAATTAATGTGAATTATTTTATTTGAAGTTAAAACACCTCAGCTATTTTCTTACAAATGTTTATTAAACAATTTAATAATATTCTACATTTATAAATGATAGGTATATATAATATAAGTTCCAAACCGCGACCTTTATGAAGACATTTAAATTGTCAAATAGTGAAAATAAACTTTACACTGTTTAACTTAGTAGAATAATTAAAATATAAAGTATTATTTGCCATTGTTATTGTCAACAAAATTACATTTAAATTCATGATAGTTACTTTTAAGTATTAAGTCTAGGCCAAAGAAACTAATTAAATTAAAAATATATTAGATTCGCAGAAATGCCTTTATACATTTAATAAATTTTTCTAAAAGGGGCTTTAAATTCGATACAATCTTACATTATTTAAACAATATCGTAAACATTACTAATTTATTAAACGTTTATATTGACTACATGTAGTTTTTTAAAATTTAGAGGTAATTGGAATAAAAATAAACAACAGAGGTTACATGGCTTTTCGGCGCTTGACTTCACGGTTCGAATAAAATGATACCGAATGATATTTATCTTATTGCTACGAGTTTGACGAAGTATTAAAAGCTCTGACAAAATACTCATAATATTCATATCGTTTGACGAAATTTATGAATGATATGATAAAAAAAATACATTTAATATTTACAACATATAATATGTAATTTATATAATGTGTATGGCATTTAACTAAACCTATACCTGTTTGTAACATTGAATCAAAATTATCCAGAAGAGATTCGGTTGATACGTACGTTTTGTACTTACAATAATAAAAATTACACCTAATTACGTACTAAGGAATATTTAAGTAGAAAATATTATCAGTCGATTTCGGAACAGTTCGCCTTATAATTTATTATTGAGTTTAAATTGGAATCGGCACTAGGCCTTTATATTATGTACTATTTCTTAATACTACTGGAAATTACTGTAATTAAAGATTCATTCGTTATATCAAGTTTTCAAAATAATAAACATAGTAATGTACTATGGACGCGACAGCGAAATTAAATATGGTATATATATTATGAAAAAATATACAATAATACCCAGAAACTATAACTATAAAAAAAGAACAGAAAATATAAATATATACTATACAGAAATTGGACAATAGTGACAAGTAAATTGTTTTGTGATAATGAATATCCTATAACCCGAATTTCCATAAAAGCATCTCAATCATGGGGAACGCTAAAATAATCGGAAAAATAAAATATTTGGGACGCATACGTGGTCTACAAACGTATCGTTCTCGCTTTAGTAACAATAAGTGATACATCCATGGGTGGAAAATGTTGCAGTAACTTCACGTTAGACGCAAAATCTCCGGTCATTATGTCGTCCCTCACTAACCTGGAATTATTTACTTATGATTATAATGATATTGTAAACTAAAAAATGCATTATTAATAGATCTGATACTTAGAGGCTGGCAAGTATAAATTTATTATAAAAAGATAGCCAAGCATTTAACATTAAAAAGTACTTTTCCCAAAATAAAACACAACGCCATTCTGGATATCGTAACCCAATTTTTCGAAACCCATTGAATTAATTAATGCATTTTATTCCTGTTAAATATTTTCTTATGTGACCATGTTTTACTTGAAATAACTTACAGAATCATGGCGCAGCAGACGCTTATCAGAAAATCGAACCTAGTGCTGTCCGCGAATAAGGAATCCCATATACGCTCAACATCGGGGAGAGAAAATTCCTGAGACAGCAGAAGTGTCAGCCACCTGTAAATTTTAATATAATTTAAATAAATCTTCGTTATTTAGTTAACCGTTCCAAGTATTACGAAAAGCAGATTTACTGCAATTTATTATTGTATTTTCAATGTCTCAATGCTTTAACTCATCAGCATAGGATCCAAAAAGTCAGATAAGTTTAGAATAAAAATACTGTCCATAAGAAAGTTCTTTACTATGTGTATAGCTTGAAATTACACATGGTTCAATTTGTTTGTATGTCGGGTACAGAAAATGTAAATGCAACAATTTTGTATAATTAAGCTGTGACTTAAACAGTAGCATTGTATCAAATAAAAGTGCGGAAACATAAACACAAACAGGCCTTATGAAGCTGTTCAAACAAGAAATTATAAATTTATTGAAATAAAAACTGTATTGATCAAATCAAATTGAAATAAAGATATTATATTGATATAGTCCGCTGTTTTATCATTTCATTTCATCTTTTTAAAATATGGAACACAAATAAGGCTAGTTGGGATAATTCTGTTGTTTTCATTTAAATTAATTAAAAGGAATATTCAAATGAGAACTCTCGAACACACCAAGCGGTCACGCCTGTTTCCTAACACCATATTAACGTTCAAACTGTCATTACAATCCTTGCTCTTGGTCTCAGATAATTTAGCCAAATAGGTTCATCCTTTTTTGTATGATATGTTGATTTTTAGTCAAGCCATGCCGGTTTTCTCACGATGTTTTTCTTCATAATAGGTTTAGTAGCGGTAAGTTAGTACACAGCCGTAATTCGAACGTCAAGCGTTAAGATCATATAAAATCATTAAGAGCTTCATATTAAATCAAATAAAATTGTTATGTCCGGCAATGAGGAAGTAAGACGACACAATGTCATTTCGTTTATTTGTGATTGGTCATCTTATCATCTCGTCCAATCGCAGATCAATTAATGTGTCCTTTTGACCAATCACAATCAAACGAAATACGTCATTCGACGAAATTCTAGCACTGGCTTCACTAAACAGGCGTAGAAATGTGTCTGAGCTAAATGTAAAAAAATACTATTTAATATTTATTGTGTTGAAATATATTTTACCTGAAGCTGTAGTACTGCGGTCGCAACTCCTGCTTGGAAAGTCTCTCCCAGACTGCGTAATCATTCATTTTTAATCGTTCACTTAAACGAAACATCATATTATTAATACCACTCTCGGTCTCGTCAAGTGAACGAATGAAGAAATCTCGTATCTCAGCCATCAGGTTTGTAAAACAGAAGAAACAGTCGGCTTCCGCGTTCTCTGAAAGAACATAATAGAAATACGAACTTAATAAAATGTGTAATTCATATATATGTATAAAGTATATCCATATATATATATGTACGTTTAAATTACCAGATCGCTTTAAATTAGGTAGGGGTATCATTTTTATTCTATGATTATAAATGTTTTATTATCATATATAATAATTTGGATCAGGTCCAAACAGTTTTATATTATTTTCCCAGCAAGTTAATTCTACAATCACATCAAACAAAAATGATTGTGTTAACTCCTCCATGATATTAATGCCAAGCATAATTCTGTCACCTAGTATAGGTACTATTTAACATAGATATCAACGACAAATGTTGTATAACAAAATTAAGGGAATCGGAGGTACTTCATATAAATATTTTAGATCTTTACGTGGCGAAATAATAATTCAGAACACATAAAATTACTTCTAAAGACCAAGGGAATAACTTCAAATTGGATTCTTCGCATAAGTTAGCTTATTGTTAAAACATATTCACTTCTTTGTTCCATATTAGGGTCGACAGCAAAAGTATGATATATTGGTCCGATGATCTCATTCATGCCTTGGACGTAGCCCTGGCCAGGGTTCAGTTTTGCATATAGGAAGAGCATCCTCTCCACCACTTCCCAGTGAGCTTCGGCTCCCTCCTTCAATGGTACGTAGTCCCCACTTAGGTTGTCCGTACGGCGAATAACATTGTTGAGCTTAAAAATATTTATATTAAATTAATAAAATATGCCTGAACTGATTATGTTCTATCTCTATTATTTATCATGTATGTGTATTATTATATTATACAGGTACTCTTTTTAAGGAATTTAAATTGTGTAGTATTGGATTAGGGTCACTCATAGCCCTAAGTCTCGTTTCTGAATATCGCCATTGGTGTGTATGTATTTTTATAAACAATATAATATATAATCAACATAATTCAACATAAGTTTGAAAAATAATTAAATGCGTCTATAATACATTTACATAAAATAATGGTATGGATTACATACCAATGGCGCCCTAGCCTATGCACAAAACTAAGATTAATTTAAGGAAATATGCAAGTAATTCAAAATCAATCCAATGTAGTCCCAATCACTATTAAACATTGTGTTTGGCAGATCTTTAAACATCATTATAAGGAATATGTACCGATAATATACACTAAACTAAAAACTGTACCAATTTTGACAACTATTCTCAATACTATATTAATTATATAATAATTTTCTATCTGAAATGATTATACGGGAATCGAACCTTTGGCTTTGTTCAACACATTAAACTTAAAAGAGGACGCCAAGAGAAAATAGAGACACATGTTCTCCAAAACAGGAGATTTTACAAAGCTATACCTTGACTAATCCAAATCCTCTTTGTTCTAGTGTTGAATAGTTCAAAACTTTTTGCTCCACTCGTTGATGTAAACGTTTCAATCCATTGCTATTTACTACCTATACATAAATAAAATCATTTTACCTGATATATTACTCTTAAAGTTCATACATTCAATTTAAATTCAATTATTTATAAGTCGTGTCAAAACGGACATTGAAGGTTAACATAATTCCCAGAGTGAGAAAACCTCTCCACCGGAGATAAATAATCCTAACATACCTTATGTTAGGCTTATTTACTTTATTTCTATAACTACAACTCATTTAAATTGTATAAAATAGTTAAAGTTGTTGTAAAAGTATAGCCAAGAGCGGAATATACATAGAAAATATAGACACAAAGTGAACTGTAAACATATCAAACAAAGAAATAAAAACAAATAAAATATATTTAACCTTTTAAACTGTTGATTATTAAGTGTCAAATCTATTGACCCCTCTAGTACAATGTTTTTTGTTTTTGGATATAGCAGCATTTTTGCTGTAAAACTTGCTAAATTTAACCATGAATACTTTTTTCTGTACACAGATTGACTTATATGGATTGACATATGACAACTTTAATATTCCTAAAGTTTATTTTGAGCACAATGGGAATTATTATAACCTGAATTTTTAGGACTAACTTTAACTGAATTATATTTGTATGACACAGAGTTTAGTAATTCTATAGTTTAGTACTATGATAAGTACAAAAACTTTTATTTGTTCCTAAAAGTTCATTCAGTCTTTAAAGATTAAACCTGGATGGGCTGACTCTCTAAAAACTTAAATATGCAATATCTTATATATTATAAATAATCATATTTTTATTACCTATAACCTTTTTTATAACATAAAATATATATACATAGTGAGCAATGCCATAAATCATTAACTTACTTCAGAGCAGGGAAATTCAGTAGCGGATTGAAAAAAGGATATCTCTGGACATAATCTTCTTACATCTTTATCAATTTGTAAAAGAACTTCATTATCTTTGAAATATTTACTCCAAGAGCTTTCAGGACTTATACTTAGAGGATGATCAGTGGGACCACCTGGAGATACTATCATTTCCTCTGAAAAAATGTTGAGTAACTCAATAAGCCATAGATATAAGGTATTTATTATTAGCCAAATATGCTATGACAATCTATAGCTTCTATGAGTGAGTAGATAACAAACTTGACTTGTTACATGAAGTTTTTAAAGAGACCATAAATATTTTGTTGAAACCACCATAGAAATGGATTTCCACCAACTATAACACAATAGGTGTTAGGGCTTCTTTGGATTAATATTATTTTTTTCTTCTTAATTAATTCGCCTATACTCATAACAATTTACATACTTAAAAATTTTCTTTTTAGAGATGTTATTCTAATAAGTTTACTTAATGATCAAAAAATAAAAATGAAGAAGTTATCATTTATACTGCTACTCTCACCTATCAACTCCTTATACAGGGATCTTTGTTTTTTAAGTGTGGCTTCCCATTTGTTTCTCTGTTTTGGAATGTAGTGAAGAAATATCTTCCATATCAGAGAACGAAGGCCTTTTTCTTCTGTAATACCTTAAATTGGTTTTGATAGATAAATACTAGTATTTGTTTTAATGTAAAGACTAATAATTTATTAACAAGGTGTGAATATGAAATAGCTAATAAAAAATATAGACTTGAAAATTACTAGATGGTTTTACTATTTGAGAAATATTGCATGAATTTTATATTCTATGTAACTATTTCATGATATTATAAAACTTAATAGAAAATGTTTTATAAATTACCATTAAATGCCAATGATTGAAGTGTGATAATGTCAATCTCATCATTACTGAGGAGATCTTCAAAAGCTTTAATTCTGAAATTAAATATTAACATAAGAACCTATTTTTGAAACAAGCTATGCTAGGATAAAAATAGATTTAAATAGAATGCAATAGTAATTGGTAGGAAGATACAAAATTTGCTATGATATGACTATTTTCATAAAATCAGTAGTTTGGTTAACACAATAACATTGGTATGCCAATTGCAAATGATTTGGTTTAGCTGCCAAGTTTAATTCCACTCATTCAGGGTATTTTTTATCAAGATTTGGAACCAAAATTAGCTAAAGGTAAGATAGATCTCTTATTTGACAGAATAATTTTGCTACAACATAGACCCAAGATAGCCTTAAATGTAAAAAATAATATGAAAAACCCTATCATGATGAATATATGAAACATTTTAGTACTGACGGTAAATGGAAAATACATGCAGTATGGTAATAGATTAAGCAGTTTTAGAAGCTGTTTAGCGGTTTTAGAAGACATCTACACAATTTTCTATAAAGGCAGTGAATTTCCCGATTTACATTTTGGGCACTTAAGGTAGATTTATAAGCATATTTAAATATCTCAATCGCTGTGGATTCCGATATTGATGATGATGTATTAATATCTCACGCCCTCTTTAAAATAATTGTGGCGAGCTTCTATACAGATATAACAACAATTCTGATTTACCTGGCCTTATGTAAACTCATAATAGTTGTGTGGATACTGCTTTTCTAATCAAATTTAACTAAAATATTTCTTTCCTGCAGAAATCACTGATCAGGTATTGAGAAAAACAAATCTGTATTCGTCTGTCGTCAATCGTCATTCGTCAGTCTAGTTTCAGTGATGCCAACTCCTACCGAATGTTCCCCCTGGGCCCTGGGGCCTGGCCCCTAGGCAGTGTTGGCAACCTGAGAGACGGCGCTGATCGTACCAGGGGCGTAAAATTATCGTTCATTTTGAAATAGCATAAAAACTGGTTAATTATTAATCAAATTGATATTATCACGAACTTATATTCACCCGACACCTTGCTTTTTTTTTTAATTTTATAAACTTCACACGAATGCACCGCGAATTAGATTTTTAAAAAATTGTTTTAAAACTGCTGCTGTGCGGCTGCTCTGTGATTTTATTCCGAAAAAAAAACAAGAATATATTTGAATTTTCGAAAATTATCGTACATTTGCGTACGATAATGAATCGCGATCTTATATCGTACGTGGGTATCAAATTATCGTACAATTGCCAACACTGCCCTAAGAGCAACTTCAAATACCACTAAATATATATCGATTAAAAACCCCTAAAGTTTCTTTTGTACTCTCGGTTTCTTTTCTGCAGAAATCACTGATCAGGTATTGAGAAAAACAAATCTGTATTCGTCTGTCGTCAATCGTCATTCGTCAGTCTAGTTTCAGTGATGCCAACTCCTACCGAATGTTCCCCCTGGGCCCTGGCCCCTAGGCAGTGTTGGCAACCTGAGAGACGGCGCTAATCGTACCAGGGGCGTAAAATTATCGTTCATTTTGAAATAACATAGAAAATGGTTAATTATTAATAAAATTGATATTATCACGAACTTATATTCACCCGACACCTTGCTTTTTTTTTTAAATTTTATAAACTTCACACGAATGCACCGCGAATTAGATTTTTAAAAAATTGTTTGAAAGCTGCTGCTGTGCGGCTGCTCTGTGATTTTATTCCGAAAAAAAAACAAGAATATATTTGGATCTTCGAAAATTATCGTACATTTGCGTACGATAATGAATCGCGATCATACATCGTACGTGGGTATCAAATTATCGTACAATTGCCAACACTGCCCTAAGAGCAACTTCAAATACCACTAAATATATATCGATTAAAAACCCCTAAAGTTTTTGTTGTACTCTCGGTTTGAGAGATAATTTCAAATATGCATCAATAAAATCAAGTGGTATAAAATTTAGATCTTGGAGTATCACAGCTTTATGATATTTCAGTTATAGCCATGCTTGGAGTTTATATTTGGTTTAGTTTGTTGGTTGGGTCTAGGCTTTATAGAAATTGTGTAAAATTGTGCGTTTCTTGAGAAGAAAATAAATTAATTTCTTATACAAAGTAACCTTAATAAATGTGCCCTCTAAAAACCCCCGATCGATAGGGAGAAAATCCCCAAGTAAATTGGCATCACTGTTCTGAATGCTAGTAAATAATCCGGCTATTTTTTTTCTTTACTATTCCGTTTTCCTTACCTTTGTCTGTGGCAATACGGTCTGCGTGAGGCTATTAAAAAAATATCCGGCTAATAAATAAATTAAAAAAAAAATGCTACTAAATAATCTTTACATTAGCGAGTAGTAAATTACTGCAGACTGTGACTATGGACATTCATTAGACTTCTATTTGATTTTACGTTATTTCTTAGTAATCTCTTTTGAAACGAAAATACCTGGTTTCAACGCATAAAATTTTATGAAAACGTAATCCAAGAGTTAATTAAATACTTTTTTATTAATAAAATGTTTTGACTTTAAAAACAAATAAATATTTTTTAATGGAAAAATAATTATTTATTTAATCAATTAAATATAGTAAGAATATATTATGTTTCATCGTTGACAGTCCCATATAACATGACATCGCCAATGACGCAATTTTTATTGTAGTATTTTACACTTTAAGCATACAACACGTAGACGGACTGTGGTATAGACCAGGCATAAGCGTACAGCGTGTGAGATAGCGAATGATTGACATAACTTCATAATGCCACTAATATTGCCATGAAAAAAATTTCCCTATTTTGTAGGGTAACTTTTACTATAAGAAATACCCCACAAAAAAAATTCAGGGGGTGCTCACTCACTCCACACGCATATTAATCAGTAACGTTAAATTAAACCACACCCGAACACTCTATACAACCGCTGCGTAGTAACTGTTCTACCTAATACACCATAGACTTTCATTATAGGAAGTGTGTGTAATACACAGACGTAGTTTTTGTACACGCACAGCAGTGTGCGTGAAGTCTAGGGCTACCGACTATACTGTGTACAGTCTACATTGGTTAGGTTAGAAACAATAACAATAACAATAACAATTATAACAATATTATTATTATTTTTATTATTTATTTATAACATTTTTTTTAAAGTGTTTTGAGCATATCCGGGCGTTTTGAGTTGGATGCCAGTTTAATCTACCGGTACACTCAGTCCATTTATTATTTAAAAACGGTTCATTCGGAAAACTGAAAAAAGTGGAAAATTTGTTCAAGTGCTGGTAGCCCCTAGGTAATAATTCTGTAACTCGAAGTTCATTTATTAGATTATAGTGATTTAACTCAGCTTTTCTTCTCACCCAGTCTTTCCTTTCCATCGTATCTTTCTTGATTGCTTTTTTTAGATAGTAAAATTAATGCAATACTCAATGCAACGATTTTTTTCTTTCTATCCATTATGTTAAACGTGCGCACATAATCTAGCTGCGAAGCGACTGACTCAGGTTGTACCATGAAAAATTGCCAATAATATTGCGTAGTGTGCGGGGACCGTATATTGATGAAGATTATTGACAATCTTGCATTATTTTGTGTGTGCGGCTAGCCTAATATGGGCAAGAAACTTCTGAAATAATTTTTTGAGGGTATTTGAAAATAATCGCTACTATAAAAGCATGGAGTTCACAGTAACGAAGTTAAAGCGCTGGCCGCAGCTGACATAGCTTTTCTTATTGTTACTAAAATATGACATTATAGTAAAAAATTATATTACATTATATTATAGATAATAATTGACTAGGAACGTTAGTATAGGTGCCTACTGCATCGCGCACTGTGTTGACTTCGTCTCGGAATAATTTGCCTAAGCGTAAGTAAAAATAAATTTATTTGTACGGATTAAATTGTTCATTTAATTAATATAATAATTTATAGGCATAGTTCTGCAGCCGATAACCCATATAAAACCAATGTATCCTTTCTCGAACAATTAGGTTGACACGTGGTGAAATTGAGACAAAGATAAATCTTGGACCTTGTTGTGTAGGCCTTACGCTATTACTCTTTAAGTTTCTTAAAGACAAGGCTCGTTACCTACCTTCGGAAATGCGGTATTAATATACCGCAGCGTGACTGCGTGTGCAGGGTGATATGAAAGTAGGCTGGTGTGCCCTAACCACTAAAACAGAATAGTGCCTATATCCCGCGCTAAAGGCGGCTAGGTAACAGCTTGGCGTCAATTAAGTGCTTAAGTGCTTTAGTATTTAACTACCCTATACAACACATTAACAATTTGCTTTGTTACAGAATGGCGTTTCGTCAATATCAACTGCTTCGAGCAATTTTACTGGTAGGGACAGTTTCCCTCAACACTTTGTGTACTAATTGGGCCAACCAAATGATGTCTAAAGCATCCGATGGAGCAGAGAGACTATTCAATCATCCATTTTTACAAGTAAGGAAACATTTATCGTTCTATTACTTTATCATCCGATTTGCAAATAAATCTATAATTGTTCATAGGCAGCTGCAATGTTTGGTGGTGAAACTTTATGCTTATTAGCTTTTAAAGTGGTTAACGTATTATCACGAAACTCTGAGGAAAATGTTCTTACCAAGGGGAATAGAAATTTAAACCCGATTATACTTCTTCCTGCTGCAGTGTTTGATTTGGTAAGTTTACTACACTTAAATGAAATATTTATTGTCCTGGTCCTAACCTACGCCACAAATAGTTACATTAATATGTAAAATTGTTTTAAAAATTTGATGGTTTTTGTTGTAGCTTAGTACTGCAATTATGTACATTGGCCTTACCTTCACATATCCAAGGAGCTTACTGATTTTCCGAGGCTCTGCAGTTCTTTTTGTCGGAGTGCTCTCTACCGTATTTCTAAAGAAGCATATACTATTAAAAGAATGGCTTGGAATGGGTAGGTAACTCTGAAAATATTATAACATAACATTTTTATACTATACAAAACAAAAGGTATTTATTTAATTTATTCAAAATATTAGTTACATTGTCTACTCAGAAATATCACGATAACATTAATTTCTAGTCATTGCTACTGGGCTATATGGAAACATTGTGTGAACACTTAAAACTGATCGAACAGACCATTAAGATTTATATAATTTCTACTTGGTTTGTTAATCTTATATTTAATTTTCCTAAATTATAATATAATAAAATAAAACAACGTGAGTAAGCTCAGTATTGGAAGTAACTGACTTTATATTCAAGAACATACGAGGTACTACATAAAAGTAGAATGAAACATGTCTCACTAGGTGACGCTAGTCTGTATGTATGCCTTGTCTCATACAATAACCCCACTCAAAATAGTCACTATTCTCTAGTAGTATCTCTACTTGATAACAAACAAAATTAACAAAAAAAAATGTATCTTAACAATCCCTAAAGCATTCAATTGTTTATAAGTTTATATAGCGCCGCGCCTGGTCTGCAGGCATATCTGATGTACACTAGAAATTAACACTAAAAATGTTTTCATTTATCATATCAGTACAAAAATAGTATCTGACAGCAATTGGTTTTAAGGCTCGTTTACGCTGAGTCAACAATGTGCGACAGTGCCGCATGCCACACATTGTGGCATGCAGCACCTTGTGGCATGCTACAAATAGAAAGCATTTGCGGCATATGTGGCATGCGGCAGCCAATTTTACGTCGAGGCAACATCGTGCCTGGATAATTTCCAAAGCATTGTGCTGTTTATGTAGTGTTGCTGGTCTACCAACTTGTTCTATCGAGGGGATAAACCATAGAATATAGCTGATCAAGTAACTTTAGCAGAAGCTTATTTAATAAGAAAAAAGTTGATGGAAAAGAAGATAAGTTCATAGGTTATTCTGAACTTAACAAAAATTAAGGCAGACGATAGTGCCTTATTTCAAATTGTCAACTAAGGTTTTTTTTTTACTTTTGTTTTAATTAATTTTTTTTAGTCCATTTTAAAATGTTTATTTTTCGGTACATCACTTCATGACCGACAATTTTCACTTTCCAAAACATATATAAACAAAAACATAACCTAAAACTGTTTTGACGAACGATAAATGTCGCATGGAATCCATTGTACCCGGGTGTTGCCATGCCGCACGGTTCTTGCACCAATGTGCGACATTTTTAACTTTGTAGCATGCGGCCTTGTAGCATGCTGCAATACGGCACAGTGTTGCCCCGGTGTAATATAGCCTTTATTATGAAAAACTACTCCGCTTCGGTACTAGAAAGCGCCATATATTTTTGCTTACTGTACCTCCAAAATATAACGAAATCCCGAATATGATTTAAATTCCTCCAGTAGAAGAGTAACATCAATACTTATGATAATAATTTGTTTCTAACTGTATAATATTTACATTACTTTATTTTTTCAGCAAATATAACCATTGGTTTTGTGATTGTTGGAGTGACAGATGTAATTTTTGCTTCGTCCAAACACCAAAAGGGGCAGAACAGTTTGCTAACTGGAGATATACTTATTATAATTAGCCTAGTGATCTCAGCATGTCAGATGGTTTATGAAGAGAAAATTATTTCCGGTACGAACAAAAAACGTTTACAGTTCTTAGAAATGTTTTAAAGTTTCAAAACTATATAATTACAATTAGAAAAGTTTATTATTTCATACATATTTCACCGATCTTTATAATGACAAGTTCTACGTCACGGCCGCCACGGCTAGTGCGCGCACACTGGTGTTTATCAACAGTTCAATTTCATCTCAGTGGCTACAGCGGCCGCGGCTGCTAGTGCGCTATAATTGTCCTAAGGATCAACAATGTCCAACTTTTATACTGTACACAGATTTGGACATACCACCCCTGCAAGCAGTGGGCTGGGAAGGCATATTTGGTTTCTCTATGACGTCACTTCTACTTTTTGTTTTCTATTGGGTGCCAACTCCACCTCACTTTGGCTATCGGCCCAATGGAACTATTGAAGACGCCATTGATGGACTGGTTCAAATTGGTATGATTATTATACATCATTGTTTTGTATTCATAATAAATATGCCTTCACTAGGACATTTTTAATTTTTAAACATCAAAGCGAATATGGTATTATTATAAAATGACGCATATTTTAATCATGTACTGAAAATTTATATTATTGTAGGTAATAATCAATTGTTGCTGTGTACTGTATTGGGCTCGGTTATCTCTGTAGCATTGTCCACATTTGCTGGAATCAGTATTACCAAGAAAGTTTCAGCCACACACCGCATGGTTTTAGATTCCATCAGGTATTTATCACATTTTCACATAAAGCACTGTAGATTTCAAAATTTATTTTTTTCTCACAAAATTATTACATCTTAACAGTTAGGTAGTACGAAAGCGATAGAACTACATAATGGTATTATTATACAGTTATATAGTTCTATACACTGATCATTCTACAATTAAATTTAAAAAAATCAGTGGCAGTCAGTGTCTACAACCTGGGTTTCAAGATTTCTGTATCTGTTTCATGATCAGGTGATCAGCATGTGCTTGACTCCATTGGTACACGGGGGATCGAACCTACGACCTCAGGGATTGAGAGTAGCACGCTGAAGCCACTAAGCCAACACTGTCTATTAATATTTATTAATTCTACAATTAAAATACATTTAAAAAAATGTCTATAAACGATGAATTGTATTTTCAGAACAATTGTGATTTGGATCGTGTCGGTTTTGGTGAAATGGCAAGAGTTTTATTGGTTACACATTGTTGGGTTTGCCGTTCTTATTCTAGGCATGTGCAACTATAATGGACTACTGACATGTAACGATAGAACATATGACGATGATGACGAAGATGATGAAGATGAAGATTTTAGTATTTTAAACATTTAGGCAGTTTTGGATCAAGTCTGTTCGTTTTTTAAAGGACTAAATTTCCGAATATTTTGACGTGTATAACTTTGAAACAACTGACCACTATTTTATTTTATTCTTTACACCATTAATTATTTTTATTAAAGTTCTAATAAGATATATTTTTGCAAGTTCCATTTCAATACCTTCAAAAAATTTTTTCGTGTTTCGGACCTCCGATCTCATGTACGTTTAAACTAAGCTACGGAGGCAGTACATGTATTTTTATAATTTCACTTTTCTTAACTCGTTAATTTTGTTTACTATGTATTCAAATATATAAGCCTAAGTTAAAGGCTATTTAATGTTTATATAACTAGTGATTATCTATACTCTTGTATTTCTTGCTAACATATAATAAAAGGAAAGACACGATTTGGCATTTCTTAATTTCACCTTCATTTGAAGATCAAACTATTTAGTTAGGAACTAAGTTTTCTACTACACCTTTACTACCTTATAACGGAAAATAAAATATACATTACCAAATATAATCGTTAATACATTCAAATGCGTTTATTTACTGAATTTAAAAAAATACGTTATCGAATATTTTTGTATGTTGACGTTTAAGTTTGGTAAAATGAGTTATCTTGAAACATAATTGTAAATTGACCAAACTTCAATTTATACACGAGTAACTATACCAGGAATAATCTATTTCATGATTTCAATCTCGAGTAAATCCATAGTCGTTTCTCCATGTAATCGATAGTATAATTATTGCGCTAGGAATAACAATACGCGAATGGCAAAGAGAATGGTGAACGAAAATAAAACTCGGCAAATGAATGTTGTTCTACAACGGGATAGTGTAAGAGCATACATCATGTCAACTCGATTTTGATGTCGAGCCCTTCATATTACATGTTTTTATTACGTGAAACGAAAACGCCGTAAATCTCTTTTTATTTTAAAATTATCAACGTAAATAAGTAATTTAATTGCACCAAAAATACTAACGCGGATAAATGCACTAATAAATGCATAAAATACTGTCACTAATTACTTCAATTACACGCCATTAACACTTTTACAGTACTTGAGCTCTTTACTATTTTAACTTTTATCTTTTCTATGTTAATCACTCAGATTCGCACTAGGCATAATTCAGCCTCTTGAAAACGAGGATAACTTTATGTAACTTCTAATTTTCGTGTATGTGATAAAGCTTCTCTTGAAACGGTCATAAATCACATTTCAGCTTTCACATTTCTAAGTTTCAGAAAAATCGAGAAGCATTTCATTCTATCCGTCTTCGTAACAATATATTCTAACAATGTCGTCGGACGAGGTCAAAAAGAAATCCTCGTAGCAGGCCAGTAACTTTTTGGCCGGCTCCCTAGATTCTTTTAGTCTTTCAAAAATCTGCTAAGATAGAAAGCCCTGTGTTTTTTTCTAACTTCATTATCACACCATAATTGTAACCATTCGAGCGATAATATGGTGATGTTTACGAATAATGCTTGAATTCAAAGATGGAGAGCCTTTCACAGCTTCCATAATACATCCTTTACTTTTTATAAAAGATCAGACTGTTGACTCCGGTTAATTCGGGCTAGTTCTGGTTCTTTGCCAATTCACAAATTTTTATTATTGAATCAAATTTATTGATAATATTTAGTATACACTCCACAACCGAACACCCCGATGCGCGCATTCATCAGAAAATAAAACCGCGTATCTCCGAATTCACGCAAAACAGGTTATTACTGTATTTAAGGTTTAACTGTGAAATTAGACGGATTAATTTTTATACATTAAGACGTAAACATACAATAAAACACGTGTAAGATTTAATATTACTAAAATAAAAGTGGGAATGCGGATTTGGTCATGTTTTATATATTTCTTGTATTTTTAATAAAGCATAAAACATGTACAAACGAATGCAAAATCTATGAATTTAGAAATTATATACCTTTATAAAAGACCGATCTAGAGTCCTTGTATATGTGTAGGTAGCATATACAAGGACACATTGACGAAAATATTAAAAAAAAACAGTGAATGTTTATAGCTTGGTGTGAATCGAAATAAATATATAAAATTATATGAGCTTTTATTAAATTTCCACAAACGCATAATTACATCAATTCCATAAATTCTTTTAATTCTGCAGTTTCAGAGGGCATTCCTTTCATTCATACAAATTACTGACAAAATAATTAAATACTATTTTTCTTTATTAAATATATACTCAGCAACTGCAAGGGGCGATAGGGGTCATATAACTTACTAAGTGTGTGTAACTTAGTAAGTGTGTCACTATTAATATGCTATGATAACGTAGAATTATATAGACATTAAATAACACTTATGTTTCAAAGACAAAAGAAGAAATAATGTAATGTACTCTGTATATAGAGGCCTACATATGTGATATGAGGCTATGTGGTGCCGTCACAGTCAGCTTATATCTAAATGCTACTTAATTATGTGCTTAAAGCTTTACATAGTATCAATAAATGTAAGACATATTGATTAAAAAAAACATAGGTACATTAACAGTAATAACTTGATGGATATATTCTACTATATTGTAAAATAAAGATAACTTATTCTCTTAGTTATAATAGCCAAGAGCCAAGAGAAGTTAGAAAGACTCCTTCTATTAAGCAAGTTTTTTTAGTGAGACATTGGGAAGTATACCCCCTACAAGAAGCAAATTCTGTAATTGCAATACCTGTGATAGGTTAAAATGCTTTTAAATTCTTAATCTAACTCTTTCCGCTCTCGGCCACGTCTCATGCTGAGGCTTAAGGTGTGTTGGGTAGCATGCAGCCCGCGATGTGGGGGCTGGAGACAGTAAAATTTATAAAAATAATAAACTCAACTTGAATAACTACACTTTCCGATAGTAAATGTATTGAAGATTTTGTAAAATAAAAATTGTCTCCCGGACGTCTGACGCTGGCAGATTTTACATCGGCAAAAGGGTAAAAATAACTCGTTCCACATCTCCTGTCGATTGCGCACACTATCATGCCCCTATGACTTGAGTTGGTCAAATCGGGCGTTCTGTGGAAAAGCGCGCTCCATATTTGAAATGCTATCCATCCACTAGGAGCGCCCAATATTTATGATCAGCCCTGCGATTCTGTAACTCACTTTTCGAACTCACTCAGCGGTTTTCGCATCGGCGGTCGCTCTGAAATCAGTCGTGAAGCAGTCATTTTATGATTTGGCATTCTAATAAACAATAAACTACAAGCTTCCACCTTTTCAGAATGCCAAATCATAAAATTACTGCTTCACGACTGATTTGAGAGCGACCGGCGATCCGAAAACCGCTGTGTGAGTTCGAAAAGTGAGTTACAGAATCGCAGGGCTGTTTCCATAACGACATTACTATTCTTGCCACCGTTCCCACGGGCCGTTGAATTTAGGAATGTATAAAAATGGATACCACAGGTTGGAACAAAATATTTATATTAAAATTTAGGTTTAAAGATTGAACGCACGAGTCGATTAATGGTTGCGAATTAATTGTCAGCTCGAATGCGAGACATCAAAATTGCACTTGTATGGCGACCATCTTTTTCTACCCTTATTAATTTCTCAAGGTTCTCTACAAATTACACACCCTCTTACAGTCTCAAGTTCCATAATCTTTACTTTATCCCGACCTGATAAAAACTCAAAACCATACTAACAAAAAGCATAGCACCGGTTTTCAACAATTCAGTTAATGGTTTGGTTAAAATTTGAAACAGTTGTATCACCGCCCTAAGTAGCTGATTTTGTTAGGGTTTTTTTTTATAGCACAGGGGGCAGGAGGCATACCTGATGTTAAGTAACACTCTCAATGCCAGAGGGATTGCGAGTGCGTTGCTGGCCTTTAAATAATAATACGTTTAATACGACCCCCTAATTCCCTTCCCCTCGAAATAAAAGGGGATGAACGATTAACGCTTGCAACAATTTCTATGATGTTATTGGGGATTTTTGCGAATTTTCAAACGCAGCATCAACATGCAATGCCATAGCATTGACAATAAGAAATTAAAATTAATTAAATCATATCCGGGCGGTAGATTTAACAATACTTAACCCCTTTTTATTGTATGGAACTAATTCGTTGGTATTAGTATGCCCCGAGCCTACAACGCTTGGTTTGGGTTAATTTTTACATGCCTATATGTATAATATATATTCATTGTATATATATATATCTATGTACAATATACTTAAATATTTTTTAAATACTTGGAACTCCTTTCACTATAATTTTTACAAGAAATAAGGCAAATCTCCAAAAATATATAATAACAAAATTCATACAGCAGTCTTCGATGTAATAACATTCAATTAATAGTCAAATCGATGATCATAACTAATACACTTAAGAAAGACACCAAGGTTAAAGTCATGCTTTGATTAGTCTTAAAATGATACTCATTATAGAATTCAATTATGGATAAAATGCCACAAATAAGATTTAAAATTAGTCCTGAAAAAATGAACGCCGACTCAATGAATCTATTTGACGTAATGTTCAAACCGGATTCAAGCAATAAGCCCAAAACAATTATACTGTATCCACCATACACGCCCAAGGTGATGAAATTTCCGAACGATGATAAATTACCACATTCTGAATTGAAGAAAAATCCGATCACCATCATTACTAGAACGCTGCTTCTAATTACAATTTGCACAATTTTATATGCCATTGTGTTAATAAAATAACAAATAACATGTCTAAAAATATAAAATATTCAAAATAAATATACTTTCAACTTAAAAGTCTGTGTTCGTAACGACAATGACGATGTCATGGTGCATAAGGATGTGTTTATATTTATTATATATACATACATATAATGTGTACTCGTCTGTACGTATGAAATTTATACCATTATTAAGCTTTGCGAGTAGCGACATTTGGACAATGGTTTATTTAAATCCGATGATAAAGAAATTACATCCAAAAATCTTAAACTTCGTTCTCACTTTACACATAGATAAAATATATTTTATAGACTATATAATTAAACTTTTAAACCTATTTATAAACAGAACTAGATTAAGCCGCGTCTATAAAGTATAAATATTGTGAATCCGTAGATGGAACCGTTTGAAATGTGATAAAATACATAAATTGAGTTTAAAATCTCAAGGTTGGCGGATATGCAATATTATTGAAACTTCCGTCGCAAGGGTTTATATAATATACAATACAGATCTAATATAGAATGTCTATGGAGAAGAAGTTTAAATTTTTTTTAAATGACAGTTATATTCAGAATAATCAAAATCAACTTCATTATTCATATTTTGTATACGTAAGTTTTTTTTATTTAAACTAATCACAAAATGATATTATATCTTATCATTTTAAATATCTTCTTTTGGAATGCTGTTTTTTGTGGAAATAATGAGTCTAGAACATTAACCGACTACTGTAATCATCCCGATTGCTCTTTAAAAAATCAGCATACAATGTGTGTAGCAAAAGGTAAACAGAGTTCCAGATTGTTCGCTTCGGGAATGACCAGATGGATGAGATATCAATTGCTTGTATTACATAATAGACAACGGGATAACATTGCCATGGGACTAGAGCCGGGCCAACCATCCGCGGCAAATATGCGGAAGATGTACTGGGATTATGAGCTCGAAGAAATGGCGGAGTTATGGGCACGCCAATGTCAGAAGCGCCATGACGAATGTAGAAACACGATACGATTTAATGTCTTACAGAATATAGACGTAAGGCCAGTAGTCCCGCGAGTGACTGAAGCTCAGGTACTGGCTGATGCTGTAGGCGGATGGTTTTCAGGCTCAAGACCGCTACACCCTGACTACGTTTGGTCTTTTAAACTTAGCAATTGCAGCGCTCCAGGAGGTTGCAATGCGCATTGGTACTCCACAGCGGCCTGGGCCTCTACTTGGCGGTTAGGATGTTCACAAGCGCTTTGTACAGCCAAAAAGAGATCCTGTGTTCATTTCAGAAAAAGACGCACACCTCCCACCCCTACCAATAAAATACTTGCTACACGTACATCTGTTGTAACCGAAAACTTACTTCGACGGACCAAATTTACTACATCAAAGTCTACAAAGTTGGAAGATTTCAATGTCACAAGGAATATTGGTTTAAAGGAATCACCCTTACACCGTGGTGTATTTGACTTGGGCGAACAGGAAGAGAAACGTAAGCAGACACAGATTTTGGCATTCACGATTTGCAATTATGGACCGGCTGGTAATATAGAGGGATTTCCCATTTACGAGGCTGGACCGAGTTGCAGCAATTGCCCCCAGGGAACCCAATGTGGAGATCGAACTCATAGAGCATTATGCTCAGTCTTAGGTGACCCGGATGCTGTAAAACAGACTTAGATTTATCTGTACTGTTATTTCTGATTTCACTTTGTTATTGTTATTCAAATTTGTTAATGTTTTAGGCTTAAGTTTTAGGCTCATTTTGTAGTTTAAATAAATATATATTAGATATTTTTTTTTATTTACAATTGGATTGGACATTCCGCCACGCAATTCCTACTAGCCAGACTTCAAATACTTTGAGAATTTTCTTGGCTAAACATTTTAAGATATAAAAGAAAGCTACATTTCTCTACAAAGTAAGTGTTTCAAACCTGAAGGATACCGACAACTTGGGAATGCAACTCGTATCACAATATGCGGCATACATTTTGAAATTCGCCACACGTGTACAATATTCGTAAAATTTATTTTACTTAAATATTTTTTTTTTAAATTTAGTTATGTTATAGTTATAATGAATAAAACTAACCACATGTTTATGGCCATTTACTTTAATACTTTAAAATAAAATCATTTTGTCTGAGAATCGGCTACTATCTTTCAAACCCCTAAGTGATAAGGGGTGTCCACTCCAAAAAATTATTTTATTTTTTAGACAAAACTTTTTGTTTTTATTTTTTTATGATACATAAATACATACAATGCAACCCTTCAAACTTCAACCCCTATTTTTTATTATAGTAGATAGTTATTTTAATTAAACTAAAAAAAAACTGGAAATAATATACTTGTCAAAACGTATGCCGGGTCAGCTAGTAGTGTGATAAAATTAACGAGGTTTATGGCCCCCTTCCACTCCTCTGACGGCCCTCTAAGTGCTGGGTTATATCAAAATAATACGAAACAATCATTAAGTTTGGTTGACAAAAAACGTAAAAACAAAAATCAATGTAAAAGTCGCCTAAGCGCTCCCGCTTTTATGAGGGTGAATAAACATTTCATTAAAATATCTTCGACATTTCTTGGAAGTCTTGATTATCTGTATATTTCAATAGTAAAATTCGATACCCCATGTTCAACCATTAAAACGTCTTTCAGCTATAGAACCTCTTTGGTTTTAAAAATTAAAATGACACAAAGTGTAAACAAACCATCGTTGAAAGCAGTCAATGCTGTGTGAACTTATTATAAACTTTATTATATATAATACTTGGAAATAAAGCGTTTTTTAAAGATTTTATAAAGCCACAATGTTGTCGGCTGCGAAAGTACGAATTCATGGAATGCAAGATGAGAACTGGGTTATTAAAGATAAGATCAACCAATATCGTGGTCTTATAAAATTATATGGTAAGATTAAAACCTATAATATATATGTTTATTTGTTATATAATGTTATATCACCGAAAATATTTATAAAAAAAATATTTTTTGTTGGATAGTCCATAAATATTGATTATTACTTTATTATGTCGGTATTGGAATGGTCACCTAACATTAGTTACGTTACAATTGTATTTTATTTTATTATTAGAAGCGCAAAAAAATGTAACCAATCATCAAAAACTTGAAGCCAAAATGAGCCCTTTTGTTTTTCCCACATTCATAAATTGTAATATAACATTCTTGTTTCCGATAATGTCCAAAAAGGTCGACTACACTTGTATTAAAGTAACACTTAGATTTAAGAACCTTTAAATAAGCTAAGTTACAGTTTTGTTCGCGTCGCAACCCCACTACCCGTAATTATAACTTATTATAAGCTCATGTTTTAAACAATTAAAGCGAGTTGACACCTAGCTTCAAACAAAAAGTTTCATTTATATACATTTGAACATCCCTCCAACAACCAGTACCGAACTTAACTCTAGGTACAAGTTATATTGTTAGGATTTTATGACATGACTTTCTGGATAATTGGCAGCGTAGTTGACTTGGTAATTTCAATTAAACTACACGTTTCCTTTAACTGGGTATAGCTGTACTATCTAAAACATTGACAAGGATAGTTGTAGTGACCGAATCTCTCTTTTCGGTTTATATGAATGAATTAAGAATTTAATGTTAGAATCGAAATCTATTACGCTATAGACTTTTAATGTCTATAGTTTGTAGAATCTTATTCATCCCATAAAAAAGGTTGGATTAAAAGCAAACATGAAAATCCCCTCTCATTGAATTTGCTGTACATATGTCCTGTGCCTATCGTAGAATTGACCACTTCAAGAGTTTTGGGTAACTAATATGCGAATGGTTCTTTTTGCTTGCATCAGAAGTGAAACTCCTGGTTTATGTGTAAAACACAAATATTTTAATTCGCTCTAAAATTGGTTCTGGTACCGGATTGTCTTAGTTGGCATTTTAGTCAGCTTAGTGGGAAGCTTAGCTTCTCGCTCATCAGATTTTTGCCCGAAACTTATCTATATAAACACCTTACATGATTCATACTTCATCCAAAACTGTTGCTGACTATAATATAACGGTGAATAATGTAACCAATTTTATTGTTGTTATTTTTAATAATATCCTTTATCCGTTCTACTCATTGCACAAAAATACATTAAACTAATAAACAATTTATCAAACAAAACATTGAATATGAGCCGAAGCAAAATATATAATAACATTGTTATTATGTCCCCTATTGTGTGACTTCTCAAATGACAGTACATGCATCAATATCAATGGAAAACATCACTTTGAAAGCATTCACACGCAATAAACTGAAAATAATTAACAATGAATTCTATGCATTTCCCATTATCTAAAAGTTTGCTTTGTATAAGACTCCTGAGATTCGCATTGTCCTTGCTGTAATGTTTTTATAAAGGTTTCTTTAATGTCAAGATGTGGGTAGTAAGTTGTGACGTTGATATTGATTAGCCATTTGAGAAGACTTACATTTAATAAATATCTCTATTAACATCGCCAAAAGTTTTTGAAATTATTTTTCCCAGATAAGTAAGGCTTACGACCTCATTATTCATATTATAATCCTCAAGGGGCTATAGAATATTTCGTCGTATTTATTACATGAGAGCATATAAAGAACGCCCGATTAATTAACAAGCAAGCTGATTTTAGCAATCAATGTAATTATTATAACGGAACTTTAGAAATTAAATTACGCATTCGTTAGTATTTTATGTGACGCTTGGTAAAAAGTTATTGGTTAAAATGTTTTACTGTTAAAGACAATAACTACCAAAACTACGAAAAGTCTAAGCTTTATCTCGTTAGATAATCTTAGTCTATGTAACATTAAAATACTCAAAATAACTAATTATCAAATTAACACAATTTATAGACGCGTTAGTCATTACTAAACTTACTTTATAATCCCTTATTATAACTAAGGCAATACCAAGACCACAACTTGCAAGATTGCCTCATTAATTTAATGTCTCATGTACCATAATAAGCTTTATTGTTATGTGTTAAGGTTTATTTTACAATTGAATAAAATTTATATAATATATATCTCGGAAAGTTCTTTCTGCTAAGGAACATTCTTAATTGAGCGCAACACAAGTTGGATCTTTCAACAGAGTAACAGTTACTTATTCCTATTTAATCCTATGACAGAATAAATGAATTGTAGAATGCCTGTGATCTAGTTGTACCTGTTGCCATGAAAATATGAGGAACCTTATTATATGTTCTATAAGTCTCATTTATCGTACTTAATTAATTTAATAAGCTTTTATGAAATAAGTATTGTTTTTTAATTCAAAGGCAAAATATAGGAAAATAAGCAAAGTTTTGTTTGATATTACAGAACGTGATAGGAAAATCCATGAGGGGGACTTGTCGAAGCAAAAGAAGAGATATTGTCGTGATATTCGACAGTTACGAAAGGATATTACGACTAAGCGGGAGGAATTGGGCGTAGCTGTCTATGGGGACCAGCAGTTTCTACGTAATGCATTTCAGGAACACAAACGCTTGCAGCTCACTTACATGAATAGCCAGGCAGATGTAAGTATTTTTATACTACTATATAAGTAGTTCGGACATGTCGGCAGGTCAATCAAAACTGCAGCCAACATGAATTCCCATATTTTCAATGGGTAGTTAGCTTGCTTTTAATAAAGTATGCTTTAAGTTTAAAAATAATTTATTAAAATTAAAATCTAATTATTTTGTATTGAATTTATTTTTACTATTGAATATTTTTGCATGAAATTTAACTACAGGAATTATTTATATTTATTACATTGTTATTCCTGATTAAAGTCCTTGCAAATATCAAAATTAAATTCATTAAATAAATCCAGACATCGTATATTGTGCACTAAATTAAATATATAAACCATAACTTTCCATTAACTAGTCTTGTAATCCGCTTACGAACTTCATGCGCTCATTTGTTAAATATTTTATTAGCAATTGGTTCCCATATTGAACAATCTTAAATAGATGTGGCTGTTTTTTTAAATAGAACTGACAGAACTATTTTACTGGAATGAAATATATCATACAAAATACACAAGTATTTTTCCGATTGCGGCCGAGAATCTATATGAATTTTTCGTGAGAGAAAAATATAAAATAATTAAATAAAGAATATAAATAAAAAATCCTACACAGCTAAGCTAAGTCACGACGATCCGTTACCTTATTTAATTCAATCTATAATTTTCTTCAGATATATAAAAAAGCGTTAAATGAAAAAGCATTTCGAATTGAATTAGTATTAACTATTTTATAGAGAATTTTACCAAGGTATTGTGTTCTCTAATAACCAAACTTGAACTAAAAGGGATAAATTTAATAATCTTTCAATCTAATAATAATAAATTATTTGATACCTTTGTACTTGCTAACTGTTTAATGTGCATTTTAAAGTTTTTTTCTAAAAGCTGCTTCGATAAATTTACACTATTACACATGTTGGTTTAATTGAAATCTATTGGTGGAATATTACTACGTACATACAGTACGATCGAAACTTGTAAACAACGGAAGCTTAGCAAAATCAAGTGATCACTCAGTAATCTGCTTAATTTCAAACGTTCCATTCCCAACAAGTGTTTTATGATATCTATGACAGCTCTGTACTACTTAAAACTTAACAGAGCTCGTTAATTATTGTCGTAAATGACTTATAATACTAAATACATACTAAATACAATAGTTACAAAAAGAATTCAGATGTTTTTATCTATTGGACAAAAGGTATTTGAGTAGATTTTGCGACTTATCTCTGAAGTCCAGTCAATCTAATCAAATGGGTTATGCTTGGCAGCTTCTACTCACAGGTGAATAACAAAACAAACTCAAGATGAAAAAAAACCTTGTAGTAATTAATCTCTAAAGTTTAAAAGTAACTCTAGCTTTTCTTTAGAATTGTGTAATGTCCCATCAACTTCCGAATATAATAATATTTATCATATTTTCCCATATTTGAACACTTTTCAGACTCATATGATTGAAAATCCGTATTGAAATTGCAGTCTCCAATACACTGTAGTTACGTTATTGAAAATCGTAGAGTTATTACTTTATAACGTTAAGAAATATGTACGTTATTTTAGATATAGATCCTATTATTCGATGTTAATGAACATTTCTTTTAATTGGTACAGAAATAGAATGGCGGATTTCCTGTACAAAAATAATACAACAAATATCTTGTTTTGATTACTAGTTAGTGGAGGCGTAGCAAATACATGGGAATAATAAAGAGTAATTAAAACCATGGAATGATAATAATTGAAATTCTATTTACAGCGGGTACTGGAAAGCATTCATCAAGAAAATTTTAATAAAAGGAAACAGCTTGATAGAATTCGCTATACGAAGAAAAAGAAAATGGAGACGTTTCGCCTAACCCAGGTTTTTTTTGAGATAATCTTACTTTGAACAATAATATAACATACATATGTATTTTAATAGTACATTTTTTTTTGTTTGTGGTTTGGTAGTTTTAGTATAGTTTAACATAACTTTAACATGACATAAAACAAAAAGATTTCTGAAAATTGTAACAACTTATAAAAATCGATATTATACTACTAATTGTAACACATTTGAAACTAGACAGTCCAGTATGCGGCTGGCTATATTTGTTTCGCGACAACAAATATTACGTAATAGTATTCAAAGTACCCGTAAAAAAAAATTATTTATTTTTATTCTTTGTAAAAAAAAAATCAAATTTATACCATCTAAGTTTTATAGCTTTGTATTATTATCGGTAGTTTGATAATGAATACTAATAATATTATTAGGAGTTTATTTTAAAATAATCAGCAACGAATTCAATTACACTAAAAATACATCAATTACGCGGAGAAATACACTAATAAAAACACAAACATTTTAGTCAACCCGTCAACCAATAATATATTAAATTGTAATGATATAAGAAAACATCGCTATTCTATTTACTTGTTCTATGTAACATAGACATAGAACAAGTAAATAGAATACGAGTAGCGATATTTAGATTAAATCCTAAGAGTCATCTGCTAATTAACGGAGTTTGCAGTCAGGTGATTAAATTATTTAGGGGATACTTCAGTAACTTCAGTATGAAATTATTATATCCGTAGTACTCAGATATTTGGATGCATTAATCTATAATTATCGTTCAAGTGTTGTTGATGCCAGAAATAGAATAATATTTTACTAATGCACGATAATCGACATAACTTGATAAGGTTTCTTACCTCAGGAAATATAATGCTTTATTACCAAAAATAAGAGAAAGGAACTAGACTAACTAGAATCAATAGCATGCATAAAGACTTTTTAGTAGTTAAATATTAGAAAGATGGATATATTGGTTAACTGTATAACCCTTTATTGGCCTCAGATTGCATCCGTTTCCTTAATAATCATAGAAAGGTAGGTGATCAGTTTTCTGTCTCACACATACCATCGACTTTTGGACTTGAGGCATGCCGTGCATTTTCTCACGTTTTCCTTCACCGTACGAGCGAGTGTTAGATGTACATATTATACAGAAAGTCCATTGGGGCACAGCCGGGAACCTACGACCTAGAACCTAGAACCTACGACCTCAGGGATGAGCCGCACGATGTAACTACTGGGCCAACAACGCTTCTTGAAGTTCTAACTATTCACTATTAAATATGATTTAGTTGGAATCAGCGGAGTTACGAGATCGCCTATTGTTCGAAGTTGGTGGGAAACTGCCCGCAGAGAAAAAGGAGCAGGCTGTTGCTAATTATGTTCAACGCGCTAATATAAAAAAGAATGCAGCGTTGGCCATAAAAGTTATGTACAAGAAAATTTTGGATATACTCAAAAAGGTAACTTTTCCTATCTCCTATACAGTTATTATTAAACTATTAAAAAGTTATCCAAAATAGATATTAGTTTACCCTGTGTACCTATAAGTTTAGATTTATTTGATTTGTTAATAGTTACCATATTCGAGTTTCATACATATTAAGTCAGTTTCATAATAATTGTACTTAAAACTTATTTTCATCTTTCTTACCATTTTATTAGTAGTTTATATCTATGGACACGAAACGATAAAATATTCTTCTGTACTTCTATACTATTAATGTATTTTTATCTATTGTACACATTTATAATAAATAGGCTCCTTAACATCAACCCGCTCTCAGCCCACGATTTCAAAATATGTTAACGGATTAGCTGCTGAATATATCTTACACAGTTGGAGTTGTTACTGAAATTTAACATATACCTTTAAACTCTCGCACACGTACACACGTGTTCTTACACACACATGCGTGCAGTGCGGGGCATCTCGTAATGCGGTTTGGTGTTGACAAAAGTACTTTATAAAAAGTTAAATTGTTGTGATTACAATTTATATATGAGTTAAGTATGCTCGGGTAGAGCTGGGAACACATTAAGATTAGATTAATTAATTTATTTGATTCTCTGTACCGTTGTTCTGAGGGCCTTTGATTTTTGGTGAAATAATTGTGTCGCGTTGGAACAGTTTTTAGTCTTAATATAATAATTGCCTATATCGGAATGTTATGAGAAATCCAACAAGCATATTTTCTAAAACTCTTAATAAGTATTAGATTTAATACGTTGTAAAGTAAATTTGTCGCAAGTTTAGGTATCTCGGTTCGGTGCTGAATTTAGCAACTCAGTTCAGAAACTTTAACTAGTAACTTGTAGCTTCAGTATTCCGCTTATAACTGTTATATTTAATTTAAATATATTTGAGAGCGTAGGTTTCATCTGTATAATTCAGAAAGCTTATTTTCAATGAGACTCTTAAACCTACACAATACACCTACAGATGTGGAAATATTTTGCCTTTTATTAGATGATTACTGTTTTTTTAGCTGCCCCCGCGAACTTTGTTTTGCCTTAATATGATTTTAATAAGCCTACCTTTTTAGTAGCTACATACCAACACATTTTGGAACATTATGCTATACTACCCCATAGAGATTTCGCGTTCACAAAAGCAGTTTTTAGGTATTAGAAGTTATTTTTTCTCTCCATAAAAACCTTCCTTCAAGGAATAAATAAAAATAAAATTACTCGAATTTGTCCCACCGTCTTCGTGATTTTGGCTTGGCAATATAGTCTGTGATTCATTTTTATATATATATAACTATACTCTGATTTTTAATTCCGTAGAATTCTGACATTTCAAAAGTGTTGCTACTAAAAAAGTTCTCCACCGAAAAAGGTACAAATTCAACTTATTTGAGGGCAATAAAAAAATACCAAACTACCAACGAATATTTAACAAACAATTATTTAATATCACGAACAAGCTATCGAATTAACTTTAATTACTTTATTTTATTCTTTAGCTGGAATCACTGCCTACTAATTCCAGGTTTAGTAAACCTTTAAATTGTTATCTTAACTTGTGCGTACTGTTTGTGATGAAAAGTGATGTAATTATCACTCGCCGTTAAACCACTTTTAATGTGGAGCACAGCGCTTAATAAAATGGATACATTTACTAACAAATAAAATGTATGGATAGACTCAGACTCGTATTGAAATTGAAAAATGTGCCTGGCCAAAAAGGTTTGCCATCTCTGACATATCAAAAACTGATAGCTGTCAGAATTCTACGTAATTAAAATCAGTTTGTATATAAATAAATGTAAAATAAAAAATGAATGAAACATGTACTCGATGAAAGATTTAGTATACCTAAGTTTCATAGACGTTAGACTGTTCGCTTAGTAGAACTTATGCTAAAACCACACATCTTTTCATTATGTACTTCTTTCTTTGTAGGTAGGGCGGGTCATGACCCCATAACCCTGGATCCGTCCTTGACCAGATAGTTGTTGTGGATTTGATTAATAAATTACGTGTATAGCTGCTTGTAACGCGTGATACGAAAAACTACCTCTTAATAACATAGATTTTGTACGCTTAAATATAGACTAACCTTCTAATAAGGGCACGTATTATTCGCTGTATTACGTTGTCAACGAATTACATAAGTCAACGCAGCTGTTTTACTGTCCGTGAACTAATAAAAGTTCTACAATTTTTTAGTACCTATTATAATAAATTTAGGTTGTTTTTCTTAAATAATTTCTTATAATATAATATAATATAATATAATATAATATAATATAATATAATATAATATAATATAATATAATATAATATAATATAATATAATATAATATAATATAATATAATATAATATAATATAATATAATATAATATAATATAATATAATATAATATAATATAGTATAGTATAGTATCTACCTAATTATAATTATACCTACGTAATTTTTCGTATAACCCCATTTGTACATTTCAATTAAATTTGTTGTATGTTAATACGCAAAAGGCTTAGCTCTAGTATGTAGCGATTGAATGCTTTCATTTTTTTAGGACTCATCATATTTCACTATAGTCTTGGAGGCTTTGAAACTCGACTGTAGGGCCCAAGGCAAGTGCCTGATGGGTGCAACAGAAATGGGACAGTTGGCAATGGAATATCTTGACGATAGAAAGTTTGAATTTAGTAAACTAGAGAAGGAGATAAAAGTTAATATGAAAGAAAGACAAAGGACATTGAAACTCGTTCGACGGGAAGTAGCTTATTTGACTGACTCATTTCCAAATTTAATCAGAAAAGAGGTATGTTATACAACATATATATTTAGTGGAAATGTTAGCTGATGGCTTCTTAATTCTTAATCATCGGTGACGCTATAACCTTTCAGGTTTGTGCTTCAAATATCTGTATTGTAATTATTTGTTTTCATAGGCAAATAGGAGATCAGCCTTCACACACTATAGACTTTTTGGGTCTAAGGTTTCCGGGTTCCTATCTTTCCCTCACCGAACTAGCGAGTGTTTAATGCGCACATAGAAAGTCCATTGGAGCAATAATTAAAGTCAAGAATTGTACGCTGAAATCACCAGGCCAACAGGGCTCACGTATTCACGTTTTTAAATAGGCAATTGCCTATGAAAACCTGACCAATAGACGCAAAATGGTGTCTGTCCCATGCCTATTATTCATAATATATTTTAATATAATTATAGATAATCTTAAACACCGTAGTAAAACAATTTTTATTAATAGTAACTAATACTTTGAGTAATGGAGATAAGAAAGTTTTTAATTCAGCGCTAGAAAGCAAAATCATTGTTTATATTTCTATAAATTTACAATATTCCCCCAGTATCGGAAATCAAATTCAAAAGCGAATATAAGTTTTGGTTATTTCAGCTTCGATATTAATTTGTTGAGAGCACATAGTTGTTGGAATTTGTTTATTATATGCACGTTCGTCGAGTGTTCTATATCTACGCTTGTCTTTTGAAATTTAATTTGAATTCGTATATTAGGAGGCAACAAATCTAGATGATTTATATGAAGACGAAGACACGGGCAGCAAGCACTCAGTACATTGGGAGCTTGAGGAAGTGATGGGAATCTGTAAGAAACTCCAAAAGGCCACCCTTGTACCGTCGTTTGACAAAATTCTTTTACGGTAAACTGTAATTTGGGGCTTAGCATAACTTTGTTAGATTTATTAATTCGATTTGAATAATTAATTATTAAGTTGTCTGCCCCCATCCTGCGCCTGTCGTGCAATTAAGCACAAGAACAATCATTTGTATACATATGATATCGGATATATTAAAAATATAAATTTCCTATGAGTAATTCTTCGTTAAGACCGGTCACCAGATATTTGCTCACGTTTTTGCCTGAACTTACCAGTGTTATAACGTCGCCTGCCATGCAAGCAGCGGCAAGATATTCTCGCCGACGATTCTCAACGCTCCGCGCTTGGCACGGAGTATTAGTAGGTGACACAGCAGTGTATAGGACGTAGTCTCATACTTTTTCATTCAAAGAATATTTCTTAAATAACAGTCTAATACGGTATAAAGCGGTAGTCGGTAGTAAGTAAAATAATGTTCATAACTTTAATATAATATTTTTTTGGAAAAGCATAAGGATATTATCGTTAGGACTTAAATCATCTTTTATACATGATTTAGATTAAAGGAGCAGACGTATCAGACCGAGCGTCTTATGATGCAATTAACGTTGAATAGTGCAAAGAGGGACGCTCTCATAGAAGATCGAAAACACGCAGTAATGATGTTGGACACTTTAAAAAACGTGGGACAAGAGAAAACTGCGCAGTAAGTTTTGTTATTCAGATTAACGGGAATAAGGTAGAACGGGAGTACTTTGTATTGTTTTGATCGTTATGTATTACGGCTTAGAATTGACAGTACATTTTGTGTGTTGTTTGTGTTTCACTTTGAGTATAAAAGTACGAAACAGTAATAATAAGAATTTATTTATTTAAGCAGACTATCATAAGACCATTTGGTTTTATGATTATAATGTTTATTGTTTATGGTAACAATGATTACAGACTTGTCGTTAACTAGCTGTCTCTTCCATACCATAAGGCCACGTTCACACGGCGATTATTTTCCCGTATACCGTATACGAGATTTTATCGAATAGAGTAGTGACAACAGAATATATATGAAAACTTAAAAATTGTTTACACGGCGTTCATACGGGAAAATCCCGTGTTAGAGAAATATATTTTACCGTATACCGTGCGAAGTTGTCACTGGAAACGCCGCGTCTCGAAACGATTTTATCGAATACGACACGCAGTGGCGCTTATATTCATGTTGTCTCGTTTACACGACTCGCCCATTCGAGAATCGTACGCACTCGCACGCGTGGCTCGCAGTTGCCCTTGTGCGTTGCATCAGTCGGTTGTCAATATGGAGGACAGAATTCCAATATTGATCGAGGATTTTATTTCCTTGATCGAGAAAAAAAATCGAATCGAATGGTTGCCGTGTGAACGATTGCATCGTATACCTACGGTAAAACCGTATACGTGAAAAACTCGAATCGAATGGTCGCCGTGTGAACGTGGCCTAAATATCTTATTTTTTTTTCGCTTTTTTGATTTTGACCCGAAGAACAAGAAAACAGTACGGGTGGCCTCCGAATGCATTTTTCTACGATCATTTTCTTCTATAGACAAGAAGGCGATAAGTCTTCTGTGCAATGACGATCAAGGATATGTTGTATTTCTTAATCTGTTCAAAATTATCTTAATTGCATACGAAGGAAGCCGTTTTCCCGAACACCTTATTTATTTTAATTTCAAAGTCCGATAGTCTATAAATCTTGTGAATAGAATTTATTAGGGAACTGGACACGGATTAAACGAAGTTGTATTGAAATGCAGCAGTCGTCGAAATAGACAAATTTCGGCCTTTGGTCACATTTTGTACGAGGACTCTTGTTCACTGGAACGTTTGTCGAAATCCTATAGTTGAAGTTTTCCAAACCAGTCATATTGCTTTTTTTGCTTTTACGTATTTGCTCCTGTCTAGAGCAGACATTTGAATTCAAAAATAGATTTTGCCAATGCTTGAGTTTTTAACCTACCGACTAATATTACAGATAAATCAATTGTTACACTTGATAATTTGAACATAATGCCATACATCACTGTAATTCCTTAATAATAGACGTTGTATTCCGGCTTAAGTGAGCATTAATGGGACTTAATCTTATGTTAATTGCATCGTAGCTTATTAGCGTAAATTTATATCTATGTATAGGTTAATGCAATATTACTTTTCAAGTTTTAACAATAATATAACACACCGCCGAGGATGACATTGTAGTTACAATGTGGATATAACACGCTTGTTGATTTGAATATTAATGCGTGCAATTATGTTCAATACGACAATAAGCTCAATTTTGTGTGACATGTGCATTGTGCACTTTCGGCTCGAGTCCTACTATTAGATTAGTTGGCATTTAGTAGGTACAGCTCCGAGTCTGAATGTATTCAATTTTCGACTTTATAAGCAAAGAGCCTATGGAACGTGACCGTTGGATGCTCCGGTGGTCATCAGGCTACGCTCATCTTACTCGGCTGACACGCACGTTTGTCGCCATATATTAGAAAAATAATTATTTTAAGTGTAATATTTACCTTCCTTCTACAACGAAAGTATTTGGAACCTTTTCCTGCATCCAAATTCATATTTCCAATCCAATCCATCTAGAATCAATGGTTGTAAGAGATTCTGTACGGATCAAAATTAGTTCACTATAGATTCAATCGGAAGACAAGAAAGCTCTTTTACTGACATCCAATCCTACTTAATCAGTCGGAAATTAAATTGATTTTATTTAATATACTCTGAGTGTGGCTGCTAGCTATGGAAGCGGGTGTACCAATACACGTAAAAGCCAATAGACAATAGCCAATAGAGGCAACAAGTTTTAATAAGTTAAGTATATTTTTACGTTTTTAAACGTCACTGAATAATTAGAATCCAGTTACTTGAATACAAAGGGTTGCTTTTTTTCGGCTTACATGATAAATAAATGCTTATGCTAAATTATCAGCATATATCCCAAAATTGCAGGCAAATGATCTACCTGTTTTTTATTCAGATAACTGAAAGAGTTTTTATTATATATTTAGCAATATCTTTGGTATTAAACAGCATCCACGATAATTACATTTTGTACGGAAAATTTGTGTGACGTTGACATGCGATCGTAATATAATTATAGACAAGCAAAATATAATTATAGTCCAAACTCGGAAGCTTCGATGTGTTTTACAGACATTTTGTATAGAGATGTTATGATTTCAGGAAGTGCTTTGAAAATTTAATAGGTCCATTTTTATCGTAATCAAAATTTCATTACGATACACAGTCAAATTTACCGAATTATTTTTCTCAGTAACACCTATAAGGTGCCTTTCAATCTTCTGTGATTTCCAACGCAAAACGATGATTATTTTTGCTAGGAATCGGGTGTATGGCTTGTGGGCTGTGTGGGTTGCAATTAATAATAGGCGACATAAAGAGGCGTTAACCTTTAACTTACTTGAGTAGATCATAAGATTTATATTAAGTCGTCGCTTATTTTATTTTATATGTAAGTGATGGTAAAAGATATGTTATCACAGAATAAATTTATTTAGGAATTATTTTGTTGGTCTCAAACATGAGCAAATAAGTTTTTATCACTTACCTTTTTTAATAAAATCTTTATATCAATTAAATTTTTGCCACGTCGCAAAACGTTTAACTCACTCTATAGACCACTTGATATTAAGAAAAAGTTTAGTGACTTAAAAATAAAGTCTCTTATTGTAAATACTAAACAATAAATATTATTTCATAAAACCTGGTTAACGTTAACAAAATAAATGTGGTTTCTATAAAATAAGCCGTAAAAATTTCTATTCCTCATACCATTTGCTGCAGAACCAATTTACTATGAAAAATATTCGTTTATATGAATTATTGAGAAATTCATCTGCGGTCTCTTTGTTGAAAGAAAATTCTAAGGATAGTGGGATCTCGAAACGAGAATTTTAATTAAAATGAGATCTTTTGTAAACGCATACTGTATTCGTAGTTCGTAAGATTAAGTCGTTACAGGACGGTTATGAAGATCTAATATTTCGTTTGAGTTTCGACTATTTGTGTTCTAAATTACATTAATTCTGAGAAACGATAGTTTATTAAATATGCGAATTAGTTTAAAGTCGTGTTCTACGAAATCTATTGACTTGCAGGTATGTGACTGAAAAGAACCAGCTGAAGGCTGCGTTAGAAGCTGAAGATCGCGAGGAAAAGAATTTAACAAACGCTTTGAATGACAGAGGACAACTTGTTATCGAAATGAAGACTTCTTTACAACAAATTAATCAGTTGCTTTCGAGTGTTGGTGGGCGTTGTCTTATTATCTCATTGTAAATTTGATTTACCATAAAGTGTAACTGTTGCCCGGTAGATTTATAATTCGAATGCTTTAATTTAAATATAACAATTGCAGTAATCTATCCAGAGGTAATATAATTATTGATTTAACTTCTTATTTTATTTACATTACATGTCTATGGAAACCTTTTTCAGGAGCACCTAATGTTCCTAGGAGGCCAGTGCCAGCTGCGATACAGTATGCTCTTGAAGATATGATACAACCAGTGCCCGAGGTTGAAGCCGACTGTAAGTTCGAGTATATGTAACAAATAACTCAAATAGAGCTGAGTGTTATTTTAGCTTTTTTAAGCATTGAAATTGAATTGATATCAATTGTCACTGTCATTGGTGTAGTCTGCTACATATTTTTCTTAAGTTTTTCGTTAGACTTAATTTTACTATATGAATTTGGAAACTAAGTATTAATATGAATAAATATCTACAATTACCCGCTTTTGTGGCTTACTGGTTAAGTCATGTGGCGTACAATCTAGAGGTACAGGATTTGATTGTCGATGCAGCACCATTTCGGTTAGGACACAAACAGCTAATAACCGGTAAGTAGATCATCCATGAAAAAGCAGACGCTGGGTTATGTCTGTCCCGTGCGTGCGTCCTGTTTAGTAAAAATAAATCCTGAATCATAAATATGAATCAAACATGTACTCTATTAATATAGTTGACAAGCTGATTCTAACGGCAAGACAGAAACTCAACGTTCTAATCCAGGCTGTGTCCAAGATGGATGTAACAGCTGATGTGAGGGCTAATGCTAATGCGTTCTATCACGGTATTTTAGCCAGGACTATGCGGGATAATTATAAGGAGGAAGTCGTCGCTGAAGGAGGTAAGAATCAGTTTGTCGAAACAAAAAAAGCCACGGTAACGTAACAAAATTAGATATATCTAATAATTATTTTGTTTAAATTATACGATGTTTGTCAATACACCATCTTACATATAAAGAATTAACGATAGTCACTTAAATAATATAACGTTTAAGATAGTGTAAGAGAGTTTTAATTAATAAAATCGATACTTTAGATTATATAATATTTATATAAACACATGAAAACGTACATCGACCTTTTGACAGGTAGATAAATAATGTCAACCCCCTAAAGAGTCGAAATCACTCGGTATTAGTTGTTTAAGCTTTTCACTACTATGATAAATAAACTTCTTCTTAAGTGGCCGAAATAAACTCGACTAGCGGCATCATACGTACTTCCTAAGAAATCCGTTCTTTTGTTTACAAATTGCGATTGCATGAAGGTGCATTATCACGATGAATAAAAAAATACAACATAAGAATTGTGTTTTATGTAATTACTAACACTAGCCTGAAATAAACTTTTTCTTTTTCTAATACATATTTTTCTTTATTCCATTTAACGACAAGTCTTTGTAACGTCAAAATTTGCACAGTCCTTTGAGTGTCGTTATATAGCGTTTACACTGTACATGCAACAGTGAACGGAAGCTTAGCTTACGTTATAGGCTTAAGTTAGAAGTTGCTTTTACAGTGAATACTGTAAGACCACTCTGTAAATACTTTAGCCGCTAAAAGCTGCAATTGCTATTACTATCTATTGTATTTTAACACTAGCTTAATTCTATTGAAGTCGGATTGGCTGACAGTTAAATATAGAATTGTTGTATGGTCTTATTAAAGCGGTTTACACAGTAGCCAGTAGTAGTATATAAGCCTCGTACAGTTATTGAGACACTTACGTACGTTTATGAACAAGAAATTTCATTATACAAATACGTTTAATAGTTGTAGTAATCCTATATTTTATTTAAAGGTAAACAACTATTTTTTTTCAGGATTAATTGAGTTTGAGATGGAAGATCCGAATGTCCCAAGCCATGCTATCGTCAAATTGAGAAGTAAACAATTAGTTGAGGCTCAAGTCAGTGAATTCGATGTACCAGATGTTCCAGCTAAGAAATGATTTAAATTGTAATACGATCAAATCAATTTAAAATTATATACTCGTTCTGGAGGAAACATGTTTTATATATTTTCTTTTTGGGGTTTATACAATATAAAATTTAATTGACTAAGTTGTTTTATTTTATAGGGATTCTTATTATTTTAATTACACGTATTTCCTTCTCATTTGTGAACCCTAAACAATTACACAGTAAAATAACCACTTTTCAAAAATCTTTATTTTAAAAGTATTTACTTTAAATAAGCAGTGTTGGCCTAGTGGCTTCAACGTGCGATTCTCATCCGTCAGGTCGTAGGTTCGATCCCCGGCTGTGCACTAATGGAATTTCTTTTTATGTGCGCATTTAGCATTCGCTCGAACGGTGAAGGAAAACATCGTGAGGAACGAGTCTGGCACAGGAGGCTGATCACCTACTTGCCTATTAAATTGAAAAATGATAATGAAACAGATTCAGAAATCTGAGGCCCAGACCTAAAAGAGGTTGTATCGCCACTGATTTATTTTATTTTATAAATAATGAGACATATTAAAATTTCGTATTTTTATGATAAATCATAGTACTCGTAGTCTCATATTTGCGAACGTAATTAAAAGCGGATATTTGTCTTTTGTAAATACTTTGGAAGATATTTTACAGTGATTTTTTTAATAAAACATTTAAACATCTCTTTATTATTTACTGCAATTTTTTTAAAAGTATTAATCAACATTATGCTTATTATTAAATGCTTTAAAAATATAACGAAACTAAGTTAGGTATTAATAAAATAATTATATATCGTATATTATTAAAATCAACTTTGGCATTGGTTAAGGTACAATTTTCATACAATATTTCGCTCTGATTCTTTGCTCACCTAAACAGTAATGCACTAAGCAGTCACAATTGGTTAAAGAAAGAAAGATTCTTTTTGCTCAAGAAAGAATTTCTAGTTGTCCCTAGAGAGATCAGCTCAAGTAACTAGGGCAACAATCCTTTGGAAACGGATACTTGCCTTTATATTTGCAAAATAAATAAGAAACAGTAACAAAGAGTACAATATTATAATGCATGTAAAGAAACAAAAAGTGGACTTAAACCACAACCAGTATCAGAATAATCAAAAGTATTTAGTTAATACTACATTTTCTACACCTATTGCCGCGGAAGATTTTTGATTTCTTGGACAAAATTATCAAAAACAACAGATTATCCGACACTGACACAATTATACACTTACAATTCTAGTAAAGCTAATTGCACTGGAATCCTTAACATATTCACAACCTGGGCCCGTATCCCACTGTGGAGACTATCGGGCTTTTACACTAATCAAAATCCAAACACATTTAACGCATCTACAGCCAACCTTCGATTTACCTAATAATATGATTGATTATATGTTATATTTTAATAAGACAAACAATCATGTTGATACTATTTTTATAGAAATAGTCTTCTTTTTAAAAAAAAGGTGAAAAAGCATACAGTTGGTATCCCTTTATCATTAGTTGTACCATGGCAACGTAAAATAGCTAGTGAGCTTATTGTATGTTTTTTAAGATTTAATATAGCCTGTTGTTGAAGTTCGCTTTTTATTTTGATTAGCAAATGTCAAGCATTCTCAAATCAAAACAATGTTTTAAACACTTGTTAGACATGTTTTAATATATCAATTGTCAACTGGGATTATACTATTAATAACTCCTGTAATTTCTATAAGGGAAATTCATAAAAGTTGGTGGGTCGCAACTAAGTATAAAAATTAATATGAACAATAATTAACTACCCTTAAACATCTTTAACTGACTTTTATCGTACCGAACAATATAAAGGGTTTTTTGACTATTCAAATAATATTTACAATACCAATAGCGGCTGTTACAAAGTACAGAAACACCTGTGACTTATTTAATATATAAAATAATATTACCGAGTATTGATAACGAAGCATAACTGAAGATACAATATTATCAGTAAATTATCAAGATCCAAGAATTTACGAGTAGGTTTTAAAGAAAGAGTATTTAAAAAAGCAATTTAAATGTTATTTGCTTAGCATTCGTTTAAAAATGGCGTCATTTATTTTTAATTACCTTACAAAAATTTCAGTGCAAGAATCGAATAAAACGCAGTAAATAATACGGTGGATCGGTTGTGGACGTTCTCGCTTACTCAGTTACGTTTTTATACCTGGCGACAATCAAACGCTCAATTTTCTTCGCTTTATGTTTGATAGTGTTATCGTAATATTATGTTTCCTTCACTACGATAAAATAAGTTATACTTGTACAACGTGAATCGAGCTAGTGATAAAAATCTTCCCAATGGGTTGTGGTTTTAATCATTATCTTGTATTCTTGACCTAGATGTGTCGGTGTTTTTTATGTGAAATTAAAATTAAAGTAATCGACTATGGATAGGCTTAAGCAAAAGCTAAGGAAATCTTCAAACGCAAAAGAAAAATACGTGGCAGACGTCAAGTGTATAAAAGAGAATATAAAAATCAGGGAAATATTACGAAATGTAAAAATGAATAGCAGTATGCGTTTAAAGGCACCCACTGGGAGCAAAGTGATGAATAATACGGATTTCAGTGATAGTGAAGATTGTTTTGACGGTACCCTAAAGGATGAGAACGACATTTTACAACCGCCATACGCTTTGAACCACAATGTGATTGTGTTATATCCAGAGTACGCGAGCGCCCCCAGTAATTTGAATGAACCAACTAATCACGAACCATATCCGCCATTGGAAAGATTTAAAAGTAATTCCGAAGCAAATTTGCCAAATAGCCTTAAAAATGTGAGCCATTTCGAGAATAATAAGCTGGTTAAGCTAGAACCAGTTAAACGCAGCGAGTCTATGATTCCTGATGCAAGATGTATGAGTGAAATTTTAAATAGCTTGCCCTCGACCCTGCGAACCCGGAAGTTGTCGTTAGACCAATCCGTTTTAGATCGTCGGTTCACCCAATCAGAATTAGATTTACACAGTTGTGGTAAATTGCCGTTGGAACGAAAATCATCCTTTTTCAGAAAAAAGATGGGCAGCTTCTTTCGGAACACAACACATTTGTTTAGAAAACAGTCTTCAGTGAAAAATAATTCTAAGTCTTTGCAATCCCTGGATGAAAATAATTTAGGAAACGATGAAGAAGTTAAGGATTATTCGCAATCGCCCGTAAGTAATTTTTTCTAGTTTATATTATACACTAATACATTGTTTTACGACGTAAAACCGTTAAATTTAAAATATATTATTTAATTTATTCTTAAGTATTGTTATAAGTTTGATTTTTTTTATAAAACGTTATACAGTTTTTTGTGTATTAATCGATAATTAAATAGTACGCGTAAGCATTCATCCAATATTTTAATATATCTTCCTATATACGTACATACATACTGTAACACAGTAATTTTTCTGGCATTATTTTAAGTACAACAGCATACAAAACGTGATGAAGACTGCTGTCAATAAGATTTACGATATTAGAAAATAGCCTTAATCTTGTCTATTAACAATGTGGTTAAGTATCACGAAGTACCAAGAAGAATAGGACTTGATTATAACATCAAAATGTTTTATTGCTTTAGTATCCGAAAAGTTTAATTTTACCATAACTAACAGGTGTTAAATAATAATATACCACCATATTTTTTTAAATGTAATTGTACCTACCTACATTAAAAAAATATATTTACTCATGTACTAACAATATTTTCACTCTTTTCTTTCAGTTATTATATATACTTAAATTGTAATTATTACTTGTAAAGAAACATAAATTTTAAGTCGTTAGACTAAGAATTTATTAGATTTATGTAATTTACAACCGAGATTTGTGTAACAGTTTTAACGTAAAAATATTCCGTTTATAAAAAAAAATATTACAAATAATAAAACGATTACTTGTTTGCCTATCTAAAAATGATTTCCATTGATATTGATATCTTTATGAACGCACATATAATTTGTTTTAACCAATAAAATTGATTTAGGTGTTATATCAGGTCGATGAGAATGTCCAAACAGCGTTGTATTATCATCGTGTTATAATTAAACCAAGGTCTAATAATCTGTTATCAATGTCACAATTTATTTGCATTGCGCATGCCTTACGAAACAGTTTAAGTTCTTTATATGTATTTGTATAGCCTGGTCTAGTTTTTTTTAATACTCGCTTATATCATTCAATATTTTTATTGTTTTTATATTCTATACCACTAACACGCATTTAATAATACTTTTATGGGATAAGATTAAATCAGAATTATTCATATATTTTAGTTAATTATTATAAGATTGAAAATGTTGGAATATACTTTAGTGATATTTTAAACAATGACACAATAATAGTTTACAAAACTGAACAATAGCTTACCAAAGCACATACCACGATATACATATAAATTGGTGATATGATATTTTTTTATCAGTGCTACCCAGGGTACCCTTTAACTACCAATCTTCATAACGACAGCGATCGCGAGGTTTCTCTATGCGATTTTGGTATAGTTTTTTCAATATCCGTAGGTAGCGCTGGAGCATTAACCTTGGGCCCGTGCTGAACAAATAACGAACGATATTAGGAGTTACAGAGTACCGGTGTTGGTCCCTCTAAGAATGATAGATTATCCATTGCAAAATACATCTTAATACATGGATACAAAGACGTTTTTACAATTTAAAAACAAAATTCAATGTTCATAGTATTATTTAAATAAATGATATTTTGATGAGCCGTCGCGGTTTAATATTTAAATATAATATTGTGGTGAACAGTTCAGCTAATAATTCTGTTTTGTAGTCAGAAAATGTTGGTATATCATATTATTTAGTTTATCGACAATTCTCAACTACAGTGCAGAATAGTTCGTAAACTTCGTCCATTCGACACATTTTCGACTATTAGAGTTTTAATGATTTATCAAACTTTGGGCTATAGAAACGGGTACCTGTAAATTAGTAAAGGATTTTGTATACGGGATGTCGAGTTTCTACAAAATTAAATTATATGTAAAAATATTCCAGCTTTTCAAGGTAACTACAAGATTGATATAAAGATATTCTATATTTGTTGGATGAACTTATTTCTTGTTAGTACTGATTTGTACAAAGTTCAATATTTTCATAAAGTTTAACTCAAAGTAAATGAACACAAGATATGTTTTAAATACGATATCAATTCGGGCGTTTATATTTGTAACAAGAGATACTTAAATGTTGGCATGCATGAATAAATCATTTTTTAAACAAGAAGAAAGTTACAGGTAAAGTATTGTTGCCGGGACATAAGCTTCAGAACTTTCTTTTGTATTGATGGAATTAAATTATTTCCTTGTATTCTATTTACAGTAGTTCCGTTCCTTTGTAAAGTTTAAGTTTCTAACAACTTATAAACTTAAAAATAATCATTCACTAACCTCATTGTTTGAATGACTAGTTGTAATGGTTATAAGATATTTACACTTGCATTGTATATTTCTGTGTTATGAATATTATCGCATTTAAACTTATCAAAGGCTTTTTAAGGCATGTGAATCTTAGTGTTATTTTAAATCTCGCGATACACAAATGTGAAAATATAATTTTAACTAAAGAATACTGGTAAGTCATTGATAAACTGGAAAATCTATAAGAATCTTATATTCTGACTTAGCGCCAAGTATGACTTAGTTTATTTACTCATACTTTGCGCTGGTTTTGACAAACGGGAGCGTATATTATGAAGGTAAGATTCCACAACGAGACCCACAATCGTATACCAAACGTGGATATGTCGCGTTAATTTATTTGAACAGAAATCTGTTATTGGAAAAGAGCCTTTTTAAACTATAATGAATATATGTAATATTTAAGTGTGGTTTTTTTCTGAAACCAGTTTTTATTAAATTTCCCATGACAAAAAAATTAAGTCTTTTACCAAATTCAGAAAGGCAAAACCTCATTGCTTTATCGTAGGTACAAGGCGTAATGTATGTCTTTATATATATATGTTTCTTATTATTTTATAATTTGTTCCTCGTAAGTTAACTATAACTTATGTAAAGGTGACAGATTCGCAGTGGTCCACGTTTAATAAATGACAATGAAATAATTTTCAGGGCCCTATGGCTGGTAGCAAAAGTGAGACCAGTTTGATCTCGGAATCTACGGTCACCAGCACATCAAGCAATGCAGTACAAAAAGACCAAGCTTTAAATATAAGTCCAGAAAATAGCACATCCACTGTATCCATTCAACATATGTCTAATAGTGTCCTTAGTAAGTTAATTAATAAAATATAAAATAATTATTTTTAATCTTGACTTTATATGTTCTTAGTGGACAAGGATTATCTAGGCTTATAAACGACGGATCGTACTCTGGAATCGGTTCCATGGTAACTGGTTAAAGTACATAGGTGGCTCATAAGTGTGGTGGCCCCGTTCCCCATTTCATGGTGGTTACTAGGTTATGGTTTTACATACTTATTGTATGTAGTAGAGAGTAGTCAAGCTTGTACACGTATTAAATATTTCAGACTAACAACGCTACACAGAGTCGTTCCTTAGGTTTACGTAAGTTCACCTTAAATCTAATTAGATGATCAGAATTGATTTTTATCGCGTATGATGTATTATTAACATTTATAAATTGTGTGTTGTTATTGTCATTTATTTATTTCGTGTTTGTAATGCGAAATGTTTTTCTGGTTATTCGACTGTATTTGCTTTTTCAGCTGTTTGATGATTATTTTTAAATTTTCGGCTTTCGCTAATGTAGAAAGCTCATCAATTAACAGTTACTGCGTACAAAATTGACATACTCGTAGTATACATACAATTAAAGTAATCTACATTATTTCCAAAAGGGTACAGTTTTTTAGTTAGTAATCATATTAACTTAATACCGTACAGTGTAGGAGGAGAAAAAAATTGAACTCATAATGGATGGCATAATCCTTCTCAATTGATGTGTATCTGTTTTGTCCTTGAGTCCACCCAGCCTTGCGCCATGGAGAGGACCATGTAGCGCCGTATTAAAAGAAATACAATTAAATTTCCAGGTTTAAATGAAGAATACATTCAAGAAGCGATGTTGACACCGAGGGCAATTTCTATGAGTTCTGGCTTGGATAGCACTAGCGACCGATGTGGCAGGAAATTTAAAGCTAATAGGTAATGCCGAAATGGCTTAGTGGTTAATTAAGATATTAGTTAAGTCCTGAGTTTGGTTTGAGGTGAAAAATTGGTTGTAGAACGGCTCACACAAGGGCCAATTATTTGTGTAACAATGATGATTATTGATACAGAACCTATAAATAAATACATTATTTCAAATTCAAATTACATATAAGGCTACGAGTATATAGCATACATATAGTACCTGTGGTTAGGTTCGACTCTTTAAATCATCATACGCACCAAACGTAGGATAATTTAATAATTAAATTGTTAGTAGGAAATAATTAAGTTTGGTTACTAGTATATAAAAACTACATATAAATGTCGCAAAGTATAAATAATGCTAGAAAGGATAATTTATAAAACGAGGGAAGAAATTTGTTTATTTTAAATATCATTAAGATACTTTTGGTATTCTAAAATTCTATTATTTTAATTCCTTTGATATTAACTAAGAATGAAATTATATACTATATTAGCTTGTTGTTTGTCTTTTGGAAATTGTCTGGATGAATTTATATTTTATTAAGACAGAAATAAATTATAAAAACATGGATGATTTATTTTTGTAATAGCCAACGCACAACTAAGTGGTCATTATACTAATTAATTGTTGCTACAATATAATCTAATGAAAATTAAATAAACAATTGTAAAATCTCTCGCCTCGTCACCAAGCAACAAATCTGCTTATAATTAAACGTTGACTGATTTGGACTACCTACGCATAAATTGCGTTAATATTGTAGTGTCGGGGTCTCAATTGATTATTGCTGAAGCACATAATTGATAGTGAAGTGCCCCATTTTGCATCAATTAGACGCGGTTAAGCAGAAACTGAGATGTCTGCATTTAGCCTTATATTGTCTAGGGTAATGTTTGGTGGACTGGTGAAATAAATATAGGTCCTGATATGATATTTTACATATAATTGTAATTGTAAATTAAATATACTGTACATTTGCCCTCTCCTTAAAAACTGTTGTGTTCAAATTGTTATTTAATAATTTGTTTAATCACTACTGATGTAGGGCGTACCATGGGGATGTTATGATGATTGACCCGCGTCGACTACATCCATTTAACTCCCAAGTGTCATGCCGGCTGTTGAATCATCAACAATTTTAATGTAATAAGGAATAGATACTCAAAAAGCTCAAATACAGATTACACGCTTTAGTTCTTTTTCTAAAGATTTGCGCGCCAGTTTTTCTAGCACCTGCAATCATCCACTTTATAAAGTAAAAAAATTAAATACCATCAAGTATTTTTTTTTTTAGAATGATAACACATGTTTTTTATTTTTCAGAGTTACATGGCTGGCAAGCGAGGGATTAACTAATTATTTCAGGCGTGTTATTCAAGATGAGAAGAGTAAAGAAAAAATTAAGACTTTCCATTCACATCAAGATTTTTCCAGTATACCGGAAAACGAATCATATGTTTCGAGTCTCAATATGGGCCGAAGGCTTTCCTACCAACGGGCTGTATCCGGAGAGGATCCGGTGACAACAAAGTATCAAGATTCCTTGTCCAGGCGAAAATATAGCAGTATTGATAAGATACAGGTAAGATTATAATAGTCTTTTAACACGTTGTTAAGCGGACCTTTTGAAATGGAACATATAAAAAGCTCACACAAATTATACATATATTTATTTAAAATTTTCTCAAAGACAATAAAACAACAAGAGACTTTTTAAATCTTTGTTCTGCACAATGAAAAAGACTTTATATCTAGGCAGTATTGCTTACGTTTATTGTGAAAGAATCATTTCTGCCCTAGATATATTATGTATAGGCGATTTGATTTGTAATAAAAAAATAAACGTGATTCTTTATGAATGCGATCTTGACCCAACTAGATATTAAAACTGCGAAAAAGCTTAACCTCCTTTTTTATTTCATCTTAAGACATAAATACTTTTTCTCTCTTTACCAAGATTTACGCGAAATGTTATTACTGTAAGTGAAAACTTAAGAACACTGTATAGATCTTATACAATAGAATCTTATTCTGAATGATAAAAATCATCAGAAAGATCAAAAAGAGGAAAAGAGCATGGAGTAGTTTGAGTCTCTTATACTTCGGTATACGCATCTTTAGGTAGAGCCATTTCCACATTGGTCAATAAAAACGGTATAAAGAAGAATGTAATGTAAATGTCAAAGGAATTCCAAGTAAGCTAAGGACTCACGAAGCGGTTTTCACCCGCACCCGCCGTGGTTGCGGGCCCGCAGCCTTTGTAGAACACACATATTTATGTAAGAAATTAAAGCACATTTCACAAGAATTTTACGCTCGCGGCGTGTGCGGAGCGGATTGATTGCGGGTCCCGCTGCACCGGCGGTCATCTTGTACCGGCGGGTGAGTGTCGCGGTCCCGCAGCCGTGGCTCTGCGATCGGTTGATAGTCACGTTTGCGAGCGATAAACGCAACCGCGACGGCTGCTCAACCGCAAAAAGTGCTTAAGTACAAACCGCACACTCCGGTCTCGTGAGTTTTGAAAACTAAACTCCATTCCGCCACCGCGGCGGGCGCGGGTGAAAACCGCTTGTTGAGTCCTTAGCCTAAGACGTCATTTTATTTTACTAACTACGACTTACGGTGTCTCCGTTTTGAAATTCGAGTTATATAGTATAAATATGTATTATCAATACTTCATAGAAAAATAACAAACATTTTGTTCGAGTTACAAAGTCTAAATAATGCGAGATACCGCGTATTTAAGGGTTCAGCGGAAGGGAATGGCAATTTTTTTCGACTTACTGAGGATTTCGACTTAACGAGGTTCGAGTTGTACAGATTCCACTGTATTAACCTTATACTTGGGATAGAAATATTATTGACTTTATTATAAGATCCTACCGCTCGATTCCGTAGCTATCTGTTTTTTGGATGAAATATTTCCCAAAGTTCTTTAATAGCACACAAATATAAAGTATTTACATATTCTCAACCTACATAGTAATAATAATACATAATTGCAAAATGAAAAAACTAATTTAAAAAGTTTGGTTCCTGTGGCAGTGTACCTATATTGCTGGCATCATTTCCTCGCTGTACGATACTTATTAAATGAGGAAAGACCAGAACTGTGGTCATCATTACTATCTACCAGGTGCCAACTTAAATCTTTAAATAGCGCCTATGCACCCCATGGCTCAAGAGTCTCTACTAGAAACAAAATCAAGTTGACTATATTATTATTTAAAAAAAATAGTATAAATACGTATGCAGTCTGGTGAAGGGTCCATATCCCAATACGATCGAGGGTAGCCTGTACAAAGTGGTTAATTGCCGTAAAATCATCATTAATTAACTTACAAATATCATATTCATTTATAAAAGGGAAACGTCATATTTCTATTTTAAATACGAATTCAGTTCCATATAAGTGCAGCGATGTCGAAGTTCGTTTGTAGTTCAACGTATGCTGTAAAATACTTAGGTTTAATAAATCGTTCATATGAAAGACGTAAAGTATATCTTTTGCGATAATATCGTAATGCCTTAATGAATAACGTGCTTAACTATTAGAATCTCTAGACAATCTTGTAAGGTGACGTCATCTCTATCGCCGATCGCGTGTCACACGCACAATCCGTCGTCTACATCGAAAATATCTGCGTCTTTAGCTGTTGTATATAGCCTTAATTATCGGTGGAAGCAATTATTTTGGCTTTTATCGAGCTACTGAATTATACGAACTGAGTTCGACATCTATGATGACATCATTAAAGCAAGCTTAAAAGTAGGATCGATTTTTCCTCTTTTGCTTTGCAAACTACAATAACGATTCAGATATAGCTACGAAATGTCGTAGCTGTTAGCTAAAGATTATAACCTCCTGTAGCATCAGCTTTGGAAAGCCAATTTTTAGTAAGGTTGATTTGAATTTAACATAAGTTGCAGCATAAACATGATTTACTACAGAAAAAATGTATGACCTTTATTCTCCTGCGGGGTAACGAGATACTATAATATCTACATTGTTATCATTCTCGATTGTTTAAGCGACTTACATTGAAGTATGTTGAATAGACGCCGCGTTAAATTATTTCAACAACATTGCATCGTTCCAAATACCTAATATTATTGGCGCCTGTGTCAGCTCAAAAATAAGATATAATACTCGTGTTGTCGTTCACGCTTAGGCACCGAAACTTAGATGAATGAAAAGAAACATGTTGCCTTTGTTGAGGGTCCATCAATATTTTGATAAAATATGTTTAGTCCTTGAAGCACGTTTTTCATAGCTATAATTATTTGAATAAGAATATTATTTGTTTGATTTCTCTTTCAAACATTTAGGGAAATGATATTGTGTTTGATGTTTTTTACTATATTACTGTACGGGAAAAACAAACATCGAAAGCCGAACACATAAACGCATTTCGATTACATCAAATGAATCAATATACGGCGAGTTGATTTGAAAATTCAAATTTTATGTGCATCCAAAAATGTTCTGGTGATTTTCAACTTTTGCATTAGCTTATAGAACAGTGTATTTTAATATTTCACTAAAATAATATTAAATTGTTATCTCCAAGATTATTGTAATCCTTCGTCGCAGTTCTTCATCCGGTGCTAATTAAAATCTATGAAAATCTTACCTGCGCTCAGAATTAACTCAACGATATTATTTTTAAAATATACTAAAGAAGACTTGGAGCATTAAATTACGTTCACAACGCTTTAAATATATACTTGGTCAATGAAACAAATGCAGAATTTTAATGTGATTTAGCATCACAGGTGATATTTCTTCATTTGAGGTTTGATTAATATTCTTTAGAGCCAAATAGGTGATTAACACGTCGTTACGTGTTTGGTTGTATGACAATCCGATTTCCACATAACGCGTTACGACTTCACTAAGCCAACATTGTAACTTGGATTTCAATTAATGTCAGTTTTTGCGATTGCAAAATGTTTTGTGAAAATCCACGTTTACATGACTAACATATTTTTGAATGAAAATGCATGAACATCTTGTTATTTTGTAGTTATTTCAAAGAACTTTGATTCAATCTAACTAGAAATTATTCGTCTGCAATTCTACAGCGAATATAGGAATCTTTTGTGAGTTACATAAATGTAAGTATTGCAATGCACATTGCATCAATTTGATGCATGTCTAAAAGCTATAATGGAATGGGCAACCACATATATTTGTATACAAGAAGTCGGACTTGCTTTGACTCTCCCTCGAAGACTCGCTAAAAGCCTTCTCAATTTTCATCGAAGTTATTTTACATACTAAGAAATGGGTTACAAATTAACAATTGAATTTACATTAGTATATTTGTCTAACGAAATCAATAATCCTATAAACAGAAATAGTAATTTATAAAAATATATCTATAAAATCGACCTGATGATTTTCAAATAAACAACTATGAAGCGTCAGGACTTTTCGTATCCATTTTGAATTTTCGTTGATATAGTATTTGAAAAATATAATACATAAAAATTTAAAATGCTATGCAGGACATATATGTTGTAATTATACCACAGAAAGTGAACATTTTGAATACCAAGTGTTGTCCTGTCTTTAGATAATGGGTCGCATTGTCTATAAATTTTTCTACATAACATAGTATAGTATAGTAGTTTTATAAGAAAAAGCGCCTGCTGGAGTTGTAGATACTCCAGCTGTTGTGTATAAAGCAATTGTATTTATCAATATGCACAATTGAAACTCATGACGTTGTACCTGGAGGTACTGTGCACTGGCGTCAGTAGCATCAGCGGAGTTGGAGCAATGAGCCCGGGACCATTCCCGAATGGGCAGGCCACCCCCTAGTGGAGGTTTAGTTCAACGATCATTGAAAATCTCAAAGTTATTAGATTTAACCCTACTACGTACAACAACTCTGAACTTCCTGTGCACAAACGGTTACGATTAATTTATAACTACATTTATAATAACATATAAGCTAGTACTATAATATATTGTAATAAAATTTGGCGTTAGCGGTAATATTATCAAAAAAAGACGCGTTCCTTAGCTGATGCAAAGATACTGTTGAATTAATACCGAGATATCAACAATATTTACAATTAAATCTATCGAGGCCTTCATACGACTTAATCAACATTTTTATTCAGAAACTGATAGCCACTGAGCACGTACAAAACAAGATCTAAAACTGTGTAATTTTATAGGTATATACATAAACACATACAGGTTTATAGATTTATTTTACATAAAACTCCACAAAACGTATACATGAAGTTTAAGCTTAGTTTAGTTTATATGTAGATTAAAAAGAGAATTATTGAGGCAAAATTACCAGCAATGTACTTTGACATACGACTAACATTAAAAAATTTACTATATCTGCCGAGAAATGGTCTGTTCGGTCATCGACCCAACAAAGGTGTAGAACAAATAACTATAGTTATAATTCATACTTTGCACAAACACGATACCTCAGATGTCATATGCACGAAACGACTGAATTTTATCCTGAAAATCGCATGAAATTAAAAAACAATGTCCTCTTATTCTCTTTTATGTAAGAAGTGCACGCAAGCTACCCAGACCTACGAATATATATATTTTTTAATTTTCACGCTATTATCTAATAATTTCATAAATACTAGTTGCGAAAATGTTTTTTTTATTATAGCATAACGGCGAGTACGTATATATAATACAAAATACTACAATAATATATAATACATATTAATATTGATTTCTACTTTTGGAATATACAATATATATACTATTCTAAATACATTTATAAATAAAACTCGATGGTATTATTATTATGATTATTTTTTTTTTACACATTTACTAATTCAGAGTTAATGTATTGCCGTTATAAAATAAATACCGTTGAATACAAATTAAACCTTTATATAAATTAATATTTCATAATTTTACTCATAGCTATCACCAAATCTTTGTTATGAAAAGATATCCGTTAATTGCGAAAATGTCGTAGGTGGGCTAGGTGGAGGCGGGTTGCGCAGGTACTCCACGCGAAGCCTGCGTGTATATAAATACGGGGTGCAGAAGCGGGAAGTGGCAGTGGCACCAGGGGTCTTCTCAGAGGCGCTGGAAGCCGTCCGAGTCTCTAAAATATTAAATTTCCGTTCTGTGCGAAATAATTTTATTTTCTAATAATTTATTATCGCGCTTCCTACCTTTATTGAATGTTGTGAGAAAATTTATTCGCGTTTTTTGAACTTAGATACGCGGGCAAAAGTTTTCAATAAAAGTTTTAATTAAATTTCTTATGGTGGTAAGAGTATCTTTCAAAAAGTATAATATGCGAAATTGATTTGCTTTTGATTTAATTTAACGATATACAGCTGAGCAAAGACTATTTAAAAGTTAGTAAATTTATTTCCTTACGCGAACTTCACCTTTCATTGCATTATAAATTAACTTTAAATCGATTTCGGCTAAATTAATTTTCTGTTATATTTTAAAATGAAAAAATGAACATTTTCAAGATATGAAGACTACGAATACAATTATGACTACGAAGAGCGTTGGTCACAATGAGGTATAAAGCTACGAGGAAAAGGTAAAACATTTCAAGTATTTGATGTTTTAATTTGCAGTTATTTTATGTTGCTCTAAAAGTTTACCAAAAACGGGCTATATTTCAAACATTCCGCTTATTTACTCTGCATTTACTATATCTACGTATTAACTTAAAGCTTTTCATGTATTTTTCTTTGTCACAAGTAATATTCCCGCAAAAGTTGTTAAAGATCTCTATTATATCTTCGCGGCTGTTTGCTTAACCAATAAAACCTCCACCATAAAGCGATTATTGAAAACAACAATCAGTAAAGTTTTTTCTCTTGCTTTTTCAGAAGCATTTACACGTAACATCACTTTTGCAAATTCTGTGGTTTAAATAGGAAATACGGCGAAGTGTAAAATCTATGCGAAACCAAAGTTTTATATTAAAAGCGATATATTACGTAAAAGTCGAAATATTTCAAATCGAAGAAACCTCCAGAATTTAAAGAGGCTCCAACCATAAATACAAACGGATAGAGAGAAATGATCGCCATTACCGCTACAGCTCGATAATTTTGCCATTATTTTTATGCACATTTGATGTATATAGGGTTAAAGTTTAAAAATGAACTTTAGTTTAAAAATTACATTACTACCAGCTTTTCTTAAAAAACGTTTTGATATAAAAGAATATCATAGATTACCGGATATTTTGAATGCCTATTAGACTTGGCTATTAGTATGAAGAGAAAAATCTATTTGAAATCTCGCAATTAAATACCTATGTATATGTGACGTCTCTTTGATTTAAATAAAATTTACTATTTTTAATTTACGGCGAAGCATGTTGCAAACTGTAATTAAAATAGAGAGAAAATAACCATAAGCAGCAAGTCTGCCGTTTTAAATAATGTGGACAGTTTTAGTAATTTTCCTCCAAGCTTAAAATTTCCGGAGCGAATTTTTTTCCTTATCTATATTTGGGTTAACTTTCATGTCCAATTGAATATGTGTCGGATCTTGATGAAACCTTATAATTTGCCGTTTTTATTTTAGTTAAACTTGTTTTGTAAATAAACATTTGTGAAAAACAAGTTTGTTTTTCATCTTGATATTTAAATAAGTTTTTTTCATTTTGCGGCCATTCCAAAATGATTTATCCAGTGAGCGGAATAACAAACACTTCAATCGTTTCATAGAGAAAGCGCAAAGTACGAGAACCCTAAACTATTCTTCATTCAAATTTTATATTAAGATTTTTCATAACCCCAGCAAAAGGTGTAATTAACGATAGGTCGATATTTTTTAATCGAAAGAATCGTTTAATGAATAAAATAATAAATGACTTTTGAAATAATGGTTTTTCACCAGCTCGACTCCGTTAGACATAATTTGTTTCGTCAATTTACGAATTCCCAAACTGCTTAGTCGTGAATAAAATACCATTTATTTTGAATTACAAGCGCTTAGAATGGATACAATAAAATTATTTATCATTGCAAAATGTTCAGTTGTTAATCAAATTAATTATGTTTTTTTAAAGTTTTAATAATAATAATTTTATTTATTGCCAAAAACGTATTATATCTTAAACGACTTGAATATATACGCAATTCATATCAGATTTTTAATGCGTATAAAAATATTCTTGTTTAATAATTTGTTAATTAATGTATAGTTTGACTACCGATATATGATTTCATTGTTTAAAATTCTAGTCAGGAAGTCTAATTCTAGAAAGGAAAATTGTAATCTATCTATGTCAATCAACATGAAGATACAATGATATCAACCGTAACATGAAGTTTTGTTTTAATTTATTATATATTATGTTGACTATGCTAACTTCAGGGTGTCGGGGTTTTGTGACGGTGTGCGGGTGTCGGTTTTTTGCGACGGTGTGCGCGCGCATCCTAAAAATTTATTCTAATCATTTTTCCCTGACGCACCAAAAAAGTATAATTTCAAAAGCTTAAGCTGTCCGTCCTTAAAAGGTTTTTAGTTTTCACCCAAATCGAAGATTTATACTCGATACCTCATAACTTTCTTGAACACCAATAAACCATTAAGACAGTTCGCTATATAGACAGTATAGTCATTCCATGACAGTTTTCTATTTTAGAAAGTATTGAGCACAGTGATTGAACGTTTCTTTAAATGCTTTTACCTTGATTAGAAGTGGATCTTCAATTTCGCGCAATAGAAAACCAACAGAACTTGTATCAGTCTAGATGATACAATCAATATCTTCTATGATCTAGAGAGATTTAATATCAAACTATGTAGCCTAACAGTTTTTAATATTTTTTGTTTGGAGGTGATAAAACTGACCAGAAACATGTATATTAAGAATAAAAATCGTTATATCAGGTTAAAATCGTTTAGAACTAGGTTTTGATTGAAAAACTAAATAAAAATAAATATTGTTTCGAGATATCCACGCTACGACGGTCTACGAGTTTGCTACGACAGTGTATTTAAATAGCGCTTGCCCAACCCGGGTTTATAACCCACAAATGACGCACGTATTATACGATACTTACCATTCATTAAAAACCGATTTATAACAGCGAAACATCATTGTTTTTGTATAGATTATTATTACAGCATTGCATATATCCTCTTTGTTAATTTCTTTAGTTTAAAGCTTTTTATGTACTTTTTAATTGCGTTGTAGTGATCATATTAATCTGATACAGTATAAATTGTCAGTTTCAAATTTATACAGGTCGTCAAAACAAGAATGGACGTGAATATTGCGATGCCGTAAAATTACGGAAATGAAGTCCCTCCGTCGAGAACGGGCGCGAAGTGAGAGTCCGGCTGTGTCGGGCTCTCACTCGCCCGTTGGCCGCGGTGATGTAAGTCACTGCCTTTACATTAACGTCATTTTCTTTTTAAAAAATTTATATATAATTTATGCAGCTAAGCTCGAATGTCAAAGCGTCAACATGAATATAATACTCTGCACTGCACTTGTGAAATTTTTACTGAAACTTTATAAGTACTAGAAGTTTTCAACTAAAATCGATACAAAAGTTATGCTCCCGAGCACGATCTATTAAACATTTATACTTGGACATATTAGTACTTGGATAATAACACAAACTTTGCGACAACATTACTTTACACGAATGACGACTCTTTCTGGTTTGAAGTTAAACGTAAATATTATCTTAAGCTGCTATTCATCATTTATGTATCTTTAGGATTAGACATTACACTTGGGAATGATTTGTTCCAGTCCAAACACATTATATTTTTTGCAGTAAATGTTGCCGGAAAGAACTGTATTTATTATACTCGGTGGTCTGGTCCATCTTTTCATTTATTTATAATGCTATACTAAAACTACAATGGTGTCTGTCTCATATTATAAAGCTACATTTCTCGATTCTAGCTCTCATCGATTTAAAAAGTCATACTCATATAGGTCATATTCTATTCTAAAATAGAGTAATAAACGTAAGTAAAATACTAGCAAAAACCTCTGGTACTGAGAGAATTCAATGAAGATTAGATACTAATCCATTTATATATGTACTACAAAATAAAAGCAATAATTTTCTTGTGTATAGTTTTGTATATTCTAGTGGAATAAATTATTATATACATTTTGTACAGTATTCGAGACATTTCCAGGAACAAAGAGGCTTTGGCTATTAGGTGCAGTTTTAGCTATTTAATCTTGTTAAACAGAATAAAACATAACAAGTAACAAAAGATTTTCCATGTAAAATTATGTCAAAAAGCGCTGCGCATGATGTCGAACTTACTTTGCCTTTCACCAAACTAACTAAGGAAAATGTTTGAAAGAGCTGTTCGAATAAGTTGATCAGCCGCTATATTTATAGTATGGGTGAAATTTCATATACGCTCTATATAGGAAATCTTCCATCCCATATAAAGAACAGCCAAAAAGTAAAAAACATATGTATAGATATTTCGAAGAAACCTTAAACATTTGTGAATTTTCGGAAGGGATTTAGCCCTCTTTTGTTTATAGTAGTTTGTAAAAGGTATAGATATTTTTCAAAGTTAAAAGAAGAGTTAAGTTAACCCTTAGGCTTAGACATATAGTTATTGTGGAAGTGTTTTTATCACTGATCAGGTTAAATGTTTTTTTTAGATTCAACCATCTAAATCTAATTCAACACATAATATACTTACATAACAATAACAATAAGTCTTCTAAAGTACTCGTTACCGCAATCAAATACACCACAACTAAATTTTTGTCCGTAATTTGAAGAATACATTTCGATGTTTAAAATATTTAATTTAGTGCCCATCAAGCGAGCATATTTGGCCGCGAAAGTCTAAACCCACAACAAAATATTTGCGGCACGCTCGGAACTGAGCGCTATAATATAAGCATTCATCTTAAATAACGGTAACCTTTTAAAATATCGTTTATTTTCTACAAAATAAATGTATGAACGCAAAGAGTTTTATGTACAGAAATTTTAAATTAAAATATTAATACCCAGTCGTAGATTTACCTATGATATAACCTACACAAGAGTGTACGATTGCGACATAAGTATTATGATAAATCTATTTGAAACATCATCTGAAAGAGATATATTATCTTAGTTAAATTTTAAACGAAATACATTAAAAATAATAGTTAATTAGTTGCATTCCCAAGCACCAAGTTGTATTTAAACCCTTTGAGGCTAAGGAGATTTCTTTTCCTATATCAATCGCAAGCATTTAGTGCTTTCAGTTCGTTACGTAAAAACTATGTAAAGTTTCAATTAATTAAATTACTCTAGTAAATTAATTCTGTTAAATAGCACTTGCTTTTACATGTTTCGAAACTAGTATTTACATGATACGAATGACGTTTACTTACAACAAAGTTGATACGGCAGTTATGAGCAGTCCTCTTTCATTAAAATAGTAATTTAATAGTTGGTGCCGTAAATGTAGAAATGTTCTGGCTACAAAAGTTTATTTTCAGTCCGCCTTGGGCGATGCGATTCACAAACTTTAAATGTGGATAGTCCTTACACCATGTTTAATTTTACTAAAACACTTGTTAGCTGTACTTCGAAGTTATTTAATTAATTTTACTTCACAATTATCTCGTTTGTTATAGTATTGCTCTTTAGTGTACAATTTAATATCATATCATGAATTTATATATTTACTTGATATACATTATACATATCACGATGTAACATAGCATTGTTATTACTAAATTAATTTCAGAAAGGTCAGATAAAGGGCAGAATAAGCTTTCATTTTCACCTTTACGGCTATGCTATAGTGACTTATGGAAAAGTTTATGAACAATCTGTGTTATGTAGGCGTTGCAGGTTCTACCGGCTTTATTCTTTGGCAACTACTTAAGACAAGCCGAAAACATGTCTATTCATTTAAAATGTGTGTACTATACCTTCTACACTTCAAACGTTTTACCGTTTTTACATACAATAATACACAATACATTTTCTATATTTAGGTACTTTGATATTGGTTAAAATATACTTATTATATGGACAAAATCGTGACCTGGGTTCATATATTTGCACCTGTGTCAGTCGATAAACGCGGCCAATTTAAGTCTGCTTTGATGGTACTATGTTGGCTTCCTGCCACGTTTTGGTGTACTTGTACATACAGCGTAACAAGAAATAGCTGTTATCACAGATGGTTATCTGAATTATAAGCCAAAGCTTGTAAAACTGATTTTTCGGCCAAATTATGAAATTGTTTTTATATTCAAATAATGTGCATTAGTTCATAAAAAATTTATTGTTCCTTTGCATAAAAATATAATATATATCTCTTCTATGTTGTATATATTTTTATAGTGTTAATAACCTTTGCTAATAAATAATGAATTATGATGAACACATTTATATGAAAATATCTACTGATATAAACCAACTGGGATTAGTTTATGAAATTTTAGGAGATCAAAGTTAAGTTCATTTTAAAAATATGCTTGTTTATTACAAGATACACCATCCTCCATTACATATGAAAAACGAATAACAGGACAATAATAAAAAAAAAGCCGCTCCACGTCACAACAATTAAAATAATGTACTTTCAACGTAAGATCCCTATCATACAAAACAATATAATTAAACAATTCATTGTGAAGAATCTGAGAAAAAATAAATAAATAGAGAAATGGAAAAATATGGAGGAGGCTTTTCCCCTAAAAGGGGCTATACCATACTAGACCACTAAATAAACTCCTTAAATTTTTCAACTTATACTAACACAACTAATACTCAATACTCATATTAAGAAATGTTAACTAACCAATTTTTGTATGGATTCATTAATAAACCTATAATAATAATATTTTTGTCTTATTCATATCATCTTAACGATAACTAATATAATATATTTATACAGGCTCATCTGGAGCTACAAAATCACTTAGCTGAGTTTTCGAAAAGCGGCGTGCCGGCCCTACAAGGGTTCGTCCTAGCAGCCATTCCAGAAAACTCGTTCTCCTATCTGATGTGGTCAGAGCAATCAGGAAATCTAGAACTGGCTTACAATTGGAAAAGTAAGTATTAATTGTAAATCTACTTTTTTCATAACATAATAAGACCGGGAAATTCTAGGTCAAAATTGTTTAGCGTTTAGGCCAAAAGCAAATTGCATATGTCGTTAATGAATAAAATATTATAATTTGTTAGCATTACTGGACTTTTTTAATTAAAAGCTTGAAACTTGTACCATTTACTGATTGCAGCCTAGTTACGATTACATACTTGATTTCACGTTACATTAATGACTTGGACACAGAATTTAATGTGTGCCTGGCTCTTGCAAGGAAACGTAGACGATTCTATTAAGGCAGAAATAGTCTTCCTTATTTGCAAAGATACAAAACTTTAATAACCATAACTTTAGAAAAAACACATTCCTCGTTTATATTTACTTTATCAACAAGTCAAATAGACAATATTTATATCTCACATTGTAACAATTTAGTAACTTTTAATGATGACTAATATGTTCTAAATTGATGGCTATGGCTCTTCATAGAGTATTTTTTGTCACAAAAACATAAGAAAATTCTACATTCTAATAGTAAAAAGGTAGGTGAAGACGCTGTGCGAGGAAAACACAAGCGCCATGCATCAGTGCTTTCTCTAGTCTTCATATACCTTTGAAAACTATACTTTGCCCAAGAGTCTCTCTGAAACTTTAAAATAGAAAACTTTGAATAAAACTTATTTTCCCCGTAGTTGAATTGATATAGCTACATTATCGTTGTCCATTGCGATAGTATGCAAATGCACTAAAAATACTATCAGCGCTGTCATAATATGGTAAAAGCGTGGTAAAAGCCCTTTGCGCTATGTATTAATGCATGGAGTGTACTATTTTATGCCTTTGAAATCAGTGTTGAACTGCTTTGACTGCCCTGTAGATGGAGAATTTAATTGAAAGGCAATAACTAACATTAATGACCGACATCACTGTAAAGGAATAGGAGTTGAGATCTCTTTTCATGGATCAAACTAGAAACTGCACACGCGATAACGATGTGTTTATGTGCTATTTTTAATTAATCCGCGCGAACGACGAATACTGAGGGATTTTATCAAACACATTTTGTCTCATTTACAATGTAAACAGTACCTATACAATAAAATAAAAGGAGATATTTTATTAAAAGCATTTTCAAATCTAAGAAAGTAAAAATGGTACCTACTCAGCTAATTAGAATCTACCGATTGTGTAACAAATGGGGGTTATTTATGAAGGAGTCATTAGCAGCAATATACGTGCTTTGAACTAATCATCAATTTTAATGGCATTTCTGTCGTGTTTTTCTTCTAGTAATTAAACTTTTTTTGTTGATTTCCCATTACTAAACATTACTACTCATATTATTCTTGTAGCCATGCAGCCTTTACATTCTTTTAAGTGTTAAGTGCATTTTAAACATTTATTTATAAATTATTTTGTGATATTGTTTAGGTTACGAGGAATAAATACAGGCTTTATGTAACGATGTTAATTTAGCAGCTATTATGTCGGTTGTAAAAAAAGTTGATTTTCATACGCGTACGTTCTTATAAGAAGTCCCACAGATGTTGTATATAGAAAATATAATCTCGCTATATATTTATAGATTTATTAAGCAATTTACATTATTAATATAGATCACAATCAATTTCATTTCGAAACTATCGTATTAACTCGAAAGTCCATTATATTTCGCAAATTTAATATCGCGTAAAATTTGCGCATTAACGTTATTATGTTATAATCTGTTAAGTTTAAAAGCTTGATTGTTTTGCTGAAAGCGGTCGAATTCGATAGGAGAGTTTTGCTACAATAATTGTGTTCACAAAAGCCGATTTGTGGAGTAAAACGTATTTCACAGAACATTTCGTTCCCCTTATTATATTTTGTAATGCTCTAGCATTCTCATGTCTTTGTATATATTTTCTCGATGTTTACTGATAACTTAATTTTTATAGGTAGACTCACTTCTTGTGATTATTATATAACTTAATGATTATTATATTCGCTGATATACCCCTTCATTTTTTAATTATACTTTCTTTGTTCCAAAGTTCGCAATAATCTTCTAGCAATTTAAACAAACTTCAAAAAGTAGAAGGTTCTCAACTCGTCACATTTTGTGTACTCGAAGAGGCTTAGACCAATTTTTTTTTAATGTTTGATTTTCAAACTTTTCATGTAAGTCCCGCGAAAAGTATCTGATGAGATCTCGGCTTAGGAACAATTCTTCAAACTGTATAGGCATGTAGTATTTGGAATTATTTTTATTTTGGAATAATAAGATCGATCTTATAAAACCTTAGAACCTGCGTAGTTGCAATAGTTTTAGAGTATTTTAAGTGAATAGTATTTTAAAATTTACTCTCTTAAAACTGCACATAAATCTTTGCAAACAATAACAAAAGCTAATTCTATAACGCTCGCTAAAATTAATCGATACGTCATAGCGTTAATATTTCCAGGCGTTAAGTAGGGTCATAACCGATGAAAGATTTTTGCAATAAAAATAAGTCATGCCTTTAATTACACTAATAGCTAGCGAATATTTCAGACCGAATAACTGGGGATAAAATTCTTATAGAGAGAATGGAGCAATGGGGTCCAATGCCACACAGATTTCTGGGTCTGTTTGATGAATCACTTGTTTAGACATGTGATCAGAGATTACAATGTACGAGTAGTATGCGAAAAATAGTTGATTTTGAAAATTACATTGACTTATTATTTATAAATATTTGTAGATACGTATGATAAACTTCCTTCAAGTTGAAATAAAAATCATTACCCCCTGCTGTCGGAAAGTTTTCGTGAAAAACGCGCGCAAGTTAACGGTTAAAAATATGCAATTCCCAAAGCCCGCGCAGCAAAAGTTTTTAGAAAATTAAATACCAATATAACTGGAAACCGCTAAATTTATGGTTAGTTTTTTGCTTATTAATTTTGAACTTTAGTCATAGTTTTATATAAATCCTTAGTGTGGAAAAATATTTTTCATATTGCTAATGTCTGTATTCCTAGTCTATTCCCAGAGTTTATCTTTTTAAATAAGCGAATAATTAAGCCATGCATCAATTTGAGCTGTCAGAGCAGATTTTAAAAAAGCTCAAAATCTTTTCGTGTATTCATACTGACTGCCTACAATGCGAATATGATTGAAAACACAGTTTTAATAATTGTGTCCAATTTTTAAATCAATAATATTGATTATAGTATCATCAGTCCTTATAGAAAGTTTTTTTAAGAGTCGTTGCAATTATTACGGATTATATTAATCAATGGCAAATTACCTTTAGGAAAATAGATCATCTCTATTTTAGGAAAACTCGGAATGGAAACGTAAAGGAACTTTTGAAACTTTAATCTGGTTTACTTAATTGTTTTTGATATTTAAAACATAGTGTTTATTATTAACGAGATTAGACCATCTAAATTTTAACCGTTACCTTCCTTCTTAACAATATACAAAAGTTGTTAGAATCATAAAATTCACGCCCTACTAATAGTTTTACGATCCACCAAGTAATGGCATTGCAATAAAATTAAGAGATGATACGGATATGGAGAGTGTAGATATAGGACAGTTTTGTCATCCATAAAAATACGGCAGTTACTTATTTACTTAAGAATGTTCCTGTCCATAATTTCAACAATCCTGACAGATTCTACAACACTTTAAACTTCTAGCTCTCAGACTTCTGCCTCTGGATCTTTATAAAAAAGTAGATGAACAGTCTTCTGTACGTGACACACTTCGTCAATGTTAAGATATAAAAGTATTAGGTTATTTGTGAATTAAAACGGGATTCGAAGGCATGACCTTACAATTGAGAGTTTTGAAAGTTTTATATAAAATCAACCACATTTATTTTGTAATATTATACATACTATATCAAAAAGAGGCTAGCGTCTGTCAAAACCATGACGGAATTTCATTAGAATTGAGAAAATTGGAACGTATACGTGATATATCTTATGACTTCCTCCAAGTAGAATTTAATTATTATTTGTAATTTAAATTGACTATAAATTACTGTACGTACTATCACTAATTTATCATTTATCTACACAGCTTTGGATGAGAATGAGAAAAAGAAGCAAGCCGTTGTTCGGGAGTTGGTGGAGACGGAAGCGAACTATATACAACACTTGATGGTGATTGTTGAGGTTAGTGACAGTAGACATTCCTAGCAGCTATTAATCTAGCTCTAATAACAGTATAAAACTATATTTATTTAAAAATTATTGACCAGTTAATTAATATAGATTTAGATAAAGTTTTTCATAAAACTCATGTACAAGATGGTATTTAAAAATAGCAAGTTTGAAAACACAATATTCAAATATTTTTTTTATCAAAACATATCCTACCAACGCAGTTGTTAATTGCGGACATCTAAATACTGTTACATAATCTTACAACACTTAGTCGCTAATAAAAGGAAAATGTTAAACTAAAAACGGTAAATAATATATACATTTTGAGGACCAAATAAATTTATATGACATAACAATGGGTGACGTACTATAGAATCTGAACACCATCATAAAATATAAAGTCGGTATTAAGGCTAACAAAAGGTTAATTTCGGTGACGGAACGCAAGGAATACATTAGATCGAACCCCTATTTACTGCGATTGTGTCCTTCAAGAACGATATGCTATGTTTATACGGAACTAGCTATAAATGTATACTCAAAACAAATCAAAATATCATTTATTTATATAGGTAACACTTATTTACGGACTCGGATAAGAAATATTATTTTAAAACTGAATTGCTTCTTAATTTACACTTACTGTCTTAAAATCAAAGCGTATAACGGACGAAAAAATTTTTTTAAATGGGCAAGGTTGAACAAAATATTTGTAAGCTGTAACCAATATTATTCTTCGTAAATCAATTATTATAAAATTAAATGAATAAGACATAAAGGTAACATTAAATCCACGGTGTTCACGAGTACGATGTATGACCAACCATGGTCCCGCTCATCGTACTATAGGGAGAGGGACTATTCTATAAGGATCGGACATTTCCAATTACAGATATAAATAATATTGCTCTTGGTACACATAAAATATTCCACATCCAAATTAAACAATTCTTTTACCAATAAGTTTCATTAGTAAATGGTGTACAATTCCTAATGTGCCGACATTTTAGGATTTATGCCTTATTTCTGATTATTTACCTACAAATATATAATTTTTTTTGATTAAAGATTACGTATTATATATATCGTATATACATTTCCAAGTAGGCGGAGTAAAATATTTAGGGTGCAATAATGGAATTCATAGGCTTGTGCCTCCTATTCTCTTTATATCATGAATCTTGGATGAGGAGAGCTAACATCAGAAAGTAATGGAAGCAGCTGGAAAAGGCCTATGTCACAGGACACGCTGATTACCTAAAACGGGTCATTTGATGTTTGAGATTAAGTTAGGTTATGTAACTTTATGTTAATATATTATACTGGTTGTCAGCAATAAAAGCTTAATAAATAATAAAAGTAATTCATTTATATTTGAATCTAGAACAGGGACGTTGAAGTAGGTCACGAAAAATTGGAAGGCACTCTACATGAACTTGACAACAAGTATCTCAACGATCGTCGTTCAACCGCTACCAAATTTTATAATTTTGGCCTTCAGCCTATATGTCTATGTGTATGTGTGTGATTACGTCCAGCGTTAGTCTGTAACTCTCTATAATGATATTACCGCCACTAAACTTGTATAGGTCTGGGGGAGTGACATATTATGCAAATATGTTTGAGAAATAAAGTCTTTAAACCTATATGTTTTCAGTTATTATATACTCAATTATTAAGTTCATTATAGGTGTCATTAATATTACGTTATTGTGATTTGTAGAGAACGGGAATTGTTCCTAGAAGTTTCCGTTTAAACAAAAGAAAGCTGTTTTTCTTTAGCTCATGGTAATTTTTTTAGGAATAAGGGGCGGGAAATCAATTCGAGTTGATGAAACAATTACAAATTGTTGCGTAATATAACCAACAAAATCGTTTAAACTATTTAAATAACGTTAAATTCTAATTGAACTCCTAATGTCCTCATTCGTATCTTTCTGATGAATTGTGTTTAGTTGAAAGAGTGAAATTATGATGATGATTTAGCTTGTTAGTAAAAATCTTAAAAAGGCATTTGATTTTAAATTAATTTATACATTTTGGTTGAATGGTACATAAGTCAATTAATTAACATGTTTCTCAAATTGGGTCAGCAATTATGTTTTTAGCAACTCGATTTTGCACTTCACCAGGGACTGACACTTGAAATTTTTTTGCGTTAATCAGCTTCCCTTCCTCCTCTCAGGTCATACTTTTCATTGTACAATAAATCTAATAGTATAAAACAGCTATATGTAATAAATTATTTCTTTTTCTAAAAATGCTTATATTTGACAGGTTTATTACATTTACAGAGTTATAAATTGCCAAACAATAATTATAATATATACTAACTTACTTTCTTTTTGTGGGGAAATGCGTTATGTATACCCTCGGTACCTCACGGTGCTACCTTAAGGGATGAAGAGGTCATGTGGGACTCGCTACTGTACAAAACCCCGCGCGTCACCAGCAATCGCCCGAGCCAGGACACGGTAACAGCGTAGTCCGCATCCCGCCACGAGATAAGCCTCGGAAATCAATGTCCCCTATGGCCATGAATGTTGTGGAATGGACCTTGGCACAGCAAGGGCAAAACTCCACATTGGCCAATTCACTCGGATTAATTGAAAAGCTCGGGGCGATGCGTCAGCATCTCTTCTTTTGGACGCATGAACCTCTGTTCCCCCGTTGAAGTGTTTGCGTGCCCAGGATTAAACAACGCGTTGCACAGTAGAACGGCGACACGGATGGCGGATCGACCTCCATGTCCCTCGTCGCGTCTTCTTTATGGCACAAGACGGCCTCGCAGAATTTCTGAAAGGATTTCCCACGTGCCGTCACTGTCCGTGCTTGTAAATACAGTTTTTTTTTATAAATAAGAGTTGAACTCCTCAACTGATAAAAAGGCCTGTCATGGTCCATTTTCATTGAGTATGATATGGAATCGACATTTGAAAAATAGTACAAAACGAACCCTACGGAATTGTTAGCGATATAAACAAAAAAGCAGACAATGAGAATTCCTAGTAAGAAAGTACTACAGCGAAAAACTGTATCAATTCTAGATTACGGTCGCGTAATTCGTAGCCTAGCGTTTCTTTTTTTCTTCGAATTCTTTATCGCAGTAAAACTTTCCGTTGAGCTAGAAAAGTTGTATTTTACTTTTAATACTTAAGTTGATCCCATCCTTTTCAGTACCGATATTTAAAAGTTAGTAAAACCTTCATATTAGGCGGCTCTTTATGTCACATTGAACATTTTCATACCTTAACTCGACTAACGTCATCAGATCGAAGCCAAGTTTTATTTACGAGTATGTATGTAATTGACTAGTCATGTATGCATGTCAACTGCATAACGGTTCATCCCAAAATAACCATGCTTTGTAACAAGGGACTTCACATTTAATAATATTTTTTTAATATTGCCGTTCTTTATTAGTAACACATTTTGATTTGATAAACCAATATTTAACTTATGCTTGCCGCGTTTGGCAACAAAATACTAATGATACACTTTGTTCTCATGGCGTACAGATATAATGTGCTCATTAAATGCCTTCAGGGGTAGGTATAATAGTGACACCATTCGCGAAACTTTTCCATTTTCTGGAGGCGCATTTTTATTTTTATTTAAACTTATTTGAAATTCAAGATTCCACAGTAAATCAAAGTATCGTCACAATAACCATTCCAAATTTTATTTTTAATTTCAAGTATTTGATATGAAATTATTATCTCAATGACACAATATGACACTGCGACCCTCCAAGGCATTGCCGTGGTTTTTGGCAAATATACCAACAATATGGCCAAGATGTAGATGTTATGTAGTCATTGATCTACTAGATTTCACTTCTAGGTTATCCAAAATATCAACACAATTGTAACCTCAGTAATGGAGCAATTCTGCATAAAATTATGAAACTTCTTGGGTAACTGTATTGAATTGTGTCGATAGAAAGAACCCGAGTATTACATACAGACTATGATTGATGACTCTGTCAGACTATGAGACTCTATCAGCTTATGATTGGATTTTGCTGCAAACGTTGGACTATTGAGTTAATAACCTATGTTGAATATGTGGAGGAAAGATGCTGTACTATTCCTCCAATTTATAGGGAGAATCCTCGAACAGTCTAACCACTAATTGGCCCAAAGGCGCCGGTGACTACAGACGAGAAGTTGTATATGTCCGTAGCGGCCGGAATAATTCGTTAGCGCGTTTCAGGGTATGACTTTATCGTAGTGGTTCGTAGGCACAGATTGCATACGTAGGTGTTGCAACCAATATTAAGAAGTTAAAGAGTAATTTATACCTTCCGAGGGTAGTGGGCACGTGAAAGATCAAGTTCTGCAGCACACTACTAAACATGTTTGAACTTGTAATAAACCATTTAAGGTTTGAATAACCGGTGGAAACTTTGCTAAGTTTTTATACTTTAAAACTGCCTAAAAAATAAATTATATAAACTTTTTACCTGATGAAAATTTTGTTCGAGATGAAATATCACTACAAGGTGACCGCAATTTTTAAATTAAAATGTGACGCTGGAAACATTTCCAATTACCATTCCCGTCTCTCTGTATTTTATGAACGTTTCTGCACATATGCCTAAGGGGATATCACGTTAAATAACTACAGTTAACATTTAATCACACGAAATGAAAACCGATTCAATAATATAATGTTCGTGAGGTTTCATTAAAAATATATCAGGCGTAACCTTGCAATAAAGCAAAACTTGTTTTAATTTAACTGATTATTTTAAAACGTTTTCATTTCTTTGTAAGCGTTTTACGTTTAAATTATTACAATTATGTACATATAACGTAACGATTTATACGGTTCGAATCATAGCCTTAAATAAATTTGAGTTTTGCAAATTTCCATTTTACAATAATCAAATTTATACAGTTATAATTGAAAGAAAAAACTTTTTAACCGGATTAAAGTTATGTATTATTATAAATTTACAATTATTTAACATAATTTTAAATTTAACCGACGTTTCGCGTGCTTTACAGCGTGCGTGGTCACGGTGACTGAAGACAAAAGGTGTTGGATATCAAAAAGTATCACAGCTGTAGAAAAAGTTGCATTATCTGTATTTATTTCCCCGGAGGTCTAACTTATGTTAAATAATTGTAAATTTATAATAATACATAACTTTAATCCGGTTTAAAAGTTTTTTCTTAAAATGTGTAAAGGGTATGTCAATAAAAGACAATACAAGTTTTGATTTGTTAAATAAAAAACTTTTCGAATGGATGAAGACCATCTAATTGTGCTGATAATATGGCGATTTACTCTACACACTAATATCCTTAATTCAATATATAATATTAGATAATTATACCTAAGTGACATATATTAAATAAATATGACTGCATGCATTTATCGATACCATGAAGTTACATATGTGTGATTCATCGCTCAGAAATAAAACTAATAATATATTGATTTGATTGCTTGATTCAGGTTAGTCGCGTAGTGAAAATAATAATGAACGGATATTTTCATTTATATTTAGAGCTGGCAATTCTTTAAAATGTCAGTGAACAGAGAATAAAACGAGTTTAAATTGCAGAGGAATGAATTACATATTTTCTCTTTGTCACACAATGTATCATACAAAGGGCCGTTTACATTACTATTTCATTTAATTTTAACTTAATAAGGGATCTTAAACAGGTTAAAAAGGTATTATGTAACGCAATTACGATGGCCCGTGGAATACTTCAAGTGTTTTGCGTTATCTTTAATTTAAGATATTACACTTAAAGTATACTTGTATCCGTACACCGTTTGATCTTTTGGGCTCGATTTCCGGAGCTTGAGATGTGTTGGGTTAGTAGTATCACGACTGACCTTATAAATATAAAATGAAACCCACACGGAAAGTACTGTCCAAACGAACACTTCATGCCCCATTACGGCATAAACGAATAGCAGATTCGGGGCCCTATTAGCAAGCACTTAGTGTTAACAAAGTTTTCCTCCAACGTTATTTTAATGTTGAAATGTGAATAAATCGATGTAATTTTTAAGATCACATAATATTTACACACCATATATGCAATCACAGTTTTTTGATTGGCTACAATCGAAATGAATCATATGTAGTTTTGTTTACAGAAAAGACAATAGATTTGTATTTACAGGTATTTATTGCCGCAGCACATTCACTTCAGGACAGCGGCAAAATGCTGGATGTTGACACAGCAAAGTTATTTTCAAATATACCAGATTTGCTTAACGCCAATCTGGTATTTTGGAACATAACATTCTATCCAATGGTTAAAGATGCCGTGGAAAACAAAACTCCGTAAGAGACTTTTAAATCCACAATTTTTTTATAATGCAGCATTTCAGCTAGTTTAATTTAGTAAATTTTTGCTGGTTTAAAGTTGAAAATGCTTGACTAGAGTGTAAGGGGCTTATATAAGAGCTACTTTTGTTTGATGGTGTAAAAATATGGTTAAATACAAATTCATTCACGTTGGTAATTAAAAAAGAGGGTGCGTGTACTTATGTACGCGCGTAAGAAGTTATACTTCTTTGGCATTATTAAAAATAGTTTTTGATTGCATGCAAATTATTAATTACAATTAAATAATCAAAGACTGGAAAAGGAGTCATTAAAGTCAATAAAGTTCAGTTTACATTTGAAAAATTAATTAAATAAATATTTATTATTATTCTCTTACATTAAACAAATAAAACACTATTTATCTTTAAAACATTTTTATTTCATTATACTATTTATTTTTAAGTGACTCTAATGTCTTCATCAGAATTTCGGTTTGTAATTTTAAATTAATCATTACTTGGTTGTGCATCTACGAGGCTTCTCCAAAACTAAAACTACTACTTGCTTCTGCAACAAATAAGAGAATATTAATTTAAGCTCTGTCCATGCAAAACTTAAAATTTTTTATAATTCATATTATAAAATTTTTAACACATTTATATTAATATAATTATATAAATGTGTTAATAATATAATTTGTAGCACATGCTACAGACCTGGATAGCAACTTTCTTTTATTCTATTTAGAGATAGAGATAATTTAAATATAATACCGGTGTCTTCCTTGTAGGTTTCTTTTGAGTTGTTTGGGGATTCTTGTTGTTCAGTTCGACATGATTTTCTTTAACCTTTTTTTAATCCTACAAAATAATGAAATTCTTAAGTTATGTTGTCACTGTTGTGCACACCTTTGTTTGGCATTTTTAGTATTCAAGTTATGTCAAAACTGATTTATTACCTTGTCATTGTTGGCTTTATTTGCTTTTGGGATAGCAATTGTTTCCAAAATGATTTTATTTGTAATATCCTGAAATATATAAATAACATCTATTAATTTAAGTATCATGGTGAGTGGTTCGCACTCAGGTATTAAGGTGTATTATACCCACTGTCCATTATAAGTGGGAATGGGCTCACATCTGGCTGGACAGAGTTTCGGTACTACAAGAGCAACATGGATGTTTTGAGGTATTACAATATCTCTAACTACCCTGTAGGGGAATAAAGTATGTGCCTATGCTTGAGAGGTTGAACCTTGAACATCACCATCATATTTATAATTAACATTCCTACCTCGACACCATCACAATCAAATTCATTGAAATCTACTTCAAACCGTTGCGGTATAATCTCTGCCATATCCATTGTGTCTGGAGAAGGTGATGGTGGCTTTGTTCCACCTCTAGTTTTTGATGTTTCACGGCGATAAGATGACAACTCTTTTTTTTTATTCAATTTAGTGCACTTCCACTGATTCATCAATTGTTTTTTGTCTCTTGTCCTTATATTTGCTAGATTAAATCTGAAAAATTACATGTTTTGATTAAATAATGTAATCATTTTTTTTGAGATACAGGTACTTATTAAAATGTTTACTTCTCTGTAATATCGCTCCAAGCCTTCATTTTCTCCTTATTAGTATTCGTGCTTAAATCTTTGTTCTCAATTATTGATATATAGGGTCGTAGAATATTTCTAAAAAGTTGCTGTAACAAACGCAATAAACAAAAGCAATGAATAATGGTTCATGTTTCAGTTTTAATCAACAATAATACTCGATAATACATACGGATAGTTAACCTCAATTGTATTGAAGCACTCAGGAAGTTCGGCACAGTTTTTTCACAAATATTTTATCATATGAATTAGTATTGATTTAGATATTCAATTTAAATCACTTCTGATTATAATTCAGACGCAAATATAAAATTCGCACTTGTATAATAAAAATAACTAGGTATATAATCTTTAAAACTAAATAACTAATTAATACTCCTATATTTGTTTCAAATGTCATTGTCAGATGTCATGGTCATTCAAAATTCTTGTTAAGCTGCTAAGCTAAGAAATAGAATATGCGTGAAGTTAGCTTCACGCATATTCTATTTCTTTTTACTTGTAGATTGCGCAGTGCGCACGCTATAATCACACTCCCAATTTTGTGTCATAGGTGCGCGCGCATCGTAAAATTTCACTCTCATCAATTTTTCATAACGCGCCTAAAGAAGTATAATTAAAAAAGAGAATCAAATTTTAGTTTCAATAGATTATTATTATATTTACACATTTATTAAATAAAGTCATTTTTAATAGTCTCCTTACTATCTTCATTATAAAATATATTTCCAGTTATAAGGTAGAATTAATGGCTGACGGATTTAGTCGTTTTCACGAGATCTTTCAGCCATACGAAAAATATATGAGTGAGCAGGCGAAAATGATGACATACTTGAGATTTATGCAAAACGACCCGGAATTTTCCCTGTACCTTAATTGGTGCTATACGAACAAATCATGTAACAGGTATAAAAAATAAAATAGAAATTATGTAACTTTAAGTTAAAATACATCCAGTATATAAACAAATCTGTTGATATTCTCTATCTATTGATATAAAATGTGGAGCGGTTATAATTTTTTAATATTCAATGTAACCTACAATACTTATATCGAATGAACGCATTTCTAATTAATTATTGCTATAAGTCCTTGTTAGTTTACAATATTAATAGATTGAAGGAAAAGTTATAGTTTACATGAAAATTTATTTATTAGCATGTAAATTTAGTCAATCTTATTCAATACACATTAATTATAATCTCATTATACAATTTTTTTGATAAAAAAAATTTGATTTGCGTAAAATGTTTACTACTTTTAAGTGTGCAATTTTTATTTTAGACTCCAGTTATCCGACTTACTTGTTAAGCCCATGCAGCGGCTTACTAAGTATAGTCTTATGCTTCGTCGAGTCGTTGCATACGCTAAATCAAATGAAGAATCTGTTACACTAAAGTCTATGGTAAGTAGCCGAATTTATCTACAATGTTAACTCAATTTTTATGAATTGTATAAGCGATGATTTGAATTATTTTTTTAGGAAAATTTCGTTAGAGGTTACGTGATTGACTTAAATCGGTCTATGCGTCAACGTGATGAAATAGAGAAACTTGATGAGTTGTTAAACTCTGTTGAGCCATATGAATTGGTGAGATACATTTTTTTTTAATTACATGAACCCTTAATGATTTAAATAAAGAAAAGAAAAACTCCAGTTTTATGGTACACATAGAGTAGTATGATACTCTTTTGATTTTTTTTATAAACAAATATACATAACAATTACAGGACTATAATGAGGTCAATCATATTTCTTTCAGGAATTTAAAGATGAGGAAATGGAACGTGCTTTCAGGACATATTGCTCGTTAAATTTAAAAGCATCCGTGTTTAATTCTACAGAATTGCCTTTGCGCAACTTAGTATACGAGTGTAACGTGAGGTTTAAGGATAACATAGGAAAGGAGGCAAGAACTACGATTTATTTACTGCTAGCGATTTTGGATGCATCCAACTTTTTTTCATTAATAATTAAAGCTGATAAAGCGAATGTCTATTTTGCGATTTTTTTTTAGATATATCCAATGAATGCGATGTCTTTTTATTATTATTATTACATAAAAAAAATAACACATTTAAGGTATAATTTTATTCCAGACTGAAATAAAACTATTTCTTTTGACGGACGTGATGTTAATTTGTAAGAAACAGTCAAAAGGAAGTGCATTGCCGTATAAAATGATAAGGTAAGTAGAAATAGCGTGCATTCCTATATAAATTTTTTAACGTAAAGTATGTTATAGCAAAAATCTTATATGTTTATTATATAGTATAGTTAAATGTCTCGTTAATTTTGTTATATATAGTGTAGCTGTGAGTCAAAGATTCTACCAATCACATTCGAACGGAACACACAATAATTTCTTACTATTGTTACACTCACCCTTCTATCATTATTAATATATATGATAGAGACTTTTGCAAACCGATATAATTCACATACTATCAATGAATGTATCATTGTGGTCGTATAAATGCGTAGTAAGGACAGGTCCTCGCGGTAAACACGATTCCGCAACTTAAAGCTTACAAAAATTTATTAGTAAGTTTTAATATACATAATACATTTTTTCTAGACCCAAAATATTTTTGGAGAGACTTGTAACATGGCATAAATCAGCAAAAAGCCAGCTCCAGTCAAATAGTCTCATTTATGTTATAGTGGATGAATCTAATTCAGCAATAGGATGTTTTACGCTAAGCGAATCTACGAAAGATTCAACTCCAACGCAAACACTTAAGGTAAACATATAAAAAAATAATCTTATAGCTCCACACTTGTGTACAATAAATAGGAGGCTGTATAAAATTCACTTATAAACTTGGAACGTTCGTAATAAAATAATGCATATTTTATTGCAATCGAATAAACTGCAGTTTAATTTATTCATTTTTCTCACTTCTTTGACAACTTCTTCAACACAATTAAGATTTATATTAATAAATCTTAATTGTGTTTTAAATGTACTTATTGTAATGTAAATATTTGTTTCATGAAAATTATGAAACGATATTTAATGTTGAAAACTGTTACATAAAGAACGGTTGATTACCTATCTTATTTACAGACCTTAGAAATAAAAATTAAAGAAGCTCGACTTTCCCACGCATTAATAATTTGGGCAGCCATAAATCCATCGCGCGAGCTAAGTGAGATAGAATCGAGTGAAGCATATCCTATGAAGGTAATGCCAATAGATTTATATTATATTAACAATATGTTACCCTAACTTGTATCATTTTATCATCGCATCATGTAAAGTTGTTCGCCTGTTATCGTTATCTAAAACCTTCGTTAGTGTGGTTATAGTTGTAAACTTTCGGTCGTGATGTTTTTGAAAAATAACATGCTAACGATGGCATCCACTAACCAGCCAGTTCCTCTGATAAATTTTTTTTCACATACGCTTAGTACGCTAGTACTCTATTATAAGTACTCAATCGAAATTTACTTCGATTTTATGGATTAGTCCAAATACTTAATTCTTAGTATAACTATGTTTTTTTATAAAAATAATACTTTGAGATATAAACTTTCATATAACCCTGAAGCAGCCTTTGTCTCATATCACTTTCAAAATAAATCAATATGACAAAACATTCAAGAAGAACGTTTATGAATGAGACCAGTAGTTAAAACACAAATTGTAGCATGAGATAACTTTAAACACTGCTAATTGTGTAAAACACACAACGTAGAATAACGTTTAATAATGCATACTAAATAATAATATCTTTATCTAAAACAAACTACAGTTGGTACAAATTGGTTATGAGTGACTAATCTTTTCCGTGGTACATTTCTCTCATCTTCATCTTGTCTTGTTACAAATAGTTACTGTTAAAAATGACAACTTATATTTGATTGTTGAATAGTTGAGTTCGTACATTAACATTTAATTAATACCTGTCATTTCTAATCTTACGACAAGAGTCTCAAGGCTCAACCGTTATAAATTATTCTAATTTATTTGATAATTATGAGAAAATTTATGGACAGATTTCATATTGTATTTAATTAGCACTTTGAGCCTTTTGAACATTGTTCTTTCCAACTCTTTAACACACTTAATAATTAGGTGAAGACTGCTGAAGATATAGCTATTGAGAACGAAGCTCGTGAAAGAGTTGCGTGCATGTTACACCGAGGCATGGGCGTGTCGACTGATGAGTGTTCACAATCATTCACCACCGATTCCAACGAGGGTGAGCTTACATTCATATAATATTTATCTAACATAAGTGTTTGCTATTTTAAGATCCATCAATAAACAATCGATTTGTCTACATGTGCATTTATAACAAGATCAATCATTAAGGGTCGATTCGACCAAACTTCAATTTATACACGAGTAACTATACCAAGAATAATCTATTCCATGATTTTAATCTCGAGTAAATCCATAGTCGTTTGTCCACGTAATCGATAGTATAATTGCGCTAGGAATAACAATACGCGAATAGCAAGAGAATGGTGAACGAAAATAAAACTCGGCAAATAAATGTTGTTCTACAACGGGACAGTGTAAGAGCATACATCATGTCAACTCGATTTTGCCGTATTATAGAGTGAAAAAGTAGCTTTTAACAGGTGTCAAACGACAACAAAAAGTTTTTATTTCTTGTTTGTTTGAGGCTTTCGTCTAAAAAGGAACTTCTGTTGAGCCTAGTTGAATTTCATTCTAATATTATATATAATATATATATAGAAAATAAAAAATCTAAAAATAAATAAATAAATAATAAATTGTTTAAACGTTTCATTATACAATGCCAGACTATTAATTTAGTGCGTTGCGTTGACTTGAAATTAAAACACAGAATACATATTTGTGAAATGACAGAAATCAGCTGATTGGACTGACTGACGCCATTAAATTATTCTAGGAATAGCTGTTATTCCGTGCCAAACGGCGGTATAGTAGCTATTCCCGAATAAGCCCACTATTCTTAGAATTTGTAGTTGGTAAAACGTAAAATTGATTTACTCTCGATTAACTGACGATTTATTCTAAGATTAAGATTTACTCTTGTTTGGTCGAATCGGCCCTAAGAAGTTTAATCTTAGACTTACAGTTGGGGTTTAACACTAATTATGATTTCCGTAGGTTTTATAGTATCTGATTTGATCTGAATTAGACTCAAAAGAGACTTGGCATCAGGGGGGAGTGTCACCTTGTCAACGTTAAAACCATATATCATGTCATGGTTTACTAAGAGGACATGATATCTTACCTCCATTCCTAACACCTTGACAGCGCGACAGAGATTTACTTACCTAAAGATAACCAAGAAACAGGTACACTGACGAGACGGTGACCTGATGGTTAATTTTAAAAATAATTTAGTTATATTTCTCCATTCTGGCTTATTGCCCAATGGACAAGGGAGTCATGCTTTTGATACGTATCTGTTACTTTAGTGTTGTGTGTTATTGTTTGGTTGGTTTTTAAATTACATTGAAAAGTCATCATCGATTTACGTAAATTACCATACTCATTATTCATAGAAACTGAATCAGTTTTATTGTCTCGATTCGTCTTCTTCCCAAAGACCGACCAGTGCTTTAGTTTAAACAATATAAATAAATTGAGTTCGTTTTATTGAATAGGGAGTATTAGGCTATGTTCACATGTAACGCGCGTTAACGCGCGTCAACGCGTGATCAAATTTGAAGAGAGTTCAGATGATGAGCGCTAATGCGCGTTGCGAGAGTACTCGTCAGTCTAGTTCAGTAGAACGTTTCGTGACCACCTAGTGACTCTTGATGTGGTGTAAGTCGAAAAAAATATTAACAATAACGCGTAATTTAATCCCCGCCCCGCATCGTAACGTTTTACAAAAGGGCGAACCTATATTCCAAATTGCTGGCCTTTTTTCTACTTTATCGATTAGTAAGTCGATGTCAATATCTTCAATTTCACTCATTTTAAATGCGAAAACAAAATATAATTACGAAAATTAACAAAATTACATGCGATCGCGATGAAAGCGCGCGCTCAACTGAACAGCAAACGTTACATTAATATCAAAGCGCGCGTCAACGCGCGATCACCTGCGTCTAGAGACTTTTTCTCTGAGCGCCGCGTTAACGCTCGCTAACGCGCGCTCATCTGAACAGTTGTATGAAAATACCACAATGTCTAGGCGCGTCAAGTTTTTGCCATCTGAACATAGCCTGACTCTACAATAATGGTATTACAACATCATTATCTTCACTACTAAGGTAACTTAAGATATAACTGTATATTAAAATCATTTTGGACATGGCTGTGCTGGAGTTCTAATGCTGAAAATCCACGCTGGATAACATAACCATTTTGCATTTTTGCGGACAGGCGTTGTTTTTGTGTGTTATTTGACTTTGGACAGCGCTTTGTTTTAGCTCCCGGGGATGTTGCCAGTTATAGCCGAATTGGCAATCAGAGACACTATATGCATCGGTTATCAACAGCCAGTTCACGACAATCTCGTTTATCCAGTTTCCAGCAATCACTCAGGTATATATATCGGCTTAGCGTTTTTATTTACTGTGGTGGATCCTTTAACTTTTTTATTTATGCCAGATAAAATATATTTGGCATAAAATATATTTTTAAATAATATTTTTAATTCAATCATAATCGGGATTTTTAATAATAAATGCTTAAAGAGGTAAGCGTTTATTTAGAAAGTTCTGTCTGAAAGTTCATTCCGTCCTAGTCACTATTCCTTTACCAAAGTGATATAACCACTCCTAAAAACTGTAACAGGCAACTGGGACTACTCAGAAAAGGCAAGAAAAAATGTTTCAGCCTCGCGATAACGAGGGTAACTTTACATATTTTGTTATAGCATATTTCCCACATTTCAGTTCCTGAACACGTATTGTTAAACAAATTTTTAGAAAAATCTTGAAAGCCTTTCATTGAACCCGTCTTCGTAACAATATGTTTAAAGATTTCACTATGAACTGAAGAGTTTTATAAAGGTATTTAATTTTACAAGAGTGAAATATATATTTTAGGATAATATGGTTTTAAACGTTTTATGAAATGTGTGTTATATTATTTATACAGTTATTACAATATTCTTAACCTACATAGTAATAATAATAAAAATGCATAAATAGAAAATTAAAACAAATTTTAAATGTTTGGTCCCTATGACAGTGTACCTTTAATGCTGGCATCATTTCCTCTTTGCATTGTGTTCGTCTGTTTGCAAAATATTCACATGTGGGACTTCATGTCTGATATTACCCATAAAACCTTAGTCACGTAAACGAAAACTGCCGCTGCGATAGTATCCATTTCCGCTTGCGATGTACCTTATCCTTAATAGTTCAAATTAATCCAAATTAACAGTGCCGCTTCCCGTGACGAACCTTACCCCGGGCCAAGCAAAATAAACCGAACAGGCAGCTCTCTTGAACACCGTAAGTACATAATTAAATTTTAATGTTTTAAGTATGCCACAGAAATCCGCTGGAATCGAGAGGTAGGCCTCTGAGTAGGCAGCAGAACTTCGAACGGTCACTAAGCCCCAGAAGTTTGGGTGAGTCACGAGTAATACTTCCTTTCTCTCCCTTTATCTTCAGTTAAAGAGTAGAAAGGCATGTCTTATTTTCTGTCTCTCATTAGTGTCCTTATATTCGTCTTGCGAGATGCAGACAAATTCCTGTTTCTTTAAAAAACAGCTTGTTAACTTTTGGTGCGCTGCTAAATGTCTTCGAATTGTATACGAATGCTGAACCTCCATCGAATATAGTATAAATATGCATGATATGATCTGCTTCTGATTTGTGTATTATTTCAGTTATAGCTTTAAGCTGAAAATATAAAAAAAATTCTACCGATTGTTGTGAACTATATAAGTTCTTTTGATAGAATTAAGCAACCTCTTTCAATTCCATCTTGGCGTTTTTATTTTAAGCCATTCCTTTTATGTAAACTAAATATATTTATTGAGGTGATTGTTTTGTTTTCAGCGGTTTCATCAATCACAGTAAATGTGGTGAGTGAGGCAGAAACACCAACGGAACAGGAACCATTGGTAATGTTTATGGAATAATTGTAATTTCTGTATGATTAGGCCTCAACCAAGTTTTATTATGATTTCGGTTCGGCACGGAAACGCGATACAATAACGTATGTTAGTTTTCGTATCTAACATTATGTAGTTCTATTTAGGAATTTACTGATATTTTAAAAGTTAGAAATCAAATAAAGCGGCCCTCTGTTAATATTTCGGAACTATTTTAATGACTTTACACATTGAAATAATTCCGAAATATCAAGTATAATTAATGCACATTGTATTACTATGTGCAATATCATGAACTAATTGAATTCCAAATTGAGTACCTGATCAGTCAGTATCCACCGTTCAACTTCATGCATTCGTCGCTTAGGCGTTGCAACATGCAATGAGAGAAAGATTCCTAAGAGTGTTTTGTGTTACAGCTATTGCTTGCATTAAGTGACTTATTAAATTCAAATTCATTTATTCATATAGGTAACAAAATGTACCCTTATGAACGTCAAAAATTTAATAAATTCTTCTAATTTTACATATTTTACTGCCAGTTCTCAAATCAAGGTACGTAGGACGTAGAACGGAAGAGAAGAACTGGCAATAAACTGTTCGCCACTCTTTTTAATCGCCAAGTTTTTAGTTTTACACAATGTTTGTAAGGAGCAGCAACCATTACACCATGTTCCACATGACATCTTAAGTAATTAATAATAATAAGATATATTAAAAACAAAGATTTGTCCTCTATCAGCAGGAGGCATGGTGAAATAGGAGCACGCACTTACATTCTCGTGGGAACAACACGCAAATACATAGTCGAAATAACTAACATCACCACATACACGAAAACAAGTCTGACCAGTCACCAAGTACCACTCGTTCATGAGTATGTGATATAGTCGTATTCACAGATCAGATCAATCATGAATTCATAACGCGTTACCGAAATACATGAGCACCAGAGCAGTACTCAAACAAGATTATCACCCCAAAATGTTTACTACCGCCGCTTAGATATGTTTCTTTTTATTCAAGCATACAACACATATGTTAGTTAAGACACAGAAATGAAAACAATAAACAAAAAGAAAGTATATTAATAAAACTATTATAATTATGGGTACTAGATGGAGATATTCGTGTGTGATTCTAAATGAAAGATACTCGTATAAAAGCGCTACAACTTTTTTGGAAACTACATGTTTTGTGTAAGACTAAAATTACGCATGGGTAACGGATTAATCCGTCCGAACTTAATATGCTTAAACTCAATTACCGGTCCATATTATTGAATATCGATCGAGGTTTGTTGATAAATTCGGTATTTCCTACTTCTAATGCACTTGCTTTATGCAAATAATGGACAGTATATGTGAAGTGAATCTATTCGCAGTACTACTACAGGCGTACATTAAATAATTTTCTAAATATCAATATTAGTAACACATATCTTAGAATTGTGAATTTAAAAAAATCTACGTTTTTCTATATTCTAAAATAGCTTCAATTAATATTGTTATGAAGCCAAAGATTTGTTATCAAATTCGTCCGTTTATGTCTAATGTGTTCGTGTAATGGGCGCTTTAGGTAGCGGATGGGTTAACACTCCATGTTACGCCAGCGCCCGAGTCGCCACACTCCTTGTCACCCCATTCGAACAATGTTTCCGTTTTGAGCAGCCATCCGGACCTTAATCCAGACGCAATTACTCTTTCTCTAAGGTACTTATAAAACATTATTAAAAACTCCAAGGCCTAGGTTGGATCATAGTACACACGCATGCATTCCAGTTGGTTCAACTTCTAGGTAAGCATAATAATTACTTTTAAAAATACAAATTTAAAAATTCAAAATTCAAAAGTTATTTATTCATTTAGGTACAATACGAACACTTATGTAAGTCAAATTTTTTCTACCAGTATAAGACAAAACCATATAACAAATCAGAGTTGTTATTCACATGTTATGACATGTCCTGTTACTCATGAGTGACAGGAAATTATTTTATAGATATTTATTTTTAAATAGAGCGCCGTCAGCTTCTGAGAGGCTATATCAGTCTCATCAGGAACTTCTAGAACGCAATCGTTTGGCAGCATCACAAGCTTCTCAGTTTTTAACTCCTGATCATCGTGGAAGTAGTTATCCTCCCCCAAGTCCTACAAGGTAACAAATGTTAAAGATAATTTTGAGTTTTATTTCACTATATTATCTATATATATCTAATTACTATGTACGCACATAGATTTATACCAACGAACAATAATTACAAAGCATTAGCCTATTACTTCGAATACTACAATAAACGGTTGGGATGGGTTTATTTTTAACGATTTAAAGATTGTTTAAATATTTTGGTCTACGAGAATTAAATAATTAAAATAGTTCTCTTACAACAACAATAAGGAGGCAAAAATATATAATATAAATATAAAATGAAATGAAAGACTGACCGATAGTTTTAAACCAACTAAAATATTTAAATTAAATTCCTATATAGCTTTCTCTTAAATTTGTGATATTCATATTTTTAATAAGATCAAACAATTTGCAAAGTTAAAATATAATTGTAAAAAAAGGGTATTATATTTTTACATTTACATAGGGGTAGCAACTAGCAAGTTGTGTAGCGTAATTCTCTTCACTGCCGGTCCACAATACTTGTTACAATGTCATAGGCTCGCTTCACAAGCGCTTTAGCGATATTAAAAATATAGCATGTTACCTATCCATACGTGTATGTTGTTTAAAGTAATTTCGGATAGTAATTGAGCCTGTTTTATGCGAAAGAAGTTTTGGAATTAAAAGTATTGATGACGGAACGCCATTAGAAGCTTCTACCAAGTCCTTCATACAAATAATTAATTGAGATTATTTCTAGGGCGTCATTAAAACGGGGGTTAGCATTCTCTTACTCATTCAAAAATCCGCCTTTGAGCAAGATGGGAAATGTCCATAGTCAGCCACATTTGGACGCCGCAATGTATGCTAGTCAGGTAAGGAAGTTATCTGTACTTTTGAACCTTTACAATTCTTTGACATTAGAAAGTCAAGCTTAAAATTGAAAAGTTATGTCGGTAAACCATATTAATCCCAACTTACATACATTATATTAAATCTTCTGACTGTCATTAGCAATTCAACTGTGTTTTTGAGCTAACCATGCCTAAAATATTACGTTTGTTGTATGTTTTTCATCTCCATGAGGCAGTTATAGATAGATATAGATATAGATATCTATAAGAATATTCTTAATGTAATTCGCTCTAACGCAAGGTACGCACTTCACACATTTATAAGCCGGCGAAACAAACTTTAAACGATTAAATGTCCCGTTAGCGATTACGGGATTTCGCTTAAATTTTACTAACCCCTTTTCACTGTTATAGGGCCATTTGGAAAGACAGCCAAGTCCTAGTACAAGCGAAAAAAGCGACAAGAAACATAAATATTTTACAACCAGGTAATTCATCTTATTTGAATTCTTACGAATTTCATGTAATTAAAGTGTTATTTTGCTAACAATAGCATCAAATTCTGTAATTTGTACGTATCTATAGTCTCTATATACTTCGTACTGTTGACTGGAGATTTGACTTCACTTTGTCAGTTCAATATTCAGCTCGTCAAGTTGGCACTCGAGATTGGATGGATGACAAAAAAGGGGCTGGCTGATGTTCTTCATGAGGCAAGAATGCTTGCAATCATAGCAGAGAACATTGCTCTCATGTAGATTTTCAATTGTCAGTCATTGTTCCAAGCACTCATACTTACACAGCATTATTATCTAGATAAAATTCACAGTTCACGTGAAACCTGTACATTATTCCACTAGACAATTAGTGTCTTTATTTCTTATGTACAGTCCTATAATTATTGTTTATTTTTTTAAAGAAAATAATGATAGTTTTACAGCAGCGGTATGTAAAAACATAATTAATTTTAGATGAGTAATAACAGTAAATTATTATGCTTATTAAATTCTTCGGCAATTTTTTCTTCCGCCATTATTTTTAAATATCAAATATAATTTACGTTGACAGATAATTTTTTAAATATAAAATTTATCAAAAATGAACAGGTTTTTCTTATACTCGTATATATTATTTTATTTCATTTTAAATGTTCCTTAAACTATATAGTACTGTCAAAGCAATTGCAAAGGATTCTGATAGAAAAACTAGATTGCTCATTTTGTATCGTATGTTTTCAAAACTCTGTTTTCGCTTGGACTACAAAAAACCCGCTTAAAATGTCATCAACAAATCCCGTCAAAGCTAACACAAGGTTTAAATACAAACAAGTGAATATCGATAGGAAGCAGTCATGCAAAAGTTTTAGCTTAGTTTATTTTTTAGTGTGCACTTAAGCTTCTTGTTTACCTTTCCTTTATAAGGTAGATTATTTGTATATAACAACTATGTAGATGCTTAACGCTATAATTTTTAATACTTCAATACGCTACTAAACTAATGTTGATTTAGCGATTTAGATTTACTTATTCATATTTCTATTCCAAATTTAATAATAACTAAAAATAATACCACTAGTAGGTATAGATTTCCTTATTACATACTAATGATCGAAATGAATTTAATATGATTCGAGTTTTAATTAAAATGCGCCATGTTGCATTTGCACAGTTTATTAAGTAAACATGAAATGACTACCGGTGGTTAAACATATAGTATTTGAATAACTCTTTAAATAGAAAACCCTTTTCAATTGCTAATATATTAAATTTAATATTCGCATATCATACATGAATTACGAAATTCGTTAAATGTATATCTATAGCGTACCTTTTTTTATAGAAACAAGACAACATCGAGCACAGACCCTGAAGAATCAGCAGCCAGCTCTACTGTACCTACGCGTTACCACTCCGTTCAAGAAAATATTAGTGAGAGTGAAATACACAGAGGGGATGAGGGGAGTAGATGAGATTTAGCGGAGGAGAAATCCTCCTGATGTTGGTGTTGTTAAGCGTCTATTAGTTGGTACGAGAGAAAACAGACGTAATAATTGATGTGAATTCCAGCTTAAAATAGGAACTTGTTTGCGTATAATGCTTATATAATATTGAAAACAAAACTGCAGTATGCCCTTATTAATAAAAACTAAATCAGTCTAATGATTTGATTTTGTATTAACTCAAGTATTATTTTGTCTCTTTCTAACCAAAATGGGTTTATCCTGTGATGAAAAGAGACAAGTGAGTACTCTTGTTAAAAAGTTACAGGATGTCTCAATAGAAAGTTCATATTTGGTTGATCCATTAAAAAAAAAGTAAGTCGTGTATCAAAAAAGTGTTAATTCACATTTTGGGAATTCATTTCTTAAAAATAATACCGTTCAAATGTAGACCCTCGCGTTCGCGGCACTTATTTAATCGAACAATAAAATTACTTATGACGGCTCGGCAGGTGGACTCAGTGATGGCTGTTATTTCGTGCCGGATATTTTCTTTCAATTGCGCCAGAGAAGTCGGCTTATTGGCGTAGACTTTAGATTTAAGATAACCCCATAAGAAAAAATCCATAGGGTAGATATAAATCAGGACTGCGTGGAGGCCAATTTATGTCACCTCTCCTGGAGATCAATTTGTCTGAGAAAATTTCACGACCTCGTGGCAGAGACGTATTGGGCGTGTGTGACGTTGCTCCGTCCTGCTGGAACCTGTTCTTTGGTTTGGCCAGGAAAGTTTTAAAGTTAAACTTTCTTTTGAGGCACCTGTTATTAGGCCGATTTATTTTTTTATAAATAAGGCTAAAATCTTTCTCGATTTAAGCGTTTCACACTGGAATCGGGCCAGCAAGTCCATGCTATATTGAAAGTGTAGTTGGAATCTATTAATGATTATTAAGTTGTCGAATAGACTATAAAGACATTGAAAAGACGTTTAAATTATAAACTGGTTTATGTAGTGTACGTGATCGTAGACGTGATACCTAAGACGAGTAGCTTTTAACTTAGAAAAACTGTGCCAAATTGCTTATAGTGCCAGAAGTTTTTATAACAGATCTTAAGGTATTTCGTTTGAAACTTTTTATAATATAATTGTGAATAGTCACTATAATTGCTATTAAATATTTATTTGTTTTAGCATAGACATTGCTTTAAACATAGGAGCTGTACCGTGCGATCAAATTATCTTTAATAAACGTTTGATAAATTATTATAGGTTAATATGTAAATAAAATTGTCATAGAATATTAATGTAATTATAAATGTTAGAATGCATATAACTTAGATATAGTAGACGACTTCTGCTAAAAGTGACGTAGTTTAATCCGTAATTTGTGGTTTTATTAAATACGTACTACTCTCGTATTCCAAAGACAATATTTTAGTGTAAGATCCAAAATATTATGGTAATTTCGCATTCACTGTATGAAATGTGATAAAATATAGTTTATTTGGATGTGTTTATGTCTCATGTATCGTGTTTACGTAGTGATAAAATAGATTTCATGACAATTATATGATTAGCCATCATTGTGAATAAAACTCATCTATTTAAGATAAGATGTAAATCATTAACAAAAAAAATAGTCTAAAAGGTAATCAGTGTATAGGCATATACATAGGTAACACTGAAAATATTTAGAACAGGCCAGTTAGAAACATTGCTAATGAAAACTTTTTGTGCATATCAATTTTAGACCTCTTTGGTAACCTAATGTAGTATTCATTTGTCATTTGTTCTTGTGAATTGGCGGCAAACCTAAAACTCGTGTTATATATGAAAATGAACCTAACGCGAGAAAATTTTCGGTCAATGATTTATTATGACTTTCGTTGTGGGCTTACTGAACAACAAAGCTATGATAGGCTGCGATTAGCATTTCTTCATGAAGCCCCATCTCGTGCCACTATTTACAATTGGTTTAACGAGTTTGAGCGTGGACGGAGCAATCTCAATGATGATCCGCATGAAGGACGTCCTTTAACAGCGACTACTGAAGATAACAACAGTGCTGTGCAACGCATGATAGAGGAAGATAAGAGAGTGACCTATCAGCAGATACAGGCAAGCCTAGGCATTGGTATGAGTCAAGTACAAAAAATATTACACGAACATTTAGGCGTCAGGAAGCTACCAGATGGATTCCCTATACTTGGCGACACCAGTCGCAGCTTAATGTTAGATAAGTTCAACGGCGGTGACTCAAATGCTGTGATCGTCACAGGTGATGAAAGCTGGATATATTGCTACGCACCTGAATCCAAAAGACAATCAGCTCAGTGGGTTGCCCATCCTTTCGAGGACCTTAGTTGGCCTAAGGTAAAGAAAGGAAGAAGTGAAGGAAAAAAGATGGTTGCATCATTCTTTGGTCGAAAAGATCATTTCGCGACAGTTGTGCTAGAAGATGGAAGGACAGTTACTGCAGACTGGTATGTCAATCGCTGTTTGCCTGTTGTCTTGGAAAAAATTCGACAGCAGCGCCCTCGAAACAGGATTCTGCTTCACCGCGACAATACTTCAGCACACTCCGCAAAACCGACTGTTGAATATTTGACTAAGGCAGGTGTCGAGATAATGAGTCCTCCGCCATACAGTCCTGACCTAGCTCCCTGCGACTTTCATTTATTCCCAAGAACTAAAGATAAAATTCGAGGTATTCGCTTTACGAGCCCTGAAGATGCAATGAAAGCGTACGAATGGCATTTTCGTACCTTCCGTTTCGTTCGTTCGTTCCTTAGGGAAGAACCACTGTGGTGGGCCCACTGCTTTTCTCAGTGGTTCCATCGATTGCGACGATGTGTAGAGAGGAACGAAGATTACTTCGAAAAACAATAAAAGTATTGGCAACTTTCTACATAAAGCCGTTTTTCATTTTCTAAATATTTTCAGTGTTACCTAGGTCATAACTAGAGAACACAAATTTTTTATTATAACAATAAAGAGGGGTATCCCTATTCATCAAACATCGACTAATTCGTTCATCCATTAAATCAAAATCACTAATGTTAACTTCATGTTTAACAAACCATCAATGTCTTCATCTAATATTATTTTATATAATATGTATACATTGTTAATGTGCGTATAACGTACATAAAAAGAAAGACATATAGTGAAAATACATATACGAAGCTTTAAGGAATGAATTAACTGGCCTTTGACCCAATAGTGAGAATTGAGATATAAATATTAGGGTTGGTTTGAGATGGACTTACTTTATAGTTAGATAGTAAGTTTTAAGATAATACTAGGTGATAATATAATTGTACGCATTGTATTAAGGACCATTTTATCGAATATTTATTCTCTTAACTGTCCTTCTCCGGAAGTTTTCTAATCTCTACTTTGAGATACCGTTTTGCGGACGCAACATATATAAATGAAATAGAGCCTTTAAAATCGCGAATGAAGTCGAATACTTTTTGAATATCAAAAACTATACCCTTTTTTAATAACAATAAGTATGGACCAATGTTTATAGGGTATAATTAAAATTTTACGAGTCAAGAAAAGGTTGTGACAATTTGATACGATACGTTTAATACTCGTCTTCATAAGAATTACCTAATCTTACATTACTTCTCGATATGAATAATATGACTATCATTCAAATTAAATGACACTAAATAAATGCTTTGGTACATTATCATCATATAATCCCAAGTTTATAGAAGATAGCTTTGTCAAAATCCGTTGCTGCACGATACAAAAACTCAATACTATATATTTGGACTTCAGGCTGTAGGCGATGACGACGATATATTACGATCTTTATACTGTATTTGTACATAGTACTGCTAATACCAACCCATATGTATGATACCCGCGGAATATACTAGGTGGAAGCAGGTCAAATTAAATTATTCATTTTTTCGACCAAACTTCCAACCTCAATTTATTCCGTGATGAATATCAGTAATTAGCTATTTACGGAATATCCATATTAGTAATATTTGCTATTATATTATTAATGATTGTGGTTTTGAACGAGATACATGTGTGTTTTTTCGTAAGCAAAAATTAAGTACTCGCATTTTAAGTGTCATGTAAAAAGTATAATCGTTTCAGTATAATAACTGCACATTTTTACGTGTTAATATTGCTTCTTTTGTTTAACTATAGTTGATCTCATACACGTTTCATATATCAATTATGTTGCTTATATTAGCCGAGCGACTTACTGTAGTTTTAGTAAAAATTGTGGATGTTGTAAAATAATAAAAATTGATAGAATTTACTTAGCAATGCTTTTTCTATATGATACATGTTACACGGCCCGCAAATTACAAAGTAGGTACTTATACTACTAATAATTTTTTTGCTATCCGTAATCGTGATAAGTGTATCAGCATTGTGAATATGAGAGAAGTAGGATATTCCATTGCTAATTTGTATGAACTTTTTTGCGCCAAATATATTTGTAGGCTTCTTTTTTCTATTAAGATTATTTGATGTTGAGATTTTTTAAATGGTGAACTTTTAGGTATATATGTGTACATGTTATTAGAAATTTGTGTAGTAAAATCACTAAACGGGTATAAATTATTTAAATAGTATATTTTAGTCTAAAATTACGAGCATTTACGTGTTGTGACTTATATATAGTGGAAACATTAATAAACGTCTCTTTTGTATAGTTTTTTAATTTTATTTTAGCTAATAGTGTACCCTCATATAATTTACTTTTATGTTGTCAGTTCATCCGACTAATTAACTAAATATTATTTAAGAAATTTCAATCCCCGGGCATCGAATCCAATTAATACGAACTAATATTAACCATATATATGCTACAGAAGCGGTTAAAGATATAAAAATTATATATTATCGAAGAGTCGAATAATTAAAAACTAACAATATTAAATAAAATAATATACAACATATTACTATAGATGTATATTTCATAATATCATATTTACACTAAGCCCTTGATGTATCTGTCGCTGCGGGAATTATTGCACTTAATTCTTGCTGCATGGTTAGGTTAGTAGCACTAGTACTGGCACTTGATTTGATTCATCCGCCAAGTGTCACTTAGCCTTGTGGAGGACGGAAGTGCGTGCTCTTCTTTAGCACTGTAACCACTAAAGGCTTTAGTCGAGATGTTGTATATAGAGTGAGCGGTCGGAAACAATTTGATAGCGCGACCAGGGTATGACTTCATCGCATTGATTGTAGTCGCAGATTGTACACAGCCTTGTGGTTGAAGGGACACCTACATGCCTTAAGTTGTTGTTATGGTTACGGCCTATGCCCTTCAATGAAAGCCTACATCTCTGTATTGGTGATAAGCATAATAATACATTTAAAATTTAGGAATTCTACATTAAACTATATTTTTTATGACAAATTGTTTATTTAAAGTTAATTATTTATTTACCAACTTTACTTACAAGAAGTATTTAATGTCACGTAAAGTAAAAATATTAAAATCATCGATTGTGAGAACTTTAAAATCAACGCAGCGAGCACTTTCCTTTACAACAATTTGACGTTGGGGTTATCAAGAATAAGCGGTTTTTTCTATCTCTTGCATACACTGGTCCTGGTTTGGCCCACATACCTCGGCGTAAACAGGGGGCCCATAAGATTAAAAGCATCGTGGTTAGTATCAAACCACAAACCATATTATCGAAGTAACATCGAATTATGTTGTTACCACGTTACTTTAAATTGTGAAATTTTATTACGGTTAATTTTGATTGACTCGACGTCAAGCACGACGTCTGATGTTTGTCATAGAGTAACGTATACTTTGTATCTACAATATGAAGGTAGAATTACATCTACATTTTATGATAGGCTTTTGATTTTTTTCAATACTGTGTACACTCATGAAGTGTCCGAACAAGGGGGTCGACAGCTGCCCTGCATTATTTGGGTACCAATTTTTTTGTTAGTAACAAAGTTATGATATATAATAAAAAAAATCAGTGGCGTTACAACCTCTAGGTCTTGGCCTCAGATTTCGGAGTCTGTTTTATGATCATTTTTTAAATCTAATAGACAAGTAGGTGATCAGCCTCCTGTGCCTGACACACGCCGTTGACTTTTTGCGTCTAAGACATGTCGGTTTCCTCACGATGTTTTCCTTCACCGTTCGAGCGAATGTTAAATGCGCACATAGAAAGAAAGTCCATTGGTGCACAGCCGGGGATCGAACCTACGACCTCAGGTATGAGAGTCGCACGCTGAAGCCACTAGGCCAATACTGCTCGATATATATGACTAAATGATTTTGATATATAATATCTAGTCTAATTTCAATAAGAGTTCACACAAGTTGTAAACGCTTGTTTTTAATCATGGTTTATATTAGGTCCTTACATATGAAATTGGCGTTTTGTATGGGAGGAACAAAAAGTCGAATATTTTTAAATACAATATATTTAATTAATCAAAGTATGAACCATTGTTATCTATGCACTTTTGCCATCTCATAGGTAGTTCATTGATCCCTTTACTAAAAAAAACAGTCGGACCGGAATCAATAAAATCTGTGAAGGCCTGGGGAAGTCCAAATGGACTGCCCCATCAGAGATAAATTTTTTCCCTTGCAAGAAGTTGTCCAAATTTCGAAAAAAATGGTAATCTGTTGGAGCAAGGTCCGGGGAGTACGGAGGATGTCTTAGACATTCCAATTGAAGCTCTTCTAATTTGGTAGCCGTCTGTTGTGCAGTGTGTGGTCTAGCGTTGTCGTGAAGTAGCAGTGGCGTGGAGCGATTGACCAGCCTAGGTTGTTTAGCCGCTAGCTTTTCCATCATGGTTTGCAATTGCTGACAATAGACATCAGCCGTAATAGTCTGGCCAGATTTGAGAAAACTGCAATGAACAATACCGGCACTAGTCCACCAAACGCTTAAAAGTAACTTTTTTGGGGTTAATTTTCGCTTGGGGCAGGATTTGGCTGGCTGGCCAGGATCCAACCATTGCGCTGAGCGCTTTCGATTATCGTAAAGAATCCATTTTTCATCACAGGTAATGATTCGGTTTAAAATACCTTCATTATTGTGCCGGTTCAGTAATGTAACGCAGCAGTCGACGCGCGTTTGCCGGTTTGCTTCAGTTAATTCGTGAGGTACCCATCTTTCAAGCTTTTTAATCTTCCCAATATGCTTCAAGTGAATTAAAACAGTTTTATCACTAACACCGCAGCCTGCAGCTAACTCGGACGTGGTTTGCGATGGATCCGCTTCCACAATAGCGTTCAATATCAACTTCATTATCAACTTGGGTCTCAGGCCGTCCACGGGGCTTGTTCTGCAGGTCGAAATTTCCAGAACGAAAACGTTGGAAACAAAAACGAACTGTGTTTTCTTTTGCAACATGACCGCCATACACATCATTCACCCTTCGAGTCGTATCCGCATTCCGCCACTGCGGAACTCGTACTCGTAAATAATGCGATACTTTAAGTTTTCCATTTTGTAAAATGAGTGACGCAAACAGAAAAAACAGAAGAAAAAAACAAATGAATGACGGTCATCGAAGCACAAATACATGAGTAAATAGCTGTACAATTTTGAATTTGGAATTCCTCACCAAAGAGGAGAACATCGTGATTAAAGTGGCCAGTACGAAATACGCCAATTTCATATGTAAGGACCTAATATAACATATTTACAGTTGCCGACAAATAAGTATATGCCCAAACTTTCGCCTACTAAATAAAAGCTTCTGAACTTATGTGCCGATTAATAAAAAAGAAAATATGTCTCAGATAATATATATATATATCATAATGTCCAATACATGTGAACATAGATTATTTGTTGTTTGAATGATTAGTTTAGTAAAGAAAACATTCTTAATTAAAATATTGAGTAATTATTATGTTTTGTTTTTTTTAAAGGAAGAAATTCAGAGACGTCTGTGTTAATTTTGTTTTATTATCATTACTAAACAATACCGTTTTAAAATACTTTAATGGTGTTTAAATAATTATTGCACACACCTATACGGTCATAGTATTGTAGGCTTTATTAAATTATTGTTTAATCGAACCTTTTGTTTGCTTCGTGTATGCGGTGATGTTAGTTATTTCGACTATGTGTTTGCGTGTTGTTCCCACGAGAAAATAAGTGCGTGCTCCTATTTCACCATGCCTCCTGCTAATAGAGGACAAGTCTTTGTTTTTAATTTATTTTATTATTATTAATTGTGTAATGCTATAACAACTAAAAAAACAATTGAATAGAGCTATAAAAACGTATAGTGAAAGGCAAATAAAAACATCCGAGAAAATATTTCAAGTGACAGAAATAAACAGCACAAACTTTGGAAAGCTACAAAGCCAGCCAAAGAGTTCCCGCATTTTCTTTAAAAAAGGGCGTGGGTCAGTGGGCTAGAAGTAGCGAAGAGAAAGCGAAAATGATTGCGCAACTTCTGTTTTTTTTTCTAAAACAGAAACCGGCAAAAGAAACAAGTTGATATAAACCTATCTCCCTACTCCCTATTATGTCAAAGTTATTCGTGAAATGCCTAAAAGCCCAATATTGGAAGATAGAAACCTTATACCCAATCATTATTGGTTCTGTATTTGGATTTATAGAGCCATCGACTGTAAATTAAGTTCATAGGACTACTAACATCATAGAGCATGCTGTTGAAGAGATAAAATTTGTACAACTATATTTCTAGATACAGTCAGTACCTACATACGATGCAACGGTTTTCCTTAGCTCACTTAACAGGCTACATATCCATGTGTATACTCAGGCAATCCAACTACAACACAAATTATAAAATGTACATAGTTACACATATTGACTAAATATTTTATTTAAAAAAACACGCTTGAGTTAATTAAATTCAGAAAAAAGGAAGATTTATACTTACCTAACCTAAGCTAACAAGTTTATATCTGTTTATAAGCATTTAAGACAATTACATAATATTTAAAGATATTTTTATCAACCACATTGCGTAGATATAAAATTATCGAAATATGTCAATTTTTCCTTAATATCGCCAGGAATCCTTTACGACATCTGCATCGCCTGCATCGTTTGATTAAACCGATCAGATTACATCCGATTCTTTGATCATTTATATTTCAAAGTCTTCTGTCTGACACATGTATGTTTTTTGATTTTCCGGTTTGTTTACTGTGTAAGATGCGCTCTTAGAAAGTACATTGGTACGGTAGCAACGTAAAGTACTTATACTTCAGCCAATAAAACAAGCATTTGTAAAATATCCCATATATTCACATAAATATATTTTCAATAGTATAAAAAACAGAAACTGCATATATAAATTATACATAAGATATTTTGGACCCATCACACAATTGCTAAAAACGTTATTATTAAAACATTACATATACACATATATTTTCTGTTTAACAACCAATAAAATCTGGACTATGCAAGTTAAGATATTCCTTTTACATTTTTGTCAGAAGCTTTATATAAACACAGCACCTTTACTTATTATCCTAAGTTACAACTAAGGAATGTATAATTTAAAATATTTCAAATATACTGTTAAAAAACCATTATCCTTCAAGAATAAAAATTAAAAAAAAAAGAAATGCTTATCTAGCAAATTAGACCCATTTACATATGGTAGTCACAAAAAGTTTGCGTTTGGGCTATAATTGTTTCTAAAATATATAAAACAGTAGAAAATAATGGAATTCTGCAATGAAAAATATAAAAATAAAATTAATTATTATATGTGGAGGCAGATACGTTTCCACCATGCCCGGTCCAATTGGTGTGAACGAATTCTCCCGGCTTCTTCAGAAGTTCATAGGTGTGAGCTCCAAAGTAATCCCTTTGCGCCTGCAATGTTCCCTCATTTAATAAAATTTTATCAATGAATGGTATATGCTAATGATAATATATGCTGAAATTTTTTTGTTTGAACGCGCTAATCTTTGAATCGAATAGAATTTGTTTCCAGGTTCCAGGCGTTTTTCTATAGTATACATAATTTTAATGCAATTCCAATGAATTTTAATAGAAATGCTCAATGACCACGATTGTTAACTGATTATAACGCCCATGGGCACAAACTGGCTCGTAAGTAAAAAGCCGACTGTTTTTATATCCAAGCCATATAGATTCTTAAATATATTCAGTCTCAACTTTTCTACCTGTTTCAGTCGGATCTTAGTAAATACCTGTAACAAATTAGCTGGTAGGACGTCCGAGCGGTATCCGTCATAGAAAGCGAGTGCCGCAGAGAAGGCTGGCGTTGGAACGCCCATAAGCGATGCTTGCGCTACAACTTCACGCAATGATTGCTGGCTATTGCTGATACGCTCGCTAAAGAATGGATCAAGGAGCAGATTCGTGAGCTGTGGGTTCTTTGTGAACGCATCCTGAAACGTCAAAAGTATTTTCAGCGACAAGTTATTATCGCGTATGTGGCGCTATCTATTTTATTGCCTAATTACTTAAAAACTAGAATTCTGTGAGTGTGGCTTTGATGAAGGCACTGTATCTCACATACTATTAAACTGTCCCAAACTAACCTATCCTCCCTATGACATTCTTCCCCGTAAAGTCCCCCGTCCTTTAAGCGTTAAATGTTTGTGTTTAGTCCATATTGTAGATTTTTATGTAAATATATTATAGAAATCTTAGCTGGGTTTGTTTTGTATTCTTTTCTCACAACTGTCAGCCACTGTAGGGAGCCAACCCCAACACAAGTGTCTCTGACTACTTACGGGGGCTGTCTCAACTCATTTATTTAATGTAAAATTTGAGATACAAATAAACATTTTCATTTTCAGAAAGCAATAAAATTAAAGGGTAATTAATATATATAAAAGTTATTATAAATAGGAAATAGTATTTAATAATGTTATTATTACTCATATTTGTGTTGTCTGTGCTGTCTTAAAACTAACAATCGAATTGCAACAATTTTTTTTTTCTTTAGTAGCATATTCAAAATTAACTTAATTATTATTTTCACCGATCAATCTCCATCGTGCCTTCTTCATCTACACGACACTGGCGAAGTACCTTGTGCCCAGTTGGCACAAATAAAAGCCATAATAAAGAATTGAATTAAAATACAAGAATAGAAATAGAGTTTTTAACAGAATAATGTTGTTTAATGTTACAAGTTTAGAAAAAGGTATAAAATATATGCGATAACTGTTTTCGTGACTACCCAAAACAAGTATTTGCCAGGTATAGAATGTGGCTTTGAATACACAAAGCGTTAAGCCAAGGAAGTGGCGACATTTGAGTAGAATTTGAAAATCTAATATATAAAATTCTCGTGTCACAGTTTTCGTTACCATACTCCTCCAAAACGGCTCGACCGATTCTCATGAAATTTTGTGTGCAATATGCACACAAAATTAGGGTATGTCTGAGAATCAGACAACATCATTTTTCATCCCCCCTAATTAAGGGTAGTCCACCCCTAATTTTTTTATTTTTTATTTTTAGATTTTTTTTTCTGTTTTTATGATACAGCATTAAAAAATACATACAAACCCCTAACTTTCACCCCTCTACGATCAACCCCTATTTTTTATTATAAATGATATATATGGCAAAACGACGTTTGCCCGGTCAGCTAGTACCTATATATTAATAACACGGACAGACGAATACGTATACCTTGATATTCCCAAGGAACACACTCCTAATGATGCAGCCTCCACGCCACATCAATGCAATGCTTCCGTAATTGAGACTCCATGAATTAGCCTAAAATAAAATAAACAAATACCATAATTATAATCTTTTGATGTATTTCTAATTGTTAAATATAAAAAATAGTTACAACCATTTATAAGAGATAAGTTTGTTTAACCAATTTAAGAGTGTAACACGAGTCGATGTTTAGTTTCCCATCATCATACGGGAACTGCTCATAGAAAAAACTATTTGTACCGGGAATAGAAACCACCAGATCATGCTTGAGAGTCACACACTCAAACCACTAACCACGGTAAGATTCCAAATCAAATGATAAAACCCATATAGATAAATTATATTTAACATCCGTTCTTATTGTTCGTACTCTGTTCTATTTGCCCCCTGCAAACAGGCAGGAGGCTTACCTGATAAGTGATACCACCTCCACACTTACAATGTTCGAAGGCCAGTGCGTTGTCGGCCTATTAAGAATTGGCATGCTCTTTTCTGATAATATTCTTAGTCATATTGGCATACCTAGAGGTGCAGCTAGTCTAACATGCAGATTCTAAAGTTCTAATTTTCAATGCCTCATTGGTACTTTAGTTTACTAACACATTTAATAAAATATAAATAAAAAAAATTATCAAATTAAAATATTGTACCTTTTCAGCTTCCCGAAGCAGCATGAAGCCTTGGGCGTAGGAAATAATTTTGCTTGCGAATAGTGCCTTACGTAGTTGTTCGAGGAATACCTTCTTATCGCCAGTGAATTTTCCCGATGGACCAGGCAGTACTTTGCTGGCTTTTACTCGTTCATCTAAATAATAAATGTATAAATTAATTTGGTTTCTAAGTGATGATGACTTGTAGTTTATAAAATAGGACACGCTCCATTATTTTGTTGAAATTCATAACATTCAAAGATTCTGAGGAAACGTGACACAATTGATAAATATTTAAGTTAGTTTTATTACAAATACAAACCAGCGGAGAGCATATATTTTTTATATAGCATATATATTTATCTTTGGTTAATTATTATTCTATTTAGCAATGTTGAAATTCGCTTTAATGAAGATCTTGTTTATATATGGCAAAGATTAATGCAAATTCATTTTCCTTTTACCTTTCAATGCAGATAGGCATCTAGCAAACACCGCTTCCCCAATTAGTGTGACGGGAACACCATACTCTAAAGCGCTAATACCAGTCCATTTTCCTGTTCCCTTTTGACCAGCAGTGTCACGAATCTTCGGCAACAAGTATGCACCTGAAAATGTAAATGTTTGAACATGCTAATCTAGTAACTAATCGTTCAAATCAATTGTTTTTGGTGGGACCATTTACTTTGGATGGCTATATACATCACATCAATGGAAACCTTGGGGCACAGTCAGTCAATTGATATTTTTACTTTCTTTGCATAATTTTTCTTACGCTACTTATACTAATTCTAAACAATACATCAATGCAATGTTAATTTTTGTTAACAAAGTTTTATAAGTCAAACTAGTTTATTTCAAATAATTTAAGGTAGTTTATATAAATAGCTACATATATATATAGATTTACTTTAATTTTTTAACATTAATATAAGAAAAGATTCACACACCATCATTATCTTTGAATTTCAGAATGTCACTTGTGATTTCTATTAAGAATGAGTCAAGTTCTCCTTTGTTCCATTCTTCAAACACTTCAGCCATCTCCTTCTGGTCAATACCTAAAATCAATTAAAAATTAATATCCTACAATATTATAACCTTTCTCTATGGAAATAAATTATAAACACATACCTAAAATATCTTTCATGACATTGTATGCCTCGCAAATAAGCTGCATGTCACCATATTCAATACCATTATGAACCATTTTTACAAAATGTCCGGCACCATTTTTGCCAACCCAGTCACAGCATGGCTCATTGTTTACTTTGGCACAGATTGCCTAAAATTCAAAATTAATTATTACACATTATTCAGTGCAGTAAACAAGCGCCTAGTAGATACATTTTCTTTTGCACTCATTATGTTTATAATCCCTGTTTAGTTACACAAATCGGGTTACCCGCAGTTCTGGGATTGATTTTCAGCGATTTAGTCATTGTTCTAAATTAAAAGGCAATTATTTTATAACAAAACAAAAAGAATCATAAGTTTTCTATGTAATAGTGTACTAAGCACAACTATAAAATTAAACATGGATATATTCCGATTATATTAGATGAATCATATAAATAGTATGGAAATGAAAAATGTTAAACCATTACAGATATTATACAATATTGGCTAATAAATTAGTCTGCACTAGAAACGGAATACTAACTTGGAAGATTGGTTTAACATGTGGCCAGGCCTCTGGGTGACCTCCAGGCATCAAAGATGGTCCATAACGAGCACCATCTTCTCCACCACTTACCTATAAAAATAATAACTTAATACTGTAACAATAGTGAAACAACAAATTTAATGATAACACCAAATATATTATATGTCGTTGCACTTTTTCATCTCACTTCAAGGAAATAAATTGAGCAAAATTTTAGTTGGGAGAAATATATAAATGTTTAAAAGTTACATACACCCATGCCAATATAATAGATTCCTGTAGATTCCAATTCCTTGCACCATCGCTGAGTATCAGTATATTGTGAATTTCCTCCATCAATGATGATATCTCCTTTTTCAAGTAATGGCACCAATTTCTTCACAAATTCATCAACAGCAAAGCCAGCTGCGAGAAAAAACTTTATTAAAGATTGATCAATAATTGCAAGAGCTCATTAGGCTACCACTGTTGAATCCTAAGGCTGGAAATATCATAAAAATATAAAATATAATTTTGTATATTATTTATTTAATTATTGTAAATATTGTCAGAATGAAGGTAAAAATGTTAGTCAAGTTTCTAAGCTGTATTTCCCACGCCTGTGCAGTATTTTAAAATATCTATAAACTATTATGTCTGTGGTTCTAAAATCTAAATAAATAATGACTTTTGAAATATAAGATATGAGAGTTGTACATTTTAAAAATGTAATATGATATCCTTTATTTGTTAATGTAATAATGTTAAAATCAAATTTCACTCAATAAGTACATTTAGAAGTAGTGTTCAATGTCAACAAATGCCTTTCATTTGACCTTCATTATAATGTTTTTTTGAAGTGTGAGTTAATACTCATATTTCAAGGTTCAGGTTAACTCAAACTGCTATCTTTATACATAGTGTCACATACATAATAGGACTGCAATTTCATCACTTATCAAATAATATATAAAAATACCTTTAACTAACAACATCACTTTTCTTGGTCTTTTAAGTTTTGCAACCATATCTTCTAAGGACTTAGCACCAATTATTTTTGTTCCCGCAGCCTCATTTGCCAGAAATTGTTCAACCTATGAGGAAAAAGAAATGTATTACTTGAGCAGTCATATTCAGCTCATGTAATGAGATTTGTTTCAAAAAAGATCATTCATGATCATTAAATTAGAAATACATACTTTCTCTACAGTCCTATTGTAAGCACACACAACAAATCCTTTGGAATCCATGTTTAATATAAGGTTTTGACCCATAACAGCTAAGCCGATAAGGGCAATGTCAGCTTTACCTCTGAAAGTTAAACAAATAAAGCATACATGTTAAAAAGATAAATCTTGAAATATATCTGTGATCTGCAGTATTTTTAGTATTGCAATAAATTTTATATTTTGTAGTCTTTATTCATATGCATTTTTAAGTGTTAGGGAATACAAATTACAATATGTATTACAGCTTAACATTATTTTTCTTGAACTATTATTTAAAGTATGTATATTTTTTGTATTACTTTTTATGATTTTTTATTGCTAAACATTTTTTCAGTCTACATGCCTAATATTACATGAATCACACATTAAATTGGTAATTTTCAATAATAATGGCATGTTCGTATGGTTTTCGATGTACATTAATTATAATTAAACAATTACAGTAATAAATAAATTGATAGTTAAAACTTTAGTTAAGGAATTGTGAAGTTGATTAACCTTCAAGTAACCTTCCTGTTATTATAACCATACCCATATTTTCCTTCTAAGTAAAGTTTTGTGTTTGAACAATTTTGATGTAGTTTTCATCAAATTCATAATGTTTAATGTAAATTGGCAATTTTTCATTCCTAAACTACTCTCTTATCATAAAAAAATGGTACATAATCTGAGTGAAATTATTGTTCAAGTTTAAAAGATTACCCTTAACTAATCAACTATTACAACATACAAAGCCCTCATGCGTTTTGTATTGTTCACTTTCTTATTTTTTTCTAGTAGAAAGTAATTAATGGATAGAATAAAACACAAAAAGAACTGTTTAAGCGTAAGATCCACATCCACATCCTTAACATGGTTAGTTATTATTAAATAAATTATGCTTTACAATACTAGCTTTAAATTAACTACAATTAATACAAATGTTATATTAAAAAATAGTGGCTAGTAAGGTAGTAAAATTAAGAGTCATGCTAACTTTACATATTTCATCAACTATAAAATAATGGGTAAAATACTCACTCAGCCATTATGAACTTGTAATTTTAAGAAAGATAGATAATTGATAGAAAAATAATTAATAATATAGGATTAATCTTTAAAGAGGAACTTTAAGATAATTAATTTTTGCCTTAGCTTGAAGTCAGAACATCCAAACCTTGGATGCTCAAATCACAGACTAATTATTTATTTAGAAATTTATTGTTGGACGGTGGACCACTCGATTTTTGACAATCAACATCACAGAGCACAGAACTAGAAACCAAATGTCACTTTGACAGTTACATTATCAAAATAATGCTACACTATAATATTGAAATAGAATTTAAGAAAAAATAAGCCCTAGACTTAAATTAGTTAATACTAACGGCATACAAGCGCCTTCTATATTTTATACAGGTTTTAACTTTCTATTTGATTATTGCATCAATGCCCTTAAACTGGCTAAAAACGTAGATCCCTATGTATAATGTTTTTAATGTCATATACATAATATTGTAACACCTCGAAGTTATGACATTAATTAATGATTAAAATAAAGTTCCGATTAATGAACATAAATTCCGTCTATTTAAAAGATGGATATAATTTTACAATTTGCCTTCTAATTCTGTTCGATTTTAGTAGTCCATAAATAAAATTAGTAGATATAGTCCTTTTCATGAAAGAAGTCCCCCAGACGCAGCGCTGTAATCGCATGACGTAATGTTGCCATTTATGAGTAAAAAATTTACCTATTTTACATTTAGCATATTTAATTAATCAAATAATACTATTTTCTGCATACTTCTATGAAACAATATTTCTGTTATGTAAAAAGTATATTTTTATTTACTTATATAAGCGGTGTTCTACCTACTTACAGGGATAAGGTGAGAAAATAGGGTAAAGAAAAGCAATACAACTTTTTATTCAGAGTTTTATTGAATAATTTTAGATCAGCGGCCATAGGAACATCACTGTCTGAAAAGTGGATGGAAACAGAATCAGATTCTGTTGCAGTATCACTAGCCGTAGATATAATTGTTCTTTTTTATATTGATACTCTTCCCCGGGGTGACAATTTATTTCAAAGTACTCGCCGCTATTATACCTTTATTTGTAATTATTGTTACAGCAATTGTTACCTGCAATTAAATAATGAACAATTAAAAATAAAAGTAACTTTTAGTTTATAATGCTTATGTAACTATGTAATATATGTTTTAATTTCAGTTACCTAGTTTCATTCGTTATGTATTTGTTCAATTTTGTCGCGAAAATGAATTTATATCATAAAAGTAGTCCCATCAATACAGCAAAAAATTATTATGTAGCAACTCTAAAAAGTACCTGTTATGGCGGCGAACATTGTTTAGTGGTATTAAAACACCATGATTCTTTTGTTCCGCTTCACAGAACTCTTTTAATATCATTTCTCTAGCCGAATTTTTCACAACTTTTGGCATTGTAAACAATCTTTAAAATGCACTAAGCTAGTTAAAAACTCACAAAAATCGACCACAACAAACGAACTTGATAACATCGACGAACGACAACATGGCCGACCTGTCAAATTTAGTTCGAAAAATCTCCGCGGGACTTCGTTCATGAAAAGGACTATACCTATCGCATCTACAAATTATTGATGCAAACCGTAGAACTTAAAACTCCAATAACCTTATTTTTACATTGACAACAGATGTTGTGCTTTGTATGAACAATTTTCAGCACAAATGAAACATTTTTGTACCACATTAAATAATAAAGGTTCTCTTAATAGGTATATAAAACACAGTGTAAAGGGAAATATTTTATTGTCAAAACAAACACTTTTATGTAACAAAACGTTTATTAAAAATATGTCTTATAAACTTTATATATTTAAAGCGGAAATGCCTGAATAAATTACTTATTCTACTTTCTTAGGATACTACGATTCCCAAGCCAAGTTGTAAATTACTGTGTTAAAGCATTGAGGATTAAAATATATTCTATATTAAGAACCATCACTGTTAACTACTATATAAAAATAAGATTTTACTGTGTAGGTTTGTTGTTTCGTAGCGTTCCATAAGACGCTAATAAACAAACTGAAAGTGTATTTCTAATAACTTTATAAATATTTTATTAATAGATTTTGTTTGTATGGCTATAAGTATATCTTTATCCCGTAAAATCGGCAATGGGAAGTGAGTTCTTACGTGTGTTTTTACTTTTTTAACAACCTTCTGTAAGTCGAACAGTAGAAAATACAAATGAAAATCAATATTAGAAAATAATTTCATATTATTCGTTCTTCATGTCGAGTCGTGATACAAGAGGGAACTTTACAATGCGTAGTTGGTTAGCGTAATCACACACAATCGCATCTTTTAAGGGTAATATTTGTCGTACAAAAATACAACCGTCGCTTTGACCTGAAAAGATAAATACTTATATCGCTAAGTCATTGTGCCCTGTTAGAAGCCACCTTTTTCTAAACTGACCAAAATGAGTTTTAAAGTCTAAATCATAAACACACATTATCAAATGACAAAATCCAATAAAAAAAGGTTTCACTATCATTTGTTTAGTTCTGAAAACGCCCACAGAGCTCTGCTCAAGTTTTTGTCATTGTATTTTGTTTAAGCCTATTTTCTTAGATTTGGGGTGTAAATTTAAACCCCGGTAGTGCACCAAGAGTTCCATATGCGGCCTTAGACCCAAAAAATATACGGCGTGTGTCAGCCACAGACTGATCACCTACTTGTCTACTAAGAAACAGATATAGAAATCTATGGATGTAGCGCCACTGTTTTTTTAAATATATTTACCAAACAATACTCGTCGTATAACGTCACCACTGCTCAAATCGTATGCGGTTAGTCCATTTTTGTCGCCCATCACAAGAAGCGAGTGAGTTAGCGGCAGCATTCGACTCATATAATTCAGACCCTGAAAATTCGTGTATTCACCCATTTCTAAATCTGATACACATATTATCACAATTAATTAGTAATTCCAAACGCAAGGAATGATTAGCTTAGAATCAAACCCAAGTTTAGGCAATAAACCAATCGCTTGGCTCATGTTTTCATTGTTTACATTTAAGCTTATACTAATTCAAATGAAGTTTTTAGTAAAGTAAGAATAAATCAAGTTTCGGTTGAAAATACTATCATTTGTATTTCCATTTACAAAAAAATAACACAAATCGCTACTCTACAAAAAAAAATCATTTTAATGGCTTTTCGGATAATTATAAACAGAAATGAAAACAAAATATCTTTTGTTGTATGAAGTATGCTTTTTGGTAATTATAGTAATAAGTAATATATATATATATTTTTTTATTAAAATAATAAAATATGAATAAAATTACGTTTACTACAATCAAAAATACCGCGCGATAAGAGTGGGGTTTACTTGTGAGTTGGGGTTAATTTGAACAGTTTCATCTTCAATTAAAACCACAGATTTTGGAAAATATCGTTCAATCGGTTTCACAATTACAAAAACAAACTTTTCATGTCACACATTTTCACATAACATTTTCTTAGTCTTATTACGACCTGAAGTATTGTAGTGCTTTAAAGTCAAAATAAAATGTTGTATTGACCTGTGTAATTATACCAAAATAATATTATATATTATTCAATTACAATAAAAAAGCATTTTTATCGTCTACGTTTCTTATAGTGCAACAAATTTGCGAGTTTTTAATTGAAATATACAAAAGCTTAAAAAGTGAAATATCAAAAAAGAGTTTAAAGCGGTTTGGCGTTTAATTACTATCACATTACTTCTCAACTATTTGTATACTTACTATATGTACCGAGTTGAGCATATGTCCCTGAAAACGGTCCCATATGCAGAGACGCTCGTCCGCGCCCGCTGATACTACGTATGAAGCCGTATACGCTAGTGACGTAACTGCTCCATCGTGTGCCTGCATACTATATAAGCAGGCACCTGAAAAAGTAACATTGTATTTTAATAACAAATATTAAGCTAATAAAATGTTCAGGAAAGAACAATAATGAACGTGGCTATAGACATCTTTAAATTGTTACGTTTCTTGCTATAAGTAGAGTAACGCCGTAGATACAAGTCCTTCATCCCGAATAATAGAACAAATACATGTTGCCAATATTGTAGACTTATATAATAATTTTCATAATAAAAACAATTTACAATTAAAATTTTGGTCGTACAAATAAATATACATATATTGGATACAAAACTTTTCGGCCAATGGACTTGTATCCTATCAATGTAAAAATAAAATAAAAAACTTCTTACAAAGACGCTGTCGGCCAATAGTCTTGTATCCTAGCCATGTAAAAATAAATTCGATGTCAACTGTCAAACGTAAAGTTATAGAACTAAAAGAACAAGACCTGGCTGTATATACCAAAGTCCTTTGCCTTTCCCATTAGGGATAAATCAATATCATCATCATCGTTTTAGAACTAACCTGTGTGCAAATCCCATACACAAAGCAATCCATCTTGCGAGCCACTGCCAGCGATGGTTGGTGTCGCATGGTCGATAAAACAACTCGTGATGGGCCCGCAGTGCCCGTGTAACGTAAACAGCTGCCTTAGATCGCTTGAAAACACCTAAACAAGGTATAAAACTTTAGTTCGATCTACTTCAAGTCAAGTCATGAAAGAAGAACATTACATTTATCGTAATTTTGTGTATCACGCTCTTAATGAGGTGGTTTTAAGGTTTTTTTTTGGCTTTTTGCATATGTTAATTTTTTTCCTGGGTAGTTTGAAATTGTTATGTTCTGATATAATTGAAGTGTATACGAAAATTTGTGAAGTCTTACTTGAAGACTTATAAATAAATTAACTTAGTTACACAAAACATAAATAGTGTTGACAATACGATTCTGCTGGGTTTCTAGACAATTTATCAAATTCCATAAAATGAAGTAAATTTTTCATAATGATTCTCGAGTATGTATTTACTCAAAGTACTATTTCGAACGAAAAAATAATTTCGGATTGGGATATGACAGAACTTCAAACAAATTATTTTTTATTAATTTGTTTACCTTTAATACGTGATCCTGTCCGCCAGTGAGTATGCGGCCCCCTTCCGCGTGTAATTCAGTTATCGGTTGTTGATGAGGCCGACAATGTGCGACTCGAACACAAACTACCTCTAAAAAGCACACAAATGATAAGCGGCTGTCCCACCTATACACGGTCGAATTTATTAAATATATAAAAAATTTGGAGATTAAAAACCAGTTCAGGTACAGCATTCCAGTGAGTTTAAAATTCAAAAATTCGTTCAAATACACATTTTCCTCTTTAGAAGATTAGTATCTTTTTTTTACATAAGTCTTTATGAATGGGACAGTAGGTATATGAATAATAAGCATTTATTAATTTATTTAACTTCGTTACCTTATACAAACACATACATATAAAAAATCAGGTAACATAAGTTATTAGGGTACGGGCGGCCATATCGCTAACAAGCGATTTCTTCCAGGCAACCCTAAAATGGAACAATAATAAAAGAAACACCAACAATAAGTAAGTAATATAATATTACCAATTCAATTTTCTACAATACTAGTATAACTTAAAATAATGAACATCGTTAGCATCTTTAATATTTTGGCATCATCGTGTGTCCTTTATACAGCATTACATAAATCTGTTTGGTTTTTCATATGCTTATGATCTTAAAATTCTAAACTTACCTTCACCATCACTGTTTTCCACTTCATATGAAAAAGTCATACGCCCTCGGGCTTTTTCGTCTTCTAAAGCTTGTGCGCTGCGTAGGGAATCCGCTGATCCCGTTCGCTTATGTGCTGCAAGCGTGCACAGAATAGAAATGATATGTATAAAAATCGTACTACAACCCTTAGTCTCAGATTTCGGCAAGAACAATCTTTCTTCATTTTATACACAAAGCTATTGAGAACAACTTTAGGATATGTCGTAGTATTAGCATAAATTAACTTACTTCTTCTATGTGCCGTACTAAATCGCCAGTCAACTTGCGCGCCAGATGTACAATTGTACGCATCGAGCCGGAATAGTGACAAATGTCCCGTCAATAACGCGACGCAAATTCGTCTGCCACCCCCTAAAGCCTTAACATGCGTGACCCCAGTACCACCTGGACGCTTCTCCATACACCACCATATACACTGAATTTAAAGAAAAGTAAATAAATATGATGGCGCCACCAGTCAAAGCATAAATAAAGGCTAAAAAAGTCTTCAATATCATAACTTCTTACGAGATATTAATGAAAAATTTTAAATGCGAATATAGAATACAGAAGGAGTTCACGACTACAATTACAGGGCGTTACAATTTCAATCTAAAATTTATATTATTTTTATTTATTTATGTCCAAAATTACTCAACTATTACTAAAGTTGCGAGAAAGGCGAATTGGCTGGTCTAGGAATTTAGTAGAAGTGTTGTCTAATGTCACCAGACTAACGTCAAAAACGTGGATTTAGACATAACAGATAGCTGGACTGTCTCAGCATAAAACTACCTTCGTGTTTTTAAACTTTTTATATAATATTGCTAAATGTTATTTTTATATCTTAACATATATAAATTACACGTTGTTTGTCCACTATGGACTCCTAAACTACTGAACCGATTTCAATCAAATTTGCACACCGTGTGCGGTTTGATCTAACTTAAAAGATAGGATAGCTTACATCTCAATTTGTACCCGCAATATTATTTTATTGCAGAATATTTGTTAATTATTTGATAGTCACAATTTTAACAGATGGCGCTGTGTTGAAAGTACCAACGTTTCACATAAGCGAAAATTTAATGGCATTACCACCAAAAAAGCATGGTGGTCCCCATGACTGGTGTTCTCCTACCGTTTCCCTTGAATAGTTTACTACTATGTAATATAACAAAAACCTTAGCCACAGCAACGCTTGGCCGGTCTGCTAGTTACTTTATAAAAATTACCTTTAATTTTCCTGAAGTTGCTTCCCAAAATTCTAATCTCCCATCAGCACAGCCTAATATAATAAGATCATTACAATAGTCCATACTCCACACCGGCGACTCCTTTACAGGTTTCGCTTTGCAATCTTCATTCAGATCACTTGGATTTCTTCGCACTTTATCGTGACTACTTAAAAATTCACTTTTAAAACTATCACTGTCTTTAATTGCACTTTCTTTATTAACACTAAATTTATTTAAGTCCAAAATTTCTTTTTCATAAATATCATGCTCGTCTGAGCAATAAAGATCTCTGAAAATAAAAGATTTTCTTTATGTTACTTGTGAATTTCAAACAAATAGGAATTCAATTTAAGATAAATTAATGTTTCCCATTAGAGAAGTTCTCATGCTTCCTGTTACCCAACTGGCGAATAGTCCGGTAAAATAAAGTGTCGAAATCAAATCCGTAAGAACAAAACTTATATTGTACGTTATTATTTTAGAGTAAACTTTTGCTGTCTATACAATTGGAATATGGAAAGAATAACATGTTGATGATTATATACTGTTATTGTACTCCAAATTCTTTTTCTTCTAATTTTAAGATTTGTCAAAATTTGCTGGTAAAAATTGGTTGGTATTTACTACAACAATTGTAAATAAGTGACTATTATAACATCTGGCAACACAAAATAATCTAAGATGTTACATGTATATTTTATATATATATTCTTACCTATAAGTCTTAGCAAACAAATATTTCGTATTTTCAGCAACTGAAAGGCACGAGGGAGGACTTTGTTGACTCGACTGAAACTTTATACAACTCAAGTGATTATTGAGACAGGCTCTACGCAGTCGGACCTGAAAAATACCAAATAAAGAAAGTTTGAATAAAATAATTCCTGACGCAAGTTAAAATGGTATAAGATTTTCTATGTTAGATATCGCGGCTCTAACCCCACCAACTAATATAATATAATTTTTGCGAATTAATGAAATGACTTTATAATAATATGCCATTTTATAAACATGTTATGAACTGCCGCGTACTATTGAGGCACTGTGTCTTTAAAAATCTAAACCTTTGAAAGAATTATAAGATTATAATTAAGTTTTTAATACTTTTGTTAATCGATTGTTTTTTACACCTCAAAAGCATAAAGCATAGATTTTCCGTACATTTGATGTGTAAATAGTAAGGTGTAATTACATGCTACTTTTTAGTTACAAAAGCGTTCACGGGAAGCTGTTGTGTAACTAATAAATCGGTAATTTATTTATGTATGTAGTTACCTATAAAGATAGAGATTCCCCAGTGGCTTCAACGTGCGACTCTCATACGAGGTTCGAACCCCGGCTAGGCACCAATCGAGCTTCAGTCTATGTGCGCATTTAACACTTAATCTTACGGTGAAGGAAAACTTCGTGAGGAAACCGGCATACATTAGACCCAAAAAGTCGTGTGTCAGGCACAGAAGAAAGAAACAAGTCATCACGAAAAAGATACAGAAATCTTAATATAATGTAATCTAAGCGCTGGTTTTATTTATATAGATGACTAAGTGCACTTATGTCTGCGGAAATTAAAAAATTTAAACTTACATTTACTACCAGTTTCCAAATCAAGGAAGAAACGCGAGAGGAGCTGGCAAGAAACTCTTTTTAATTGCCAAGTTTGGTTCAAGGAAATTTCAAGGAACTACAACCGTTACACAATGCTCTTATTAAAAGAAGCAGTCATAATAATATATTCAACGCTTAATATCGGAAGGAAAAATAGCTCCCATTCACATTACAGTGAAAACAAAACACGTTCCATTAACTATTCAATTTCAAGTTTTTTATGCTTACTATATACTCTGTATTAAGTGTAATATATAATTAAGATTAGCTGCAGAAATACAAAAATAGATTACAATGCCCAGAAAAAGATTTAGATTGAGATTTTAACGTCATACAATTTCCTATACAACCTAAACATTTAGTTATAATAAAACATATAAAACATACCTCGGGCCTTTGTATTGCTTCTATATCGCGAATCTCTGTAATGCAAATCAAAAATATTGTATATTGCAACTTGATTATGACACATGGATTTTAGTTTGGTATATGTGACCATAGTTATTTTTCTATATTAAAAATTGGACTTTACGTGCCGTATACACAAAAAGTAGATTGGTACAATTATTTTCTACTCAATTTCCCCAGGAGTCGTACCCAGAACCTCCGGAGTGAATCTATACAAAGCTACTTTATTATACATCTAGTACGAACTGTTTGTCAATTAATTGTTATATTTTTTTAGTTGTTCGACAAGCTTAATATATAGGTCATTCAAGTTGAAACAACATAAATAAATACCTTGAATGGTATACGTGTCATAGCTTTTTGAATCCTCTAAAGCCTTTTTGGGATGAGCTTTCTCATATATTTCCATTTCCATCTGAAAATAGCTGAAATATGATAGAATATATTTTTTAAATAATTTGAATTTTTGAAACAAAAATCTAAAATATATGAAAAGTTACTTTAAACATGGATAACTTTAAAACAAAACAAAAACTTCCAAATGAAGAGTAAACAAACAAACACATATAACTTCAGGACATTGAACCAAAACAATACTTGTTAATAAAGTTGATATGTAATTAACCAATTCGGTCAATATATATAAGAATCTTAGTATAGAAGTCTAGGAAAGTTTTTTAACCAACCCATTGACGTTTCATTTAATGCAATTTCAGCTATTATTGTTATGTAGATTTTAATCAAGTCTAAGGACTCTCGTGTGTCAAATTTAAGGTGTTTAATACGTCTAAGTCTCGACTCTGAATATTCCGTAGACATAAAAAAACTATACTTACGCGCTACGATCTATTGACGTAATGATTTCCCCATTTAACGAGTCCCAAATTTTTATGTTCCCCTGCAAACAGGAACTAACAATTTTCTCTCCATCTGTTACGATGCATTCTACTTCTTGACTGTGACCTGCTACTACCAATGGTACTGCCTCCATTACCAACTGAAATTGTCAATGACAACTTTTTATTGAGAGAGAGAAAATGAGGACACACATCAAACTAATTTATACAAACGTTGACGGAAATATAAGACATTGATAGCTAAGATATTTCATTAAATTATTGACCAATAATCTCCAGTGATTCTACGATCGGTCGACGACATAAGCGTGATTAGATGTGTGTATTCAAAATAACAACTTCACTTTTACTAAATAGATAGTAAGTTCTTGGAGTACGTATTTTGGGCAGACTGTTCAAATAAGTATTTCATCAAAAATATTTTTTATCCAAAAAATGTACGGCGCCCAAATGCTTAAAAAATGTTTTCTTTATCTCTGTTATAGGACCTAACAAACGTCGTTTACAGGTTGTAAAACAGTATATATACGATATAAATAGAAACCAAAAAGGCAGAGTAAAGATATACTCACATAATTGCCTGTAACGAGTTTACATGACAATAAAACGAACAAGAAGTGTTTATGATTATTACAAATTGCATCTGTTGATTGGTTTTCATTTACCTTGAATACTGCGAATGACCCTATTGTAACAATCGTAAACCTTGATAGCCGCTTAGGTTTTCTCAGGAAAATTGTTAATTTTACAAAATACATTAATTATAGTAAATTTTCTCTTGTTTAATTTGTCAAAAAACGAGTACCGGTTGTATTAAATGGCGGGAAGAAATACGCTAAACTTCGAAAACCAGGAAAAGTTTTATTCATAACTTTGCAAATAAAAATCTAATGTTTTATATTTTGTTTCATTGTAAAAGGTAATTCGATATAGCTGATATAGCAATGTACTTTTGTTTTCTTGTAATTTAATCTTAGCATCGTATCGCATATTCATGTATGTTTTCCTAGATAATATCTTCATATACCAAAATTGCATCTATATCATATATGATAGAAATTTCTACAGCGTAAGTTACTATTGTATAATGTAAGTGCGTGCTCCTATTTCACCATGCCTCCTGCTGATACGAGTGGAGGACAAGTCTTTGTTTGTTTTTTTAATTTATGTTATTATTATTACTTGATATGTCATGTGGAGCATGGTGTAATGGTTGCAGCTCCTTACAAACGTTGTGTAAAAAAATGGCGATTAAAAAGAGTGGCGGAGAGTTTATTGCCAGTTCTTCTCTTTCGTTCTACGCCCATGATTTGAGAACTGGCAGTAAATGTAAAATTAGAAGCATTAATATGTATTTATTTACTGACGAGTCATAAGTGTACATTATGTTACCTATATGATTAAATGATTTTTTACTTTTTACATAATTGTCAAATATTTTATAATAACTATTGTGAATACAAAATTTAAAAAAACATACCTACCTTTTGTGAAGAAAGGGTATATATTTATTCAACACGTACATTAAATAGCATATTACCTCAAATAACTTCAGATATTTTTATGCCCTAAATGCTATTAGAAAAATAGGAAATAATTTTTTCAAACGATTTAAAAAAATATAAATTAGCGAAACCCCACACTTAAACTATTTATTTTCTCAATAACCGTAAATCACTTCGATACAAATATGGATGTAATGTAGGCACTGCAACTATAGTATCGCGTAAATAAAATACGAAGGAACTGTCCTAATTATAAGTCCTAACTATCTATTACGTGGTATATTAATTTCATCATCTAAAACCGTGAAGACAAATAACATAAAATTTATATAAATATTAAGAATTATATGTTTCCATGTTATGACGCAATTTTTCATATAAACAATATTTATTAATGACAGTATAATAATTGCAATAATTTGAACTAAAAACGTAATCTATTTTTTTGTCATACACTTTAGTTGATCATAAACGTTTATTACTACTATATAAACGAAAACAAAGGCATAATTTTATATGAAAATAAAAATTATAATTACTTGAACAGCAGGCTGTTTGGCGATGATTTTCTTATACTCTTCGTCTTCATTCCAAGATGCCCGCCACTCAGCGTAATGTCGAGAACAAATACATCTGAAATCATATTTACCCTTAGTTATCAATTTTCCATTTTCAAACCACCACATTTTGCACCAGTTTATACTATTGTGAGGACATTTAATCCTTTTTATATGAATAAATAACGGATATAATGAGTAACGAAATTTTTTACAAGACATAATCAAAGAAACGTGAACAATTATATAACTACATTAAAATCCTCACTCCCTTAGAGACATCAAATTTGGTACTTAGCGTCACGATTCGACTTGTACCAATTCCACACAAACTAAGGTAATTAAAATGCTTAATAGTCACATTTGAAATAATACTTACCTATACAAGACAACCATCATGTATGCGATAACCACTATACTTATTGTACATAGTATGGTCAGCAAAAGGATCTCCATTGGTGTTGTTGGATATATCGGCAGTTCGGAACCTTTACCCCACTGTTGCTGACCTTTACTGTCTATTAGGTCAAATTCTGGAATAAAAATTCCAAAATAATTTGAATTTAAATATTTTATTTTGTCTAAGAGTTTAAAACGCAATGCCTTCACATGTACAGTGATATTAGGTCATTTACGCACGAAATGTTATTTTACTATGTAGATAACCGTTGATGGATAACTCAAGAGGCAAAACAGTAATTATTTCGGATTGCAAGCAGACTGAACACCTACTTGCCTCATGCATGAAACATGCAAATGTGATCCAATACTGTATATTTGCAAATAGTTTCTGTATATTAAAAATTATTAATTTTGTAGGTCTTCACTAATTTAAGCTGCTATAATATTAAGACATTTATTTCACTTTTCGTAATGCAAAAAAAAATCGGTTAGTAAACAAAACATTATATCCTTCAGGAGTCACAACCTAAAACAAGGATATAGTTCATGACCATAATAACGAATTACTTTTGATAGATCTAAGATTATTTGTTTAAATTATCCTTTTTTATTTTAAGTTTAATAATTTAGTGGTCAGATTAATCGCGCGAGATGCGCAAAGATTTATTGTATAAAACGAAAATCTTGGAAAATACTTTAATAAGTAAAAACGCTTTCTCAAACATTTCACATTATGCAAAGTCGTCAAAAGTATCAATAATTGAAGACAAACTAGTTTATCGCGAACAATAATTATTTACATTCATATTTAATAGCTCTGGTGGGCTTCGCGTGCAAGATGACGCGCGAGCTATTTTTTCTGTTAATTAAGTTCAATTCAATGTGTAGTTCTCGCGTAATCCACAGGAAATATCGTGCAACACTGTCCCTTTGTGAAGTTCAATAAATGAGTTTTGTAACAGTTACTTGCTCATATTTACGACGGACATGATCTTAGTATGTATTCGGTTAAGAGTATAAGTTTTTTTCACAATCGAACGCTAAAGATTTAAAGGCTCTCCCTAAAATCTTACCAGGCAAAGTGTCTATCGGATCTAGGGCTGCAGCCAGGGCCTGCCATCGTAAAGGCGGCGGGTCTTTTTCGTCTGGATGTCGAACACCAGCAGCAATTTCAGGGCTAACCCTATGACTAATCAATGTGGGTGGTAGAAGTACAAGATATTTTCCGGCCAATGTTTCGTTGTATTGCGATAAAATAGCCGACCAGTGGTACGAATTTAACCTGAAATATTCTGTTATATAGAACAGCTGATACCAGACCAGTACCTAACACCACAACCATTTAAGGTCTGGTCTCAACTTCAGATTTTTGTATTTGTTTTATGTTTGTTTTTTTTGTAACAGGCAAGTAGGTAATCAGCCTTCTGTGCTTGACACATGTCGTCGTCTTTTTGCCTGCCGGTTTCCTCGCGATGTTTTCCTTCACCGTACGTGCGAGTTTTAAATGCACCGAATAGACCGAATCTCCATAAGGGCACAGGCGAGCTCGAACCTACCATTTCAAAGATGAGAGTCGCCCGTTAAACCACTAGACCAACACTGCAGTGTATATTAGAAGGACCAAACGACAATTAGCTTTTTTCCTTAACTCATCTACACTACACGGTTAAATATAGTTGGAATTATTCAGTAAAGGCTTTAATTATCAGAGAAAAAAAATATTACAAGGCTGTTCACGTGCTTGTCTGCAAAAAAATAGCAACGATTGTGGAACCGGGTAAAACAGTTCTCACAATCATTTTATTAGCTTTTATTGCTAAAACTTGATTTACTTGTAAGTCGCGTAATAATTATATCTCGCTGAACAGATTTACCCGACAACAGCAAAACAAAGTTATAAACTAATCACCATAAACACAAACGTTTAGAATATGTTCTAAATCTGAGTAAAAATATCCAGCTCAACAAGAGATATTATCTCTTCAAATAATTTCTTTGTATCATCTTGTATATTTTTACATAAACTAATTGATAGAATCTTACCAACAGTAATATTAATTACCAAGATATAATAAAATGTATATAAGAAACATTACGGAATTATTATAGTAGTAGCGAAGGCCATCGAATTCCACCAATTAATTTACTTGCAACATTTATAAATTATATTATTCATTTGAATGCCAAGGAAGATTATATTACTAATTATGCAATGTCGAAAAGATTTATTAATAAGGAATTTATGTATTTTAATTTCTTTGAACGCAGATAAGTATTAGCTCAGCGTACTTACCGAGACCATGGGCGGGAATTTGGTGAATGTTTCAAATATATAGTATCATTTTCGTCGAGCGTTTTTTCATCACCTATGACGTCTAGTAGAGGCGAAAATACCAATGTATGACCACTACTATTATTCACATTCGTCGACTGTCTTGGTTCAACCTCTTTAGTTATCTTTTTATTGTTCTCCGTAGACGTGTCTATCTTATCGATTTTCGTAATAAAGTAATCAACTACCCCGGAGTTGTATACGATCATAGATATCCACACAAGCATCCACACCATTAACGCTCTTTGGAAGAATCTAGTTCTAGCCCACATATTGACTAGACGAATACGCTTTGGTACTCGATTCTCGCCCATTCCAGGATTGGAATTTCTCTTCGCAACAACGTCGGTAGGGCTGGTTTGCGCTAAGCCATTTAATCTCGGGTGCGATTTGGACTTTGTCATCCTTTTGGGCGAGAAACTATTATCTTCGTACCCGTTGCTATATCGCCAGTTAAGGGCATAACTAGCACTAAAATATTCCTTTAAATGTAATTTATTATTTTGCTCCGGCATATACTCCATTCGACTCACATCTATGACTAGAATAGGCGCGAAAAAAGTCATCTGTACAAAGTAGTCACTAATAAGGCTAACAATCATGTATATGGAAAACTCTTGTATAAAAGGCACAAATGTGAAGAGACTGACTGTCAATATTGTTATTTCTGTGAGTAAATTCTTTGTTATCGACCAGCCTTCCTTACTTAGGCCTTGCGCTAAACGAATTTTCACATCCAGTCTCGAGTCGGTTGACGTCACACTTTTCGTTAACACCAGAATATTTTCGAGACCGACTATAATTACTAAATAGGGAAAAATTTCTTTGCCTTGAAGGCTAAGTGAAAATCCACAGTAGAAGCATATGCCCATTGACATAGAGAGGCTACCAGCGATTGTGAGAACAGAGCACGCCGCCAGACCTAATTTAGATTTGATAAATTCTATTTTTCTCACAGAGAAGTATACATAAAGAAATATTCCGACAAGTGATATTAATAGCGGTACTAGTTCATGATAGTTAAACTGGCCTGGATAATATATTAATGTAACCTCTTGTGTGGGAGTCTGTGGCATATCTTGATACAGCGGGTACATATCTCTTAACTTGTCCGTAAGAGAGGTAATGAACCTGAAATGATAACAATAGATAAGCAATAAATTAGTAACTGATAAATTACAACATCGAATTATTGTTGGGAGCAATATATTATTGATAAGTACGCAGTTTGGGCCAGTTGATAAAAATTAATGCTTATTTCCTGCCGAAGCATCACGAATAAAGCTTAAATAAAAAATATGGCTTTACTTTATCGCTTCTAAAATTATTTAATGGAACAATATCAATACGTGATATAACATTACATAAGATATTGTCGCAATCTACATATTTAACAGCTGCCTTGCGATTCTGTAACTCACTTTTCGAACTCAATAAACAATAAACTACAAGCTCCCACCTTTTCAGAATGCCAAATCATAAAATGACTGCTCCACGACTGATTTAAGAGCGACGGCCGATGCGAAAACCGCTGTGTGAGTTCGAAAAGTGAGTTACAGAAACGCAAGGCTGATCCAGTGAAAAGAAAGCATTGTTAAGTGCTTATCTCGTACCTAATCCGCTGTTTTGCTGGTAATTTTTTAACATGTTTATGTTTACATAATTGTCATATATTTTAGATAATATAGTATTAGGTGCGTAAACTTAAAGAGAATTCGTCCGAGTATTATTTAGATAACAGAAATGACCAGTTAAAGTATCATGTTGCACAAACAATACAAAGATCGTGTTGACAAAACTCGGTAATTGGATAGGGGAACAGTGTAACATAAACAGAAATCATCACCCACCTCCGGTCAATCTGTTCGTAGAAAATCGTAACAGCATATTGTAGTACACGAGGCCGAGATCTTAATGGATATCGTTTTATGCCAGTATCACGCAGATGCATACCGAATGCCATTTCCGCTATGGATGCTTTTCCTTTGATGATATTCTGAAAGAATTATAAATTAAAATTTTCTTACGTACCCAAGTAATATATACCTAGGGGCACGGAATCACAGTTCATGCTAAGTACCAACACTGAATTTCTGAATGAATTCTAACTGTATGGTGGATAGTAAGCCTATTGTATAAATAAAAATACTTTCCTATTCCTAACAGCGAACACCTTACTTTATATTATCTAGATTCAAGAACTCGTGTCCGCACTTTTAGTTACAGCAAAGGATACAATCTACCCTAAATACCCTATAAATTGAATTAAAAAGATCTTGGAATGGAATTACCCTTGATATCATTAATCAATTGAGATGAGGATAAGTATTTATACAATATAGATTCGAAATATATATTTTAAGAACAATAAATCTATTGTACTGTGTAATTTAAAAAACTTCAACGTGTAGATTACGACTAACGCGTATCAATCGTTACGCGTTTAATGCTATTAACTCAAGAGTTCCTGAATGTTCAAATGAGATAACAAATAATTATTTGTAAAACAATAAATATTAGTTTGATCTACTTCTGAAATTCATGGTCCTTGGACACAATACTCATAGACCCGGTTCAAGATGACACAAAATTATCGGATTATCATTTTCGTTTTGACACGATATCGTTATTACTATTAAGGTGTTATTCACTGGAATTTTTTTTAATACATATATAAACTAAACGAAATCTTACCTGGTAATTATAAATTGTATTCACAATATTTGCATCTAATGAGAATGATTGCAGATTTTGTTGCCAGAGATTTGCTGGTGAAAGCAAAAGACAATTGTATTCGGGAAGGACTCTGTCTACTCTTGCTTGACTGCTTAACTTCTTTATACCACCTATTTGATAACAGTGATTTACGATCGTTTTCTTCCTGAAATATAATAAGCTTCATAGTAGCATTAATTAATGAAATCGTATTTCCCAAATGTAAACATCGAATAACTAAAGGTTATCGGTGATAAGAAATTTACCTAATAAATACATTTTAAATTTTACAGCTAATTGTCAAAAGCATACAGTAATTAAATGTTTCAATACGTAACATTGGTATTTGAAAGAGATTTATGTACTATACAAATAAAGTTTCTTCTAATTTTATTCTATTATTGTATTTTCTGAACAAGTGTTGTGGACACGGACTTATAAGTTTTGGCAAGTTCATTATGCTAAATTTAACGCAAAGCGAAAGTTAATGTCATGCAAAAACATATCAACAACAAGATAGCATATACTATATTTATTACACAGTCAAGGTTATTCGATTAATACGAAATATGGAAAGATGATTGCCAAGTAATCAGGTTAAAACATTTTTTTTTATAAGTTCGCTACTGAAAGTTTATATAGTAATTAGAAATGCACTGCATAAAACAATAGCCAATAATGCTTCATTGCGTACATACGTAGTAAAAACAACAGATTATTTGCCACAATTTTCCTAAAATTGTTTTAATTTGTTGTAAATTTAAAATTTCGCAAATGCAATTCTTATTAAGAAAATGTTAAACGAGTTGAAGGAATATAACAATTATTACTCTTATTCATACTCACGTTTCAGGATCTTCATGATTGCGAATTGTTTCAAGAAGTCTAAAAACTTCTTGTAATGGTGCACGAAATGCATCCCACATTTTGAGATTATTATTCCATGGAGATACACCTATACAAGTATATAAATTTTAATTACAGAGAATATATTATACAATGTGCTAGGGACAGTGCGACTTTATGTTCTTCTTTCAGACCTTATTATGTGAAGACAAATAATAAATAATTAACTTAATTAAGCAGAATTGTTATCAAAATCCACCTTTATTCAATTACACCAACAAATGTATATTATCACAATTTTATGCTCTGATATTTTGTTTAAAAGAATATAGAATTTTAAGAAAAGTTTTTAAGCTCAGATGACATTAAGCACAGCTTAATAAAACCAACCTGATTTCAAAGAACAATTACTTTATTAATATTAATATAGATCAAGGACAACTTCTTGTTCAGACAACAGAATACATACCTATTCTCATAATTATTTGTTGAATATATAGAAAAGGAGTTTCTTTGGCCCACATGTAAGGAAGCTTTTGTGTTTTATTTCGCAATTCATCTAGATGTATAAAAGTATCTGAAACAAATGTTTTATTTATCTTTTATTATTATTATTTTCATAGACTGTAAAACACAAGGAGATGAATATTTTTTGTTACATAAAACAACAGTTCCATACCATTTTATAAGGATGCTAACCAGTGCTATGAATCAAAAAATAAGTTTACACGTGAGATGCATATGTGATGATGTGATGGAGAAGACCACAGATACATTTTAATGTATTTTACTGTTCACTTTTCCTAAGCGGCAATAAGGCATTCTTAATTTGCCTTTCAACCCAATATGTTATTGTTGGAATCAAACCTTGTTATTCAAGGTTTAATATGGATTGAATAAAACAGTGTGAAAAGTAAGCTACCAATTTGTTTCATGAATTAAAATAATTGCTTAAAAGATAGGAATTACAATATATGAATGGGCTAGTTAAAATTGTACTAATTAGCTATATGGATTGAATTACTAAAAGTACATTTCAAAGTACAATATTAATTTAAAAAATAAAGAACGAAATTAAATTCAAGTCTTACCTGAAAGAAAACAAGATTTTGATACACAATTCATGTTACCAATATTGTTCTCATTGATATTTAATGGAACATTTACAACAGTTGGTATATTTCCAGGTAAAGGCACATTCAGCAGGGGATAACTGTAAAGTTATAAAGATTACAGTACTGTAACATTTTCCTTTTAATGCAAGTATAGAGGTCCATTTGGCTATGAAAGACACTGTCTGTTAGTCAGGCATGGTCATAATTCCTGACAATGAACTTATTGGAAGTGAATAGAAATGGCAATGAACTCTATTTAATGCTTTGCAATAACTACTATGAGTATATTTTAGTACGATCTTACCAGCATATTAATACAACAGAAAGTGCTAATGTTATAGCAATCACAGGATAGGATGAACAAAAAAGTCCATAAGTATAATATATCTGTGCTACCCTTTCGGGTATTGACGATCCAGTCATTGTTTATATATGTAAATTATTAAAGGTCCAAAAACTGCGTGCTTCAAAATGACTAATTCATGAAATAATTGCACGTATATTCACTACACTTATGAAACACATATTAAAATTATATTGCAACGATTATGGTCGGTGTTTATACAACACATTGTATATCCTGCCGTTAAAATAGCGATTTCGTTTATAAAAAACATCATGCGGCATGGACTTAGCACCATAAACCTTACAGTTAATTAATAAACTTGCTGTAGGGGAAATCGGCCCTACGCGACTATACCATAACTAAGGAATGACAACTGACAACTGACAATAGCGTCTGATAGTTGACTTTCTTCAGTAGTTGCCACTTGCTCACAAGATTAAAGAAAAGTATCACACATATTTTTTAGCAATGAAACAGCCTTTTGTGCTTTTAATACAATTATATAAAAACAATCAAATTATTTAAAATGGTGTTAGTAAGTATAGTTAGAGAATAGACTGGCTCTATCTAGTAGTATTATTAAGTAAAGTTGTTGTCGATTTACAATATTAACGCCATCTGGTGATTAAATAAAAGTTATAGTTCAACAGTACCCCAATTGACAGGACAGAATGTTGCGAGAATTTCTTTTAAATTGCAATCACAAAAGATGTCACTATTTAGCACAACTCTGAATCTAGATACTCATTATTATAATAATTTCACTGAAAACATAAGTATATTTTGAAGAAAATATTTTATAAATTAAGGCGATGTAGATTATGATAGATATATTATATATATATAGTTTTTTTTCAATCTTTTGAGTATTAATAGAAATTGAAGTGAGCCTTTTGAGTATTGTTATTCATTGAAGCGAGTGAGTTTAGGTCATAATGCCAGATCTGACTGAATTGCATGTCTCCCGAGCTATCGCTTTGCTTGAAGAGGGTCGAACTATGCGTTATGTAGGAAATGCCCTGCATCTAGGAGTAGCCCCTTTTGTTATCTACAGACTTTGGAAGCGATACCGTGAGACGGGAGAATACTCACGAAGGCGTGGTCAAGGTCGAAAGAGAAAAACTACACGTTTGCAAGATCGCTACATCGTCAACTGTGCTTTACGTAACCGCACCACAACTACAAGAGATCTACAAAATACACTAAGGAGTAGGTTGTTGGAAGGCAATTTGAGATCACGCCGACCAGTTCGGGCTGTGCGGCTAACAATTCAACATAGACAAGCTCGCCGACAGTTCGCGCAAAATCACGCTAATTGGCAACTTCGACATTGGAGGCCAGTGCTTTTACTGACGAATCACGATTCCGTCTAACACGTTGCGATGGTCGTCTCCGTGTTTACAGACGCCCAGGCGAGCGATACAGTGCAGCAGCAGTCCAGGGGGAGTGGCCTTCCATGAGCCCTGACCTAAATCCAATTGAACACATTTGGGACTTGCTTGACAGGCGCATCCGGAAGCGTCCGATTGCACCTCAAACACTGCAGCAGCTCACTGAAGCGTTGATTGAAGAATGGGAGCGAATTACACAAGAAGATATTCGGAGGATCATACGAAGCATGCCGCGTCGTTGTCAAGCCGTGATTAGGGCTCATGGAGGCCACACACGTTACTGAAAGTCACTAAAGACGAATATTCAAACGATATAAGAATATTTCTTTGATGGACCATTTTTATCACCAATTAGTTTTTCGTCTACAATGCACATTTTAATTTTTTTTTTATAAAAAAAATACAAATTGAATTTTTTTATTAATTGTAGTAATTAACAAATTAACAAGGTAAAAAATAGCGTACAAGTTAATTTAAATCTAATTTTAGTTTAAGCAATAGAAAGGAGAAAAATCTTGTTCCGCTAATTGTTTTGAGCAGTATATATGCGTCGTTTGTAGAATTAATTACTTCATGATGGCTAACCTAATAAGGCGATATGGGCAATTTTGTCCATGTATATTTCACGTCAAATTTTATTGAATAGGTACCTATCTAGTAGGTAAGAATTTGATAATACAACTATTGAAACAACTTATTATGAATAACAACTTATTATCTGTTGCTCCCACATACTTACCTAGTATATAGTAAGTAGTGTAGTAGGTATAGTTCGTTCATTCTAGTGTAAATTTTATACTTGAAAATAAATTACGCATCTGAGACATGAGTATGACAATTTTACCAATGCCCGCTTTTGTTACAATCATTACAAATGATTACAATGTGTGATATCTGATGATCTAGATAATCCTCAATTAATGGTTTTATTTTCGTGACAGTAATTTTTAATTGCTGCCTTGACTCGTATAAGGTAGCCACAAATTATAATTAATATTAATGGGTGTCATTCAGAAAATATTATATCTTATAGTAATGACAAACAAGATGTTTCATACTATATTATAACGCCAACCTATATATTCATTTCAAGTCTTGACAAATTAATACTAAGACATCTTTAGAAACAGCACTTAAGCGTATTATTAAATAGCAAAACAGTGAGATTCAGAGAAGCTAAGGGTGTCGTCTTATCATGAGATCCGCTCGCCGGAAAAGCCGCGACCACTCGTCCGCGACGCAGAAATGAAAAACTGTGGAGTACACAATACTGAAAATATTTCATATAAGATTATAATTAGAACAATTATTTTTATTATGTTGATGATTTTATAATTACTATTGTGTTTGTATAAAAAATATTGAACAGAATTTTGACTCGATTTTTCATATAATAGAGCTTTTTGGTTAAAATCTTTTTTATAAAACAACATTTAATCTTAGTTAAAATCGTATCTACCGTCACCCTGTCTCTTTCTTCTTTGTAATTACGTAGTATGTTCTTCTACCATAAAGACATTCTCAAAGAACTTATTAAGAAGCTATAAGCCATCGAAAAAAACCTTTTTGAGAATAAGTAATTCTGTACATGAATGAAACCTTAATCGAACGAAAGGAAACACAGTACTTACTTTATTGCTTATTTATTGGTTATTTGATGAATGATAATTGACGAATGATATTATTATCATTAATAATATCTCTAGATATCTCTATGCATTACCCAGTTCGGTATGCTCACTTTTTAACAGCGTTAATAACGGTGGAATTAAAACGCGAGAGGCCGCCGAGGACGATTTAATTAAACCTTAACGAACCTCCTCCCCCCTTCTGCCCACACTTTTACCTGCCCGCTAATTTATTTAATTTGGAAATATATTTTTACGTAACAATAATGTAGATATTAATAGTAAACAAAAGATGTTTACAATCTTTACCCTACTACCTACCTACCTACTACATGTCAATTAAGTTCGCATATCAAGTGCAAAGTTAATTGTTACCTAATCATATTATATTTAAAAATGTGCTATTTTAGGACTATCAATTAGTATCAATATACTGAAATATTTCACCCGTAGTGCTTAAAGAAACTGCACAACTCAATGATTATTGGTGATGTAAACGATTCGTTATCGTTAGTATCGGACATGCGAGGACAGTCTCATATATGAAAATCTGTTTTTAAACGCTGATAGCGACGACACAGGCATGAGCCCACGTCACACTTGATCCCTTGATTTACGGCTATTTTAACCCGCTTCACATCCAATCTGCGACAGACACCTGCATACGGATATTCGTTTTAAGGTATTTTGAATACAATAAGTAACATTCTCGGGTATTTATTTATTTATTTATTCATTTAATTATAAGTAATCTTACAGCTAACATGCATAGTAATATAAAACAATTAGCTATTAGTAGAAACAATAATCGGAGGGTAAATTTATTTATACCAAACATACACGAAATGCGCGTCCGAATTCATATTTTTTGTATAAATATATTTATAAGTAAATATCGCACTCACGCGATTCAAACCGTAGTGGCCGTGTTTGGCGACGGAGATTTTTTATAAATATTAAATTAAGAGAATTTTTTAGCATATTATCAGCACCTTTAACGATTTCATTAAGGTGGGACTGTTCATTTGCAAAATGATAAATATGGCATAAATTATTTCATTTAATATTCAATTTTCGTTCTTTCGACGTTGCTTCAAATATTACAGCCGTTGAGTAGATACTTCGTTGCCGGCACCCTTTTATTTTTTCCCTGCAGCAATGATACTGTTTGCTTACTGGCTCTTAATTTTGAGTTTAAACATAGGGGAGATACGCTCAAAAGAATACTCGACAAATCCTAGACTAAACACGTTAGTACTTTTTAGGTTGATTCGTCGAATGTTACTCTGGATTTATTTGCGCCGTCTCTGTGGATATTTGTGCTATTTTGTCATAATTTACTATATTTCCCAGCTTTTGCTTTATTATACCAAAACCTTAATCACGCATGTCAGTAGCGGATAGTTTCTGAAATTTACGACGTGTTATATTATAATTTAGTGTCGCGAAGCAGCAGTAAACTGGAGCTTAAAAGATCAGAACGAGGTTCCTATGAGGGTGGTTACTGCGTTACGTCCTCAAGCGGCACAGCGGGGGGCCGCAGCCTACTTCATTTTATATTATTAATTACTGACTTCGATGATTGAAGCATTTGTTTGATGCAACATTAGGTTTCCCAAACTGAGCAATAAGTATCATTAGCATAATGATTTTACACGGGAACAGGTATATATGTCTTGATCGTTTTTAGTAGGTGATTAGCCTTTTTTTATATAGAAAAGGGGGCAAACGGGCAGGAGGCTCACCTGATTTTAAGTGATAGCGCCGCCCATGGGCACTCTAAATGCCAGAAGGATCGCGAGTGCGATGCCGGCCTTTTAAGAATTGTGTCTGTCAATCTGAATGTCGGTTAATACAGATTAAAATACTAAAAGAAGACGTCTTCTTAATTTAAAAATATAATAATCTTCTTTTTAAATCTAACATTACAATGTTCTTATCCGTAGACTACCTTTGAATCACAACTCACCGTTTTCGGGCCGTGATTATGAAATTTAAAAAGTTCAAGGAGCGCGGCAGGAAAAAATGTGATTAAATATGTTTTGTTCAAGAGCAAGA